GATCCCACCAATAATCTTGTAAGTAATCCTGTCCCCACTATAAACCACGTCCATCCCATTACTATTGAGAAGCAAAACTCCATGAGTTGCCCCAGAAGGTGATCTCACATCGACGTAGAAAGGGTGGGACCCATAGAGATTAACATCAGCATTGAAAGTAGCAATGTCAGCATTCCACAGAGTCAGCGTCTGATTAGGTGCCAACCTGAACGACTTCCGCGTCTGCTCGCCGATTCCGTACAGAGAGGACCTTCCCTTGGGGAGAGAAGAAGATAACTGTATGTATTGGTCCTTGAAAACCAAGAAAGTTTCTGGGTTTGTTCTCTGAGGCGTTGTGTCGAACAGTTGGTCGGCATTGGAGCGGCGAGAGACGGTGAAGCCGCACGGGGCGGTGTTGTGCAAGGTGAGGACGAGGTCGGAGTTGGGTATGGAGAAAAGGCGGTTTTCCGACGGTGTGGGTAGGTTTTCCGGTTTGAAAGAGTGGTTTTGTGGTGTTAATGGGGTTTGGCTTGGAATGATGTCTTTGGGAACTTCCCATCTCTGGTGTTTGGCGTCTGTTATTCGGATTCGGAGGCGCTCTGCTGTGTCGTAGCTGCACAAAAAGAAGAGAATGTCGTTTTTAAAACTAATGGTCGTTTAAAATTAAGTTCACCAAATACTCTTGACTAAAAGCAGCTCCGATAAATTTCTTATATGTTATATTTTATGAAAAAATTCTTATTAAGTATAGTATATAAAAAATTTGGTGAGAAATTTAATATTTAATTAGTATTGATTGAAATGTTTATTTTTTTTATGTAATTAATGTAATTTTTGTATTTTTTAATTATTTTTAAAATAAAAGTTTACTTTTATAATTTTTAAAGCTTAAAAATTATAGAAAAAAAATATATTAGCATTTTAAATAGCACTATGTATTAGAATAAAAATGAAAATAACATACTATATCATGTTTTTTAATATTAAATATACAATTAACATTAACATTTATATTAAAATGGTCTAAGCTACAGTTTTTTTCTTTAATAAAATATATGTGTTGTTTATACGTGTTTAACTATGAGCACAACTTTTCAATTAGGACTTACACGTACATACGTATTTATGGGTCTTTATTAAATTTAATATTTGAGAAGAAAATATTAAATTTTAATCAAAATTATATAACAAAATGAAAATGTATGCAAAAGCAAAACTAATAGGATATTAAAAAAAATAAAAGTGTACTAGTTATGCAATTACATAACATAGCATGGTGATGTAAAGTAGAAGTTATGACTCGGTAGTCAACACATTAAAAAAAATACCAAGGAATTTGAATTTATAGTATTATTTAAGGGGACGTTTGGAAGGAGATTCGTGTCATGATTTGAATCATTGTCTGTTTAGTTCATGAATTAGAACCATGAGATTAGAACCATTTTTAATTTATGTGTGTTTTTTGTAAAAGAAAATAACCATGGACCATGATTCGAATCAAAGAACGAATCCTCCAACTAAACAGACTCTAAAACGAAAATAATTTTGAATTATGATTTTGAATTCATGAATCAAACGTCCCTTAAAAGATTGACAGTACCCTTTTGACCTCCATACTTTAAAATACTGAGATCTTTTTTTTTATAAAAAAAAAAAAAAAAAAAAAGGGTTCACCTAGCAGTGAGCCTGAGCTGCTGAATGTCAGGGCCATATGTGGAGGTCTTCTTGATAAGTTGAAGATCAGCAGTCAACGACTTGCCTGAGTTATCACTATGGACAGATTGGAGCCTATAACCATACCCAATATCAACTGGCCCATCGTGTGGTTGTGTTTGAGCTAAGCTTGAAAGGAAAAAATTAGCACATAGTTGAAGAATGGTCAAGAGGTAAAGAAAATGGCTGGTTTTGTTTTGTAAAATAAGCGATGAAGTTGCTCTTCTTTTGGAGCTCTCCATCATCAATGGAGGACTCGTAGGAAGGAAACGAATATAGAGAGAGAGAGAGAACTTAGAAAGAAATTAAGAGGAAAGAAAAAATTTATAGGTATTACATGAATAAAATAGGAAACTAAATAGACGAAATTAAATGCATAAAAAGTAAGAAAAAGTACCCTAAAATCAAACGAGGAAACTAGATAAAATTCAATCTGAATTTATTTGTCCATATCTCCGTCTCAAGTAGATTTAGAGATTTCACTTATCTCTTCTCTACTTTTATCAAATCACCACTCAACACCGTCACTCACTCACTTGGATACTCACTACCCAAGATGCCGACAAAAACGTATTTTTCAGTTCCCCACTCTCCCACTTCAACTATGGACAAAAGACGTTCCGTCTTTTTTGCTATCTTGGGTTGTCTATCGTTGAAATTCAGCCATTTTTGTGTACACATTATACATGTGTATCTAAAGATTTTAGATCTAGTTTATTTCGCGGATTTATATTTAAGTTAAAATATAATTTTTTTAAAAAAATTTTAACTGTAATAGAAAAAGTTAGATGTGATATTTTTTTAAAATTTTTAACTGTAAAAATTTAACACTGAAAACTCAAATCGATGAAATTAACGAGACCTTGAAACTTAAGACATCATTGTTGAATTGAATGGATGCAAAATTAGGAAATTACTATTCGACAAATATCCTAAGGTAAAGGAGAAAAGGTCTGTATTGCCCTTAATTTCTGTAACTACTATTTTCCTTCCATCTCTCCATGTGGGTAAGGAAAAAAAAGAAGTGTATTTTGCACTTTTAAGAAAAAGAAGAAGAAGAGAAGTGTATTTTCTACTCTTTGAAAGTAATAAAATAGAAAAAAAAAAAAAAAGAAATTGATAAGGTAAAAAAAATACTTTATCAATAATGTGTTGTTTTTTACATACGATATTTATTAAGTTCCATTAATTTTGATTATATTTTTTTTTCACTCTTTATGGTTTAAGGTTTTTATATGATTAGACAATCCAAAATTGCATTGCTAGGCTTTTTTTTTTGTTTGTCTTCCCCTAAAACATTATTTTTTTAAGTTTTAGTTTTTTTTAGATTTTATATTCATATGTTCTATACTCTTAACAGTAGCACGATAATTAAAACTTAATACGTGATTACTCCCTACGTGCGTAGCACGTGTTCGTTATTTCTTCATTTTGAACTTTTTTACTCATTTTTTTATTTTTTCGTTATTTCTTCATTTTAGTCCATTTTAATCTTCTTTTTTTTTGTTACTTCCCCTAAAAAACTTTATATATATATTTTTTAAAAATTTTAGTTTCTTTTTAAGATTTTGTATTTATTTGTTCTATACTTTTAATAGTAACGTGATAATTAAAACTTATACACGGTTGTTCTCACATGCCTATCACGTATTCTTCAACTAAAAAATATATATATATATATAAATAAAGCAGACGAAAAAATGACATATACATATTAGTAATTGCCTGTGATTCTGTGAAACTGATGTGTGTATGTATACATATATATATGTCATGAAATAAAAATCCATTTTTGGCATATAATTAACAACTGGTCATATTCATACAATATATAATCCCTTAACTCCTATATTATTGAGGGGGAAAAAAAAAGTAAAAGAAAAGATCAAAGACAAAGCCAAAGAGCATTGGCGTCCTTGAGAAGAGAGACTAGATTGTCGTTGATGTGGCAAGCCATGATTGTCTCCACTCCGCCCAACAACTTCCTGCCAACAAACACCGCTGACACGGCCTTTGCTACCGAAAAAAAAGGGAATAAAATTTATACACACAAATTATTATAATAAAAAATTATAAAAAATAGTCATATATAACTTTTTTTATTACAGTAAAAAATTCTCAAATAAAGTCACATCTCAACTCGAATCAACAAACTAAACGAGCCAAAAAAAAGAAGAGAGAATTTGAAACAATGACTGATAATACAATAGGGATTATACCTTATTGCGGAAGTAACACATTATTAGGATAATTGTGATTTATTTGAAAATGCTCTTGTACTAGAGATGCAATTATGGGCTCGACTGTGTTGATCTAGCACGATTGAACCCATTAATATTGATGAGTTAAATTGGGCCGCGACACGGCATGATTTGTAAAAATTCATGAGTTAGATTGGGCTTGAACTGGGCCGAGTTGGCCCGTTTAAGCTCACAATGGACCAGTGCATTCAATCCCATTTTGACCTAACTTTTAATATTCTACGGCTTAGAGATTCCTTTTTTTTTTTTGCTCTTTTATTTAATATTAAAATTCATGTTTGACATTCCTAACAATTAACTTTGAAAAAAAAAAACCTACACAATTAGAAAACGCCCACAAAAAGTTTGGACTTCTTCTATACGTAATTTACGTTAATTTTTTAATAGATTACCTGTATATTTTTTACTTGTTTTATTCGCTCTTATGCAACATCATTTTTAAAAAATAAAATAAAGTACCCATCAAAAAATGCCCACACAAAACGCTGAACAAAAATTGTATTAATCAAAATAATATACGTTAATTATATATTCTTCAAAAAATTTTAAGGGTGTTATTTATTTCTAATGCATTATCATTTTTAAAATTTTTAAAGTCATATAAATTTTTTTTTTTTTTACTCAATTACAAACAATTTCACAGTTAGAATTGTTTCCGATCTAAATGAGAGTTCTGTTCAAACTTATAATTTTTAGGACTCATCCAAATACTAATTCAGATTATATCTCATGTTTGAATTAAAATTTTAAATTCACAATTAAATGGCAGTACAGACTATTATTTAAACATATATTAATAGTTGCATGAATTTAAATTTTTATAAAAAAAAAATGTATTGTATTAAAAATTTAAATTGTGATTCGAATTAATAAAATAAACAGGACATTAATTTTTCCTTGAAAGAGAAAAAAAAGTGGATAAAAATATTGGAAAAAAATAAATAATTGGGGGAAAATGAGAAAAGAGTATAAAAATAAGAATTCATAACGGCTAGTTAGAAGATTGCCGTTGGTCCGACGTGGCGGCCCTTTTGCTTTGCACGCTCCCCAAAGCCGTTGGCTTTTCGACACTCCACGACACTCTACTGCTCCTCCTCCTCCTCCAAAAGAAAAAAACCCTCAAAACTCACTTCACTCCCAAAGCTGTTATCTCACTTGCATTCCAGTTCTTCATACGACACCAACACCGCAAACGACGACGTTTCCAAGCTCTGCGACGCCATGAACATCTTCAAGAAGAAAACTTCCCCCAAAGGTCCCTTCTTTTCTCTCTCTCTCTGTTTCTAGGGTTTCCTCCGAAAACTGGGGGGGTCTTAGTTTGCACATTTCTCCTCAATCTATGTTTTCTCGATCGAACTTTTCGCTTCCGTTTGGTTCGTGTTTCTTTTTCCTCGAAATGACAATGGCGCTCAAGTGTGTTCATCTTTTCCTGATTCCGTTTCGAAAATTTTAATTTGAATTTTTTTTCTTTGCTCATTCTCGATCACTTTATTTATTTATTTTTAAAATTTTGGTTGTGTGTATGAACTTCACAGAGGCTCTTCGGACCAGCAAGAGAGAAATGGGTGTTGCCACCAGAGGTATTTGGTGCATTCCGACCAATCTTATTAATGTTTCTCCATGATTATCTGTTCTTCAAAACTGGAAATTTTCTGGGAAATCTATGTTCATAGTTTTAACCTTAACAAGATTGATTGTTATTGTGTATGCGTGTATATATATTGCCTTTTTTAAAAAATTACTTCCATGATTAGCTGGAATTATTTAGTGTTCGAAGATGCATCATTTTGTAAAATGACAATCTAAATTGCTAGTCTTTACAAGTCAAGTCACAAAAAAGCGGTAATTGGTCAGTGGTGGTCTTTTTTTTTTTTTTTTTTTTGAGCGTGTAACATTTCAGATTCAGCAGAAATATTATGCCTTGACCATTTCTGGGCTTTTTACTTCTCTTCTTCACTCTGTGGAATTATTTAAATTTTTTATTTTTAGTTGTATGTTATCTCTCTCTTTTTTCCCCCTCTTCATGTAATCTTCCTCTCACAATATGGGCACTACAAAGCTACGCAATATTTTATTAAAAAATTGTCCTATTTGTGCTTTATAATAGAAAGTTAAGTTCTAGAAGAATACTGGTTGAAGGGCCGTACTCAGTTTTTATACTACTACAATAATTGTAGTTATGCTGAATCTCCTCAATTGGATTATCAAAATTGCAAGAACAAAGATGTTGGAATGACCAATCAGCTTCTGTATATTTTGCAGGTATTGAACGTGAGATTGCATCACTTCAGCTCGAGGTATGTGTTGCCTACTATTTTCTATCTAAATTTTCATTTTTGTGAAAACCTCTTTTGATTTTCATCAAGTTCTTCGCCTGCTATTTAGGAGAAAAAATTGGTGGCAGAGATCAAGAAAACAGCTAAAACTGGAAACGAGGTATGTCTGTTTTTCCAAATAATTCTCACTTCTCACCTTAACATGTGAAAACATTAGCTGTAACTGAGCGCCAACATATATTAGCTTACAACCTAGGGCCAATATAGTGTTGTCAATTTATACAAACTAAGAAGCCATGGTAACTTTGGACTGCACTATAACATTACTTTTCCATAAGGATTTTTTTCTTTTCCTTTTTATTTTTTTTTTGCGCTGAAGAGTTCCATATGATATTTCTCTATTGAACATGACAAGCAGTGATTAACAAATTAAAAACTTCAAATGCTATAAGGTACATTTTTGTTCCTCCTTTATGATGAGAACACATATTACCTTAGCATGTTTACACTGTCCATCTAAAACTAATATTGTATAGTTTCAACAAATTTGAGCTTATGCATGATTTAGAGACATATGTAGGTTACTCCTCCACGTTACTTTGCAGGAGGTTACATTGTGTGCTTCGCTGAACGTATATAAATAGTTTATTCATAGATATAAAGAAATGTGTATAAACTTGCTCTGTTTATAAGCTAAGCTGACTCTATTTACAGTATTTTATTGTAAATGTTTCTCGACCTACTCACAAACACATCTAGGAACCAAGTCATCATTTCAATAAACTTTTCTTTGTGATTATTTAGATGGTTATTTTTTTTTCACTAAGCTAATAAGAATACTGGCCTGTTTAAGTATTAAAACTACAGTTTGTCTTATGCCCAGTGTTGTAGAAATGTTTACATATAATTGATACTTGGTAATTCCAGGCTGCCACCAAAATATTAGCTCGTCAACTTGTTCGGCTACGTCAACAAATAACTAACTTGCAGGGGAGTCGTGCCCAAATAAGAGGTGTGACAACTCATACGCAGGTGATTTCTTTTGCTTGAATAATAAAGCATAAAGTTCTGAAAATTCATGGTCTTTCATCTTCCTAACCATCTCTTATTTGTCATTTCACAGGCATTATATGCCAGCACATCAATTTCTACAGGGATGAAAGGTGCAACTAAAGCAATGGTTGCAATGAACAAGGTATGTATTTCAAGGTCCTTGCATTGTTGGTTAGGCATTACCACTTGTGTGCCAACTGTCACATGGCAGAAAGTGAAATTATTAGGCCCCACACTGGTATGTGGCAGTTTTGATACACCGACACATGTGGTGATTGCATTATCAACGGTGATTAATAGCATCCTTGTGGTGATTGCGTCCTTACTGTAAGAGCAATGCCATTCGTCATTGTTGGTGATGCAATACTACATGTGTGCCAGTACGAAACATCACATGGTAGAAAGTAAAATTATTAGGCCCCACTGCTATGTGACAGTTTTGATACACTGACACATGTGGTGATTGCATTATCAACGGTGATTAATAGCATCCTTGTGGTGATTGCGTCCTTACTGTAAGAGCAATGCCATTCGTCATTGTTGGTGATGCAATACTACATGTGTGCCAGTACGAAACATCACATGGTAGAAAGTAAAATTATTAGGCCCCACTGCTATGTGATAGTTTTGATACACTGACACATATGTGGTGATTGCATCACCAACGGTGATAAATAGCATTTTTCTTACAAGAATATTAGCAACTCATATCCTTTCTCCATGGAATTATAATGAATGGAAGTTGTTTGTTACCTGAGGAGCCTTCTAGTGTAGCTCTGATGGTGCGGAGACGATAAAAATAATGCATGGAAGTTTTTGTAATCAATTTTTAATATAATTTAAATAATTCATCTACCCTATTCAGCATGGATGATTGCAGCCTGCTGTCTCTGAGTTCCATTTTATTTTATTTTATTTTACTTTACTTATTATTATTCTTTTTTTTTATCCTACATTGTGAATGTTCTAAAAAATACACCTCCAAATTTCAAATTCACATCAAATTTGAGTCTTTTCTAGGTTAACAACTGATTTTAACCTCTCAATTGACAGATTTGCTCTTTGTAGCTTATAGATAAACTTGTAATTAAACACTAATTCACAAATGACCCTTTAGAGTTAGCTTGAATATGCTAACTCTATGTTTTCTCTTGCTTTGTTTCTTTAAACATTATGTCTTATTCATTCTTTAGTTGACATTTCTTAGGTCAAAATCAACTATTGACCCTTAGTTGACATGAATCTAAAATTCGAAGTTATAATCATGAGAACATCCAAAATGTAGGGTTATTTTTTTGATAAACTCATAATGGAAGGTATATAATAGAAAATAACAATCATCTTCTCTCTCTCTCTCAAAGGTGAGTTCCTGTACTACAAGTTTTCTACGCTTTGTTAGGTATATAATAGAAAATAACAATCATCTTCTCTCTCTCTCAAAGGCTTCTGAGTTCCTTTACTGCAAGTTTTCTACGCTTTGTTAGCTTCTAGTGCATATCGTAAAGATTAAAACATGACTCTAACCAAAGTTTTTTTTTCGCCCTTTTTTTTGGCATGTGGGTATCAGCAAATGGCACCGACAAAACAAGTTAAAGTGATAAGAGAATTCCAGAAGCAGTCTGCACAATTGGACATGACGGTAATACCCATGCTTCCATACTAAAATTTTTTATTCATTTTTAATTAATGCTTTTGTCTTTCGATAATTAATGACGATGTTTCTAGTATGGAAACAAATTTATATACTCTAGATGAGATTGTGTTTGTGATAGTTATGATGATACTGTGTTTCCCCTTTTCGACAATTAAAAATTTTGCAGTATACACAAACAAATTTTGCATAGAATTGATTGGTCCTACATCAAACATTCATTTAGAAGTTGTGCATTTCTCTATGCAGATTGAAATGATGTCAGACGCTATTGACGAGACCTTAGACAAAGATGAGGCAGAAGAGGAAACAGATGAGCTAACTAACCAGGTAAAGTACTGAAAGCCTGATTGTTTTCGTTTTTGTTTTTGTCTGTGGGTTGATTTAATGCCTTGGAATTTTACACTCGCCTTTTTTTGGCAGGTGCTAGATGAGATTGGCGTTGACATTGCATCTCAGGTTGGCTTTTCTGAGATTTATCACCTGAAATGAAATCATTTATTCTTTGTTTATTCGTCAAAATAAATAATATATAAAAAAAAAAGACAAGATAAGATGGAAAAGGAAAAATTCTCATTCTGTAACTGTTGAAGAATATAACATGAAAAATAAAAGGCATGGATGAAATTTAGTAGTCATGTATATGTGTTTTCTCACTGTAAGATAACTCTGTGATTCTGATCCTTGTTCTTTAACAGTTATCTTCAGCTCCAAAAGGCAGGATTGCATCCAGAAACGCTGAAAATGCGCCATCCAAGAATGCCGCAAACACCGTTACCAGGTATGTCATATGTGCACTTGCAAAACATTACCCTCTTTATGTCAAGACTATGTTCACATTTTTTGGTTTATTTTTTTTTCCATTTTTTTTTCTGTTCAACGTAGAATTTCCTGATGATAGTCGCACTGGAGTGGCAAACGGCCGCTTTTCCTTGTTGATCTGAAATCACATTTGACCATATATATATGTTCATTGGTCTCTTATATTAGCTCTAACAATTTGTGTGTATTTTGCAGCTCTGAATCGCCAGATGTAGAGGAACTGGAGAAAAGGTTGGCCTCTCTCCGACGTATATAAATCCAAGAATCATAGATACCCGTGGTCATGGCGGTTATAACTTAATATAGTTATATTTCTTGTACATTTTGTTATATCATAAAGAGTAGAGACAATTATAAAATGGTGCAAATTGTGTGATCCAGGATTCTTTGTACTTCTTTTCCGCTCGTCCGAGTCAAAAAGAAAGAAAGATATCAGTTACTATTACTCGAAAACTTTTTAAAATCTCTTGCTGTTTCTTTACCCCCCTTACCTGGTATTTTACTAATACCATAACTGAACTTGCTACCGAACGTATCTCGCTGTTGGTGGCCATGTAAACAAACCCGTGCACGATGTATTACCAATGGCCATCCATCGGTTTCTGGGATGGGGGTTACATTTTACTTGCCATCAAGCATATCATGGAGCTTATATAAATTTGGGTTTTTACGTCTTATTTTTTATTAATATCATTTGTCTTATTTTTTATTAATATCATTTTTAATCAAATAACAGTATTAGTAAAAAAAGTATTAATAAAAAATAAGAAGAAAGAGAAAAATAAGTCAAGACTTGAGATGAGTTAAAATTAATAGGTCAATAGTTTATATAAGTTAATAAAATAGGCTAAATTATTATTTTTGTCCATAACGTCTGGTTATGAACCATAACTTGACAAGTTATTGTTCATAATTCACGGTTTTTATCCATAACTTGTCTGGCTATGAACCATAACTTGATAAGTTTGTCTATGACTTATCTGGTTATGAACCATAACTTGACAAGTTATGGCCTATTAATTTCTATAACTAAGAATTGGCCTATATACTTTCGTAAGTTTTTCATATTGGCATATTTCTTACTATTTCCGTAAAAAATAATAGGATAAAATTCATACTCATACACTTTAAGAGAATGTTTAGTAGGAGGGAGAAGGATAGAGGGGTGGAGGGAGGTCCGAATCTTCACATGGGCCCACTGTTTTGCATCCTTCTTTTAATAGAAGTATCCATACAATCTACGCATTAAAGATTGAAAGAGACTATTTTATCCTTAAAAAGTTTAGTATGAAATTGGTAAAAAAAAAAAAAAAAAGACAACAAAATAATTAAAGAAACATTTATTCATCAATCATTTTAACCCTCTCCCCCACACGCTCTTCCCCTACCAAACAACAATCTTCATCCCTCCAACTCTCTCCATCCCTCTTACCAAACGGAGCCTAAAGGTAAGTTCACTAATTTTCTCAATGTTGTCTTTATCATTCTAGTGATCCAACTTAGATGTCTTTACACTAAAAATGCACTTTATAATGAAGGTTTTATTTTTTTCACAACTCAAGTTTTATTACTACAGTGTTTTCTATTCACAACTCAAGTTCTATTCAAATTAAACTTTTTTCCTACAATGTTTTTTTCTTGCATACACAACTCAAGTTCTCAACTGGAGTTGTGAAACAAACATAGTTTAATTTGATGCACAATCAATTTATTAGAATGGCCAGCCATTCATGAGAGGTTCATAAAAATTTGAAACTTGTGTTGTTTGGTCCCATCCAATCTACATAGTAAACTAACACCAAGAAACCACATATCCAGGCTGGAAAAGATGAAGATCGAATACCTGTTGAAAGCTTTGACAAAAACTAGGAACTACTAATGTGGTGGACAAAGTTATCTTGTACATAAGTTTTTCCTATGAGAATCTTGTACATATGTTTGACAAGAAAATGTTGCAATTTTGCCGTGCACAGTAATGAATCAATATTTGATTACACTAGTTTGAAATTTTTTTCTTCTGCTGCGGAGAATGATATGAGCATCATTGATTTCAGATTTTCGTTTGGTTTGTGAAACTTAAAATTAAAAAATGTAACTCTTTGATAAGTATACTTCAATGTTTAATTTTGATCTTACGGACGTTAAAAGTATGGACGTCTCTCTCATATGATATAAATTAGTCCAATTCTGTTGTTTTGTAGAATTTGCAAACTGAAAAGGTACACAACCACGAAAATAATAATAACAACAACAACAACAGAATTTCTCTAGTGTTGCTGTACTTTTGAGAACACCGGTGTTTCTTGTTTAGCAGCTATCGGATCTGTATTACTTTTTTAATTTAATTTGACTTTTGATCAGATTTAATGATCCGACGACTGAAAAACAGAAAATAACAGAGAAAGTCCATAATAATAATGATAAGGGTAATAATTTTGGCCTGGCAGATCCTAGGCCTGGAGATTTCAAACTCATGGCTGAGGCCAAGGCTGCTGCGAGAAATAATCCACAAGGACATGGAATTCAAAATTTTGTGCCCTTTTAACAATTGGTGATAGATCTTTCTCCCCAATTTCCCCTTTCATGAGAGAGGCAACACCGCCAAGGTTTCCTCGGCCGGATGGAGACTGGTGCTCCAAAACAGGAAGGATCTTACAAATGTCTTCAAATTCTACGGAGCCAAACGATGTGATGATGATCAATTATGATTGGTGTAGTCATTCACGGTAGATAAAAAGTATGTAGCCAGAGCTGCTCTGTTTACCCATGCATACTTCTGTGGCCAACGTCGAATGGTGGCTTGGTATTTGGCTCTCAGTCTTGTAAACTTGAGCAATTTCCAGCACAAGTGGTTCGTCCGGGTTGAGGCCTGTCGACAGAGTATTGGACAACTGCACCTGAAATACAAAAAGCCCATATTACATACCTGCCCCAAAAGTCTGTTCCCTACAGTTATTAATTGTAACAAGTATGTTATCACCTAAAAAAAATTGCTAATTTAACATGTTAAAACTTCTGAAACCAAGTAACCATCTTAGCTGTTCTTAGGAGTAGGACCATTAAACCGTTAAGAATTAGCAGTCTATTTTTACATCTAGCATAAATATTTGAAGATTGTAAAAAGGGAGGCATAATACAATCCCTTTCTAATATTTTCATCGCATATGCCTCCACTGCAATTGATATTTAGACACCACTCCAGCCGAAATGCAACCGAAAAATATAAATTTGCCAGCCCTAACAAAACTGCAAACAACCAAGGAACACTGAATATATGGCGAATTACATCCACAACAGTCAAGAAACGCTAATATTTGACATATCTACATGGCTTATATATGACAACATACACAAAAATTTGCAAGATTCTCTTTTTGTCATCTCTTTTGATTAGGACCAAGTTGTTCAACGTCTTCTTCATATATTCTATGTGAAGATAACATCTTAAATTCTATGTGAAGATAACATCTTAAGAAATCAACCATGTCACATAGTTCAAGAAAGAATTCTAACAAGAGATGAAGATGGCAAAAAAACAGTACTGTATTATTGTTACTACCAAACTTAAGTATTAATGCAGTTATGTGATTTTACAACAACTGCATAAACAGCCACAAAAATCTTCATTGGGCAATAAGCTAGATACAGACCGGCTTCCACAGTTACCAACCAAAAGTACCTTCCTATAGTAATGTGTTTCCATCTTCAAAGGACTCCTCTTGGTGGTCAGCAGGCTTTACAAAGTCATGCAATAACAGCTTAAACAAATGTCATGGCACAATTGTTGAGAGACGAGACAAATTGAACTATTATCCAAGTGGCTAAAAGATTAACCAAGTAAACATACAAGGATTCAAAAATTGTTCCCTAGCAACAACATCGAAACACAAAATATAAGCGCAAGTTAAAACCAACGCTACAATCACGAGACCAGTCCTTCAATCATAAAACTTTTGGAAAGTATATCAGAACAACACAACTATAGGTGATTAACAAACATAAAATATAGAGAGGAAAAGAAACCTATAGGAGCTTGAAAGGATTGATCTGATGGAAAATCAAAGGGAATAATATGCCTCTTGTAGATTGGATATCAGTACGCCCGTACTTGTTAACTGCCAGGGCAACATGTCCTCGGCCCCAGGAGCTACAATAGGTAACCAAAACACGCATCAACATCCTTAAGTAAATGCGTATCAATCATTTAACCAGCTGAAATTTGGTGAATCAGCAAACAATTTAGATACTACTACAACTTAAACCATATTGCAAATTACTGAATTCTTTTTTTTTTTTTTTCAACTTCAACTTAAAAGCCCCACAGAATAATCTAGCAAAACACTCGAGCCACTAGTCAAAGTCAAAAGATTATTGCTATTCTAGATGAGCCTCGAGAATGATGTGCAAAAGTAAAACAATATGAAGGTTACATCATACCAGGTCATTTTCACATAGTGGGGAGATTACAAACTTCATCAACCTTTCCAACAGCCTCGAGTATGGATGAGTAAGTGATATGATCATATGCAAAACCATTTGCATCCATCTCCTTCATAAGCCTCACAGCATCTTCAAACATACCAGCTCGACTGAGACAACCAAGAACAGTGTTGTAAGAGACTGCATCTGGTTTGATCTTAGAATGCTTCATCCTTGTAAACATTTGCATAGCCCGGTTCAGATTCCTTATCCTAGCATAGCCATTTAAAATAATGTTGTGGGAGTTTAAGTCAGGAACGCAACCATTTTCTTCCATGGTTTTAAGCAATGAATGAGATTCATCAACCATGCCAGCCCTCACCAGCCCTGACATGAGTGCATTATATGCATAAACATCAGGATTACAACCAAGTTTTCTCATCTCATTGAACAGATCCACGGCTTCATTAATACGCCCACATTTTCCAAAATGTTTAATCATCACCGCATACACCCGAGCACTTGAACATCCACAGTTCTCTTTCAACTCTCGAAACAACTCATTTGCAGCTTCACACCGATTTGCTTTTCCAAGACTGTTGATCAGGCTGCAATATGCAGATGCACAAGGAGGAAGACCTTTTTCGTCCATTTCTTCAAGAAGCAACAAAGCTTGCTCAACCCTATTTCTTTTACAGAAGCCGTCAATAAGAATTGAGTAGGTATACGAGCTAGGAGCGACATCATTTGCTTTCATCTTCTCAAACCATGAAGAAGCCTCAGAAGTCCGAGCTTTGGATTCAAATAATCCTTTAAGGATAGAGTTATATGTCACCACATTAGGCATACACCAAAGAGACTCCATCTCCCCAAAAATCCTAAGAGCATCTTCTACACGACCTGCCTTGCAAAACATGTTAATCAAATTGTTTATGAGGACCACATCGGGCTTGCAGCCTTCCTTCAGGAGATTCCTATATATGGTATAGGCATCTTCAATCTTCCCAGCTTTACCAAGCCCCTTTATCAATTCTGTGTAAGTGAAGACGGTCAGGGGGCATCCCGTCTCCTTCATCTCCCTGACAAGGCCCAAAGATTTTTCAACATTACCCATTTTGAAATATATTTCCAATAAGTTAGTATAGATCTTTGCAGTCGGCTGCATGCCATTCTCCTTCATCTCATTAAATAACCGGATGGCAAAATCATGACGATCCAATTTCTTAAATGCTAATATAATTGCGCTGTAGGTAGAAGTGTCTGGAAAACAGTTTCCCTCATTACACAGCTCATTATAAAGTTCATGGACTTTTTCATGATGACCTTCTTGCATCAACATCAAGATCATCGAGTTGTATGTACTTATTGTCGGCTTGCACTTGCGGCCTTTTACCTGGTAAAAGATAGATACGGCCTTGTTCACCATCTTAGCCTTTCCCAAGATGTTTATGACTTCAGATAACTGAGCAGGATCAATAATAGATACAGCCCAAACCATCTCCTGAATAGTCTTCCACATTTCACCAAACAACCGTGCCCCAAACAAGCAGTGAATTAAAGCCAAGTAATTTGTCGAATCGTGCTGAAAATTCCTTCTTTTGGAAGCCCATTTGAAAAACTGAATCTTAACGTTGACCTCAACATCTATCTTTAAAACCTCATGAACCAATCTGTGATCCACTCTCAGCTTAAGTACTTCTAATGCCTTCTCAGCGTCGGGTCCCCACTTGAAAATTTTCAAGATCCTTACGAACCTTTCATCCAATGTCCGAACTGACGGATCCTTTCTTGACAACTTTTTGTTAATAGGTAAGTCTCGCATCGCCTCACTCGGACTACGCAAGCTGAACATTTGAACTATTTCATTTTCTGCTTCATAGTAACAACACTAAATTAAAGTTTGCACGTAGCAAAATATTAGACCAACAAAGAGAAATGCCCAATGGTAGGAATTCAACACAAGTGTATAAGCAATCTCATTTACCTGTTTGTTTAAGCCTCTCACAGAGATGGGGCAAAGTTGAGATTGATCTTTTCAAAGAAGATGGACCCACAAACATCTTTTTCTGGGTAATCCACGAATTTGTTAAATCTGACAAGCAAGAATTCTCTTTTTTATTAAAATCAAATGTGATTGCATTGACCCAAAAAAAAAAACTTTACAGCGTATGAATACATCATATAGACTGTGTGAGTATTTGTTTGAAAAATATAAAATTTTAAAATTCGCAATACAAGTCACAACTGACATCTTAAATCTTTTTGTTTGAGTAAAAACACCTAAGTATATTCAAATGTATGATAGTTATTCCAAAGAAAGCATTAAAAGGCCCGTTTAAAAAAGTATACTCAAACCATGATTCTTGATTTTCATGTTTGAGGAAAACACTCTAGCAAAATCAATGATTTGATTAAAACACTCTAGCAAAATCAATAATTTGATTTTGAGAATAAGAAACAAACGGACCTAAGAAACTGATATAAGTTATATATTTATATAAGATATATAATATTATATATATTACTTGAGAAGACTACTGGCGCAACGGTAGGCAAGGGGCGGCAGAGTTGGTGTGGGGCAGTAGGAAAGGAGAGAGAGATTGAGAAAGTGTTTAAACTACAGACTAACGCAATAGGACTAAAAAGAGAAAATTGAAAAAGTAGCGGAGGAGGCGGTCCTAACGAGTCTGATTCAAAGGCGGAGATAACGCTAGAGGAGGGGTTTCAGCGAGTGACAGCGGGTCTTGCCGGAGTTACGGCAGCACTCCGATGGCTAATCTACCTGCTTCGACGAAAAGAGGACAGTCATGTGGGCTGAGGAGCGATGAGAGAAGTAGCGGTGAATGTGATATTCAAAAAACTAAAAAAATGATTTAAATAAAAGTAAAAAATGATTAGAGAAAAGAACAACGGTGATGCATGAAAAGGGAATGTGCCCTACGTAAGGTTAAATCCAACAGTTGACATTAAATTTTCTTGAGGTGCACGTGGTCTCCCTTATAACGAACTTTAACTCAAATATAATAAAAAAATTTACAAAACAACCATATCTCGTCGCCAGTACACACGTTGCTATCTCCACCACGCGCCCGCTTCCTCCTTCGACACCGTCATGACCATCGTACTCATCGGTGGCCGATCTCCAAAACCCCTGCACTCCCACCCATCAACTCTATCGTTTCTTTCGCCAATCGTCACCCAAACCTCCGCTACTCAACCAACGAAGCTCATGTTGTGGGTACATTCGCCGCCCCACCACTACTTCAGAATTTGTGGCTACTGGTTGGGGTAGCTTCCTTGTCACCTTCTGAGTCGAACCAGACCAGAAAAATTAGATGGGTGGTTGAGATTAAAAAAAAATTAAGATCAATGGCTGAGATTAGCCCAGAATTTTTATTATTTTATTTAATAATTAAGGTATATAAAATACCAATTTTACCTCTTTATAACCCCGCATGTAACTTGCACATGTGAAAATCTGTTAGTTTTTAAGAGAAGGTTATCAAATGAAGTTAAATGTAACAATTTTATAGCTTGAGAGGGTTGATTGTCAAAATTAAAAGTTTAGGGATAATTTGCTAAATCACGAGAAGTTAAGGGGCAAATGTGCTAAATCATTTTTTAGTAAGAATCAAAAGAGACACGACAGGCGAAATAAGCACATCAGCATATAGATGACGACACACTAAAGACTAGAAGAAGATATATCCGCAGTTTTACATAGAAATCATAACAGAGGATTAAACCAAAAAAATAGAGAAAAAAAAAAACCTGATTTCCTTGGTTTTGACCGAACTCTGTGTTCGTTTCGTACGACTTTTTTCACCGCGGAAGGATCTCCTAAGGTACCGATACTGAAAATTATACGAATTCCCCAATCCTAAAATTGGTCTCAAATTGTAATTTAATTAATATTCGGATCTCCACTGAGATTCTTGGGAAGCTTTCAGGTATGATGTTCGGGTTGGGTTGGATTGGGATGGGTAGTCGGGTTCAAAGTTCATCGTCAAATAGAAATAATACTGAGCAAGCCATCATCAAAGAGAGAGCAATCAAAGTTCAATCCAACATCAAACATAAAGCAATGTAGTCCAACTTAGCAGAAAGAAAAATTAAGTCCAAACAAACAAGGAGATGAAGTCCAAACAAACACATTCACATAACATTTTAAGACAAAAATTAAAAGTATAAAACAATAAATAGATTCCAACAAGCATTCAATCAACATGATCAAGCACCCCTACCATTTACGACATCATCTTATCTTATTCAAGTAAAAAAAAAAAAAAAAAAACACTAATATGCCAGGGTGTTCTAAAGAAATTTTCAACAACAGAAACTGTGACCAAACTTAGAGGTTTTACAAGAAAAGAATTCTTATCACTGATTATATTACTGCTAAGATCCGAGCAGTAAGCTCACACCAATTATGCAAAACTCTTTTAACAAGTATCAATCATAACCACATCCTGAATAGGATTAGTATAAGACAAAGAATAGACAAAACCACCCGTGAAGGAGTTATGCAATTTAACACAACAAAAGACCAGAATTGCAACTTATTTAATAAGAAATGTAAGTAATCTATTTTAGTTACAGAATAAATGTACCAAAACTAAAATGCACCTAAGTCTGAGAAAGAAAAAAAAACAGTATCCACACGCACCAAATTTTCAGTTACAAGTAAAACCCTAATTCCTCTGATTTACTCTTGAATGAGCAAGCATGAACAACACATAGCAATAACAACCTTTTAATGTCTCAGCAAAAAATTATACGATTTTTTAAGTGAATAAATAAATAAAAAGGAATGTGAAAAAGAAAATTTACCCTAAAAGTATTCTAAGCGCAAATTCTTCCCTCGGCCACACTTTCTCATTACGTCTACCAATCCATCCAAAACCCATAACCCATAAAATTCTCTTCCGGATAATAGCATTCCTGGTAAACCATCACTATCCCAAAAGCAAGCTACAGGTTACCCCCCCCATGAGTAACCAAAATCTTTATACAAAATGATTTCCAAAGCAAAGAAAGTTGTAGTGATGGAATTGAGCCATGGTTCATTCACCATTTACTTAGCAAATCACAATTGAATCCGACATAAAAGCAAAGGCCCTATTTTTTTTTTTTTTTTTTTTCAGGTTGAGGTACACGGTCCCTGAGCAAAGAAAGCAAATGAGGTTGTTCACATCAAATGAACAAACTTCATGTCCTAATACTCTCTGCACTTTTAACTCTTTCACCACCCAAACTTCATCTGTGCTTGCTACATGTGAAAATGACAAACCATTCAACTATGCCCACCAAGCAGAAAAACAGGACTTGGGGTGGTGGGAAAAAGCTAACATGTCAAACAATTTCACTTAAAAATGAGTTTGAAAATGAAAAAAAAAAAAAAAAAAGAATCGAGCCTGACCTTGCCGGAATCAACCGCGACCGTCTCCTCCAATCGCACGCTGGTGAAATTTGACCTGACGCCGGCGAGAACCTCTTCGTTTCGGTCAGAAATTGAGGCGCCAGGTGAAGCTAGCACCGGCTCTAAAGGAAATCGGAATCCGAGGAGGAGATTGAAAAGAAAAGGAAGAAGACGCCGAGATTAAGGAAGAAAGGAAGGAAGAGAAAAGGGATTTCGAAGACGCGTAGCAGAGATTCAAGGATTTCGAAGATTGAAAGGAAAAGGAAGAAGACGCTGCAGAAATTTTGTGGAGAAAGTATGCGGTTTCGATGGAGTAGTAGTCGAGAGACTCATGGGGGCTACGGTATCTCGGGACATTTTGGAGAAAAAAGAAACGAGCCTTTCCATTGCCCCCCACCTGAATGAGGATTCACTCAAATTGAGTGAGTGGGCTTTCAGTAGGAAAGTCCTTTCCAACCAAAAAAATGGACCAAATGATGGAATTGGATAGAATAGCTTTTCCTTTCCATTCCATTACTTCCAGCCAAACACACCCTAATATGCTAGGGTGTTCTAAAGAAATTTTCAACAACAGAAACTGTGACCAAACTTAGAGATTTTAAATGAATTTTCCCCCTCCAAAACCGGAATTTAACAAGGAGATGACGAAGAAAATTTAGAATATCGAAAATAGAACAGAAACCCCAAGGTTGCAGACCTATATTGTACCTTGAATCTGGTTTCTCAGTTGTATTTCAAGAAAGTCTTCAAGCTTTCCCTTAAGCTTGTTGAGTTCTAGTGAAGAAATTAATACGAGGATTTCTTTTTCGATTCTAAAGGATTGAGTTTCTCTAGCAAAAGGAAGAGGCTAATTCTGTGCAAACAACGAGGGGAAGAAGGGAACAAAGAAACCACATCATCTTCTCAAAAACCACAAAATCCAAACTTCAAAAAAACAAAAAAAGAAAAAAAAAAACCAACCGTGGAGGAGCTGGGCTTGCAGATGGCTTCCGGTGGTCGGGGGAGAGGGATGAGCTTTCGCGACGGTGAAAATGTAAGTGAGGGGTGAAGGGCTAATGCTGAGACTTGAGATTGATTTGGAAGGAACTTGATTACTGTCACTGATTTGGGAGGAAGCCGCCGGAGAAGAGATTTGGGAGTGAGGGTCTCGGACGGAAGGCGCTATGATTTTTAATTTGATATGAGATATAATTTTACGTGAGTATTTTTCATTATAATTATAAAAAATTATGTATGATTATTTTTAAAAATTTTTTATTATAATACGAATTATAAACTCGAATTGTGAAGTAAACAGCGCCTGAAAAAATGATTAAAGGCCTAAAGGCTAAAGTAAACAATGAGAGTTGGGTTATGCAGGCCGCAATAAGCTTAATCTACAAACCGCCTTAAAATTGTTGGCTTGGTATTTTATAGGCCAAAATTTTAAAAACAAAGGGGAGGGTGGATCTTTTTGGGTTCGGTTGGGTTGAATTTGTGAGTTATTCGGGTTTATGTACGGTCCTAGTGTCTCTTTTGATTTTTACTAAAAATGGTTTAGCACATTTACCCCTTAACTTCTTGTAATTTAACAAATTACTCACAAATTTTTAATTTTGACAATTAACCCTCTAAGGTTATAAAATCATTAATATTTAATTGACGTTTGGTTGGAGGATTCAAACCATGTGATTCGAACCATTTTCGATTTACATGAATTTTTTGTGAGAGAAAATACTGTAGCGAACCATGAATCATGATTCGAATCAGGGAACGAATCCCTCTACCAAACATCCATGTGCAAGTTACATGTGAGGTTATAAAGAGGTAAAATCGGTATTTCCTATACCTAAATTACTAAATAAAATTATAAAAACCTTAGACTAAACTAAGCCATTGATCTTAAAAAAATTTTAATCTCAACCACCCATCTAATTTTTCTGGTCTGGTTCTCAGAAGGTGACAAGAAACCTACCCTAACTAGTAGCCACAAATTCTGAAGCGATGGTGGGGCCGTGAATGTACCCATAACATGAGCTTCGTTGGTTGGGTAGCGGAGGTTTGGGTGACGATTGGCGAAAGAAAATGATAGAGTTGATGGGTGGGAGTGCACGACTTTTGGAGATCGGCCACCGATGAGTATGATGGTCATGACAGTGTCGAAGGAGGAAGCGGGCGCATGGTGGAGGTAGCAACACGTGTACTGGCGACGATATATGGTTGTTTTGTAAATATTTTTATTAAATTTGAGTTAAAGTTCATTATAAGAGAGACCACATGCACCTCAATAAGATTTAATGTCAACCGTTGGATTTAACCCTAAGTAGGGCACATTCCTTTTTCATTTTCATCACCATTGTCCTTTTCTCTAATCATTTTTTAGTTTTTTGAATATCACATTCCTCGTTACTTTTTTCGTCGCTCCTCAGCCCACATCACTATCCTCCTTCCGTTGAAGCAGATAGATTAGGCGGCACTCCGGCAAGACCTATTGTCACTCGCTCAAACCCCTCCTTTGCCATTATCTCCACCTTTGAATCAAACTTGCTAGGACCTCCCGCTACTTTTTCAATTTTCTCTTTTTAATCCTATTGCGTTCGTCTGTAGTTTAAACACTTTCTCAGTCTCTCTCTCCTTTCCTATTGCCCCATGCCAACTCTGCCTCCCTTGCATACTGCTGCACTGGTAGTCTTCTTAGGCAATGTATATAATATTATATATCTTATATATATATATAACTCATATCAATTTCTTAGGTCTGTTTGTTTCTTATTCTCAAACTCAAATAATTAAATTTGCTATAGTTTTTTTCTAAAACGTGAAAATCAAGAATCATGGTTTGAGTACGGCCTTTTAATGCTTTCTTAGAATAACTATCATACATATGAATATACTTAGGTGTTTTTACTCGAACATAAAGATTTAAGATGTCAATTGTGACTTGTATTACCAATTTTAGAATTCTATATGTTTCAAACAAATACTCACACAATTTATATGATGTATTCGTACGCCGTAAAGGTTTTTTTTTTTTTTTGGTAAATGCAATCACATTTGATTTTAACGAATAAGGGAATTCTTGCTTGTCAGATTTAACAAATTCGTGGATTACTAAGAAAAAGATGTATGTGGGTTCATCTTCTTTGAAAAGATCAATATCAACTTTGCCCCATCTCTGTGAGAGGCTTAAACAAATAGGTAAAAGAGACTGTTCAATGAAATGAGAAAACTTGGTTGTAATCCTGATGTTTTTGCATATAATGCACATGTCAGGGCTGGTGAGGGCTTCTCATTCATTGCTTAAAATCATGGAAGAAAATGGTTGTGTTCCTGACTTAAGAAATAAACGGACCTAAGAAACTCATATGAGTTATATATTTATATAAAATATATAATATTATATATATTACCTGAGAAGACTACCGTCGCAACGGTAGGCAAGGGGCGACAGAGTTGGCATGGGGCAATAGGAAAGGAGAGAGATACTAAGGCCTCGTTCATTTCGCTGATTCGAGTTTAGAATTCGAGTTTTGCTACAGTGAAAAGCTCTCACAAACAATCATATCTAACTTTTTTGCTACAGTAAAAAGCTCTCACATAAAATCACATCTCAACTCGAATTAAAAACTCGAATCAACGAACTGAACGGACCCTAAGAAAGTGTTTAAACTATAGACTAATGCAATCCTAAAAAGAGAAAATTGAAAAAGTAGCGGGGGATGCGGTCCTAGTGAGTCTCATTCAAAGGCGGAGATAATGGCAGATGAGGGGTTTGAGCGAGTGATGGCGGGTCTTGCCGGAGCGACGGTGCACTCCGATGGCTAATCTACCTACTTCGACGGAACGAGGACATTGATGTAGGCTGAGAAGCAACGAGAGAATTAGCGGTGAATGTGATGCTAAAAAAAACTAAAAACTGATTTTAAAAAAAAGTAAAAAATGATTAGAGAAAAGGACAACAATGATGAAAATGAAAAGGGAATGTGTCCGGTTAAATCGAACGGTTGACATAATCTTATTGAGGTGCACGCGGTCTCTCTTATAATGAACTTTAACTCAAATTTAATAAAAAATATTTACAAAATAACCATATCTCATCATCAGTACACACGTTGCTATTTCCACCACGCGCTCGCTTCCTCCTTCGACACCGTCATTACCATCGTACTCATCGGTGGCCAATCTCTAAAACCCCTGCACTCCCACCCATCAACTCTATCACTTTCTTTCGCCAATCGTTACCCAAACCTTAGCTACCCAACTAACAAAGATCATGTTGTAGGTACATTCGCCGTCCCACCACCGCTGATAGGTTTCTTGTCACTTTTTGAGTCGAACCAAACCAGAAAAATTAGATGGGGGGTTGAGATTAAAAAAATTTTAAGATCAATAATTGAGATAGCCTAGGGTTTTTATTATTTTATTTAATAATTAAGGCATATAAAATACCAATTTTATCTCTTTATAACTCTACATGTAACTTGCACATGTCAAAATCTGTTAGTTTTTTAGAGAAGGTTGTCAAATGAAGTTAAATGTAACAATTTTATAATTTGTGAGGGTTGATTGTAAAAATTAAAAATTTAAAGATAATTTACTAAATCACGAAAAATTAAGGAGTAAATGTGTTAAATCATTTTTTTTTTTTTTTTAGTATAATCAAAAGAGACACGACGGGCGAAATAAGCGCATCAGGATATATATAGATGACGACGCAGTAAAGACTAGAAGAAGATATATCCGCAGTTTTAACTTTTACGTAGAAATCATAACAAAGGATTAAACCAGAAAAATATAAAAATAGAAAGAAAAAACCTGATTTCCTTGGTTTTGACCGAACTCCGTGTTCGTTTCGTACGACTTTTTTCACCGCGGAAGGATCTCCTAAGGTACCTTCACTGAAAATTATACGAATTCCCCAATCCTAAAATTGGTCTCAGATTGTAATTTAATTAATATTCGGACCTCCACTGCGATTCTTAGGAAGATTTCAGGTTTTATTCTTGACTGAAATATCGAATTTGTTGATTTCTCTTTTTTGTGCAATTTTTTCCCCTTATTCTTCTTCTTTTGTTAGCGATTTGATTTCGTTGAACAAAACTCGAATTTCTTTGAGGGATTTTGAAGTACGAGTTTTGATCGGAATTCGGAATCAGGTATATCTGAAAGAGCTGTTTAATTTGAATTTTCTGTTCTCTTTATCTTCGTTGGTTTATCATTGTTGTGCAATTTTCGTTCGTTGCTTTGAATGGATTAAAGAGATTTGGAAAATTTCTTCTAGATTTTATTTCTGGATTGACTCGTCTAAAAATCCTTAAAAAATATATCTTATGTTGGTAACTAACATCCGAGCCTTGGTTTAAGTGCATTTTGATTTTTTTTTAAAAAAAAAAAAAACCTAGAGCTCATTAGTGACCTGATTTCAAGCCACCTGTAACCCAAGATCCTCCATGATTGGTTTTCTGTTTGTAATTTTTGTTTGAATTTGTGATTTTGATTTTGTGGTGGGAAAACCAAGTCTTGTCTCTGAGGAGGAGATGTGAGCGTTTCTGTTATTATGGTTCATATCCCTTTGCTTCTATGAGAGGTTTTACAAATTCCAAAATGGGTTGAATTTAAATCTTTTTTAGCTCATTGGTTAATAGTGGTTATGGTGGCGTTTCTCCATTTGGGTTGTTATGTGGTTGTTTTGATTTGCAAAATTGGTTTTGCCTTGTTAAGATGATATTGAGACATAAGGAATTTATGAAATAGAAATTAGTTTGTGGAATTGGTTTTATTGTGTAATCTGTTGATATTTTGATTCATGTTTCTGGAATTTGTTTTGTTTGATTGTTTAAATTTGCTATTCTGATTTTTGGTTGATCTTTCTGAAAATTGCTATTTTGATTAGTTTGTGTATTTAGCTCTTTGTGATTTTTTTTGGGTCGATGATTTTACTTTTTTTTGGAAGATTGGTATTTGTTTGATTAGTTTGATATTTATTGTAAATTGCTCGTGTGATTAGTTGGATATCGTTTGAAGTCTATTCTACATTTTGATGGAGTAACGTCATCATGTTGTCAAGAGTGAAGGGTTTAATTATATTATGTATATGATTGTATGTCAGTATATGTTTTTGGGGCTATAAGTCGCTGACTCGCTGCCATAATCGTTTCTGGTTAAAGCTTCATTCTCTGTCGTTTTTTATTTGGCAGCTATGCAGAGCCAGCTTGTGTGTAGCGGGTGTAGGAGCATTCTTCTTTATCCTAGAGGAGCTACAAATGTTTGTTGCGCATTATGCAACTCAGTGACCTCAGTCCCTCCTCCTGGTATGTTTCTTTTCTGTTCATTTATCTCAATGAAAAATTTGTAAGTACTACTTTCCTTAGGCGAATAGTTGAGTTTTCATGTCGATATGTTTTCAAAGCTTTTGACTTGAAAAGATTGAGCATATTAGTGGAAATTCTGAGCTAACATCTAAGAATCAATGAGCCATGCATCATCAGGGTGTACTTTTGAGTTCTGGAACAGTTATTTAGATTTTCTTCCTCTAGAAAAAGTGCAAAATGAACATTTTTTCAAAAGAAGAAATTGATGGAGTAATAGGATGTAATGATCCACAAGACAAAGAGAGCTAAAAGGATGATGGCTACCAAGAATAATTGGCAGTGCTTTCTCTCACCCCTGACTTCTACCTCCTTCCTGTTGGCTTCTTTAATAAGCTACATGACTGAAGTAGAAGTGTCTTTCAAAATTAGTTTTCTGCCACAAGATGAAGTATGATGTATAACTTAATATGATGGTGCCAAATAGGAAAAGACAGCGAAGCTTTCTAATCACTACAAGTGGAGAAATAAATGTGCCAAAAATCAGAATACAGGGTGCACTTTTGTAATTTATCCTTTATGACAGCTTTTAGTGGAGAATGCACTGGTGCATCGGTGAAACATGAAGAGAAGATGAAGTATTCCATTTATATTATTTTATTAGCTGCTTAATCTAAATACTGGTTACAAAAACAATGTGTTTACTTTCTTATGATAGTTAGTAGTCCAAAGTGGAAATTTTACTGTGGGCATTATCATCAAAACACTTTGGTGATGGCTTCAGTAGTTGTATTGGTTGTAGTCTTGCAGGTCCATTGTTGTTTCAGACTTTAAAGTAAATGTCAACTCTTATGCATAGATATGCTGCAGTTGCACTTGCATTGATGTTGCCACCTTTTAGCATTTTGGTTGTAGCCTGTAGCGGAAAGTCAAGATGAACTGATTTATTTGTGTGTTTATAAGGACGTCATTTTTTACTATTCTTGGTGCATGATAAAGAAATAATCATGCCGTAGAAATTTCTAGCTTTAGTCCCCTGCACTCCTCTCAATATGAAGTATAGCAGTCTGCATTGGTGTTCGGGAGAGTTGGTATTGTGAAGGAAACAAACTGATTTGAGAGTTATTCAATCAAGTTCATTTTCTGAGCATGGAGCTAGATATAATTTATGCGGGTATTGACATGTCAAGAAAAGTGCTCAATTGTGCGGTCTCTTATGGAAGCAAAAACTGAAAATCTTTATTTTCTTCTTCTTCTTCCTTTTTTTTTTTTGGGGACAACATTAATTATTTTATTAGGTTATGGGGTTGAATTAAAGGATTTAACCAAACAATGAACACTTTTTTTATTATTTTATTTTTGTATTGAATACCTGCAGGGATGGAAATGGCACAACTTATATGTGGAGGCTGCAGGACATTGCTAATGTATACACGTGGGGCAACAAGTGTTAGATGCTCTTGCTGTCACACCGTCAATCTTGCACCAGGTGTGATATATGCTATCTGTGCCTATAGTGAAATGTTTAGTCATGAAAGTGACACTGCAAATGATGTTTTGATTGTCTGAATTGTTTGACACTACCTCACTCATAGTTTCACCTGCTGGAAGGTGTAAACATGTTACCTAATTCTTTACAGATAATAGTTGTATTTCGGGACCCACGAACACTACTTGAGGAATTTTGGTTTATCTCTGCTATGACATCATAACAATTTGCCCATTGGACGTGTTATTCTCTTCATAATAAGAAAGAAAAAGGAACGAGCCAGCATCCCTAGGGATTTAATAGCACACACACACATATATGTTTATATTTTGAATGCAGTCTTAACGTTTTTCTTTCCTTCTTGAACATTGCAAATACGCTTTTGGTATTTTTTTTTGAAAAAAAAAAACGAGACTTTATTAATAAATTAACAAATTAACAAAAGAGAACTAGGAGAGAAGAGGAAGAGTTGTCCTCAACCGAACCAAGCTCCCACTATACAAGACCAGCAGCATATAAGTAATCCAAAAACAAAACACCCAGGACAAATCTATAAAATGTGACCCCACTTCCTAAGGAACTCCGAAAAAATTGGCTTCCCGTTTTCTTTATCTCTATATGCCCATAACGTCACCCAATACTTTGTTTTATCCCAAAGAACCTCTTCATCTTCCTTTTGGTTCTCAAAAATTCTATTGTTCCTCTCCAACCACAAACCCCAAAAAAATAGCTAAAACCGCAGCCCTCCACATTATCAACCCGCTTTGACTATATCCAGATGGAGGGGAAAAGATCATCACTTCAGAATATCTTTCTGGAGTCGCCCAAGGGAAACCAAACTCCCTAAAGCATATAAGTGGATGAAGGGTCTCCCTGTCGAAGCCCTCTTGACGCTGCGAATTTCCCCCCTTGGCCTTTTGGTTTATTGCTTCCTTATATATGGCCTTTTGACACTGCATTTGTAAATTGCATAGACAGAGCCTAACTTTTTTCTTTCAAAGGTAATGCGATTTTCTTATGTCTATATGTACACTTGTCTGCTTACTTATCCTTTTTGTTTGTCTCTTGTTTTCTTTTATTCTGCAACTAAAAAGGACCCAATCAAGTAGCTCATGTTAACTGTGGGAACTGCCGGACAACACTTATGTATCCTTATGGGGCTCCTTCAGTCAAATGTGCAATTTGTCAATATGTCACAAATGTTGTAAGTACAATTGTACAAGTGAACTTGATCAATCTTTTATTGAAGAATTTTAAAGTCTAAAATTACTTTCCAGAGAATTTTTGGCAAATATTAACTGCTACTTAGTTTCAGTGATTCTGTTTGTCACACACGACGTTGCTAGTATATATAAAAAAAAACTCACACACACACACTTTTTCCTAGTTATGAAGTTGAAAACCTTTTTTAGGTTGGAGTTAGAGAATCACATATATTTACTTTGGTGACATGCAGAACTTCTTTTAACATCGATACGTCTAAATTCTGAATTCTCCCTTTTTTCCTTGTCTAAGCCTTTAGACCAAAAGCAAATCTAACTTTAAAAGACATCAAATGTCCTGTTTGGTAAACTAGTTCAAGTGGTTTGAACCAAAGAGTTGGTTAAACCAGTGTTCGGTAAAGTGTTTCAAATTTTGTTTCAAACCATTGATTTGATGTTTTGAACCAAAAAAAAAAAAAAAAAACCTTATAAATATGGGTTTACACCCCCTGTTAAACCAAAACTTGAACCATTTTTTTTTAAGCTTTTCATTTCAGACCGAAAAAGGTCAAACCATCATATTTCAAACCTGTTTACCAAACATTCATAAATGGTGCAAATGTCTTACTTTGTTCTTTACTACTTTTTAGCTAAGTTATCATGATCTTGTATTTAGTTATTGAATTTTTGGGTACTTTATTTCTCAAAAGTAATATCTACCATGAGTTAGAGTGTGCAAAATTTTATCAACAACTTGAAATTGTTCTACTTAAATCAATTTTCTCGTAGTTTTCAAAAATAATCCACATGCTTGTTGTTTTTACACAATTTATCTGAATCAGTTCTAATAGAATACACCTTCTCTGATGACTTTCATGAAAACACTTTCTACCCCCAGTCTTGTAAAAATTCCAGTTTCTGGTTCCACTTTGTGATAATATATTCTGGGTCGAGGTTTATTTTCTTCCTCTTTAACATTATCTTCCATTTCACAGATGGGCAACATGAGGGTTCCAATTCCTGTGCACAGACCCAATGGAACCAATTCAACAATGCCCTCCACTTCAGCTGTAAGTTCATAAAATTTTTTCTTAGATTCGCTTGCATCCTTTTTCTCATTATTATAAATTTTGGGGTGGGCGGATTTAACTCTACTCCACAAGATGGAGCAAGATGGTGTCAAGTGTGAACTACTGCCTGGCTATGCTTGCAACCACAATTCCCGTTTGTCTTGTGACAATAATGGTTCTTTTTTTATTATTATTATTATTTCCTTTGCATTCCCTGCAGCCAATGCCTCATTCACAAAGCCAAACTGTTGTCGTTGAGAACCCTATGTCCGTTGACGAAAGTGGCAAATTGGTTAGTTTCATTGTCAACTTCTTTTGAATCTTTTTTATTTTTTTATTAGTTTTTAAAACATTTCTTCCTTTAGTTTTCCAACTTCAGAGTCCTAATATCATATCAGCAAGGAAAATTTCTAATGAATTTTTTTTTTCAATCTCACAGGTGAGCAATGTAGTTGTTGGAGTCACAACAGAAAAGAAATAAATCAATCAGATACCAGGATATGCTTTTGGCATTATTTGGCAGGGAGCAATCCTAATCTTTGTCACACATCACGCTATATACAGACTTGAAAATTGGCTGTGCATATCTTGTTAGAGGTGAACATGATTTTCATTTTTTTCCAAGAACCTTATATGAAATGTGAGGTTTCCTGTGATTAACTGTGATGTTCTTAAAGGTAAGAGGTGAAAAGAATATTCCTTTTTTGTCATTGGTGTGATTGCTATATAACTATTGTTTGCAGCCTGTTGAGTTCTAGCTGTGTGGATACTCTCATACAGTACTTTTGCTGGTCTTGTACTATAAACATAATGTAGGAATAAAATTTATCCATTAGAGATTGATGATTTGTCTTTTTTGGCGAGCCCCGGTATCATATTCTTCCCTCAAAAAAAAAAAAAAATGAAAAAAGAAACTTTAATCATGATTACGGAGTGTTAAATACAGACGCCATATCAGAGTCTCAGACTCGTATTTTAGCACTCATCTTCATTATTTGCTTGCTCACATGATTACTGGATGTGCTTCAGTCAAAAACCATCTTCGAGACTGATGTTGAGCAACACAATAAATTGTATAAATGATGGTTATTACTTGGAATTTTGTCCTTTGGGGTCTGCGCGGCGCAGGGTTGATTTCTGTACAATAAATCTTGAAAGATTGCTTCAGATGTTAAACGAATTAAGTTTCTTGTTCAAATTGTACACTTCCATAGGTCAATCGGATAACTTATGTGGTTCAAATAGCAAGAATTTAGTACTTGCTAAACTTCATCAGGCTAGTATATTGTGTGTGAAAAATCTCGTTAAGAGTACCTTGTTATTAAAAAATTTGACCTTTTTTTTTTTTGTGCTTTGGAATGTGATCCAGGAATCTTGAATGTGTTTCTGGGACATAAAATGACAATTTTTCCTTTCAATCCAAAAAAAAGTTTATTAAAATGCACAAGGAATTTTATTTATTTAGAAATTTTATGCCTTTTCTTATTTAATTCTGTTTTTAGACTGAAAAAGAGAATTGTCATTTTATGTCTCAAAAACGAGTTTGCCATTTTATGTCTCAAAAACGAGTTTAGAGTACGTAAATGATGTTATTTTGAATAACAGGTACTCCAATGCAGTTACTATTATTATTACGAAATCAGGCTGGACCGGGCTGGTTTGGAAGTGAGAAAAAAGTTGGCCTAGCTCGGCCCAGAAGCTTCATGGATCGAGGTCGGGCATGGCCGAATTAATTTTAGGGAGAAAGAAGAAAATAGATCAAGATTTGAGATAAATTAAAATTAATAGGTTAATAGTTTACATAAGTTAATAAATAAGTTAAATTACTGTTTTCGTCTATAATTTGTCTGGTTATGAACCATAACTTAATAAGTTATTGTTTATAATTGTCTATAACTTGTCTGGTTATGAACTATAACTTGACAAGTTTGTTCATAATTTATTTGGTTATGAACCATAACTTAACAAGTTATGACTTATTAATTTTTATAATTAAAAATTGACTTATATACTTTCTTAAATTTTTTATATTGATTTATTTTCTATTATTTCTTTTAATTTTATAAGAAATTTTTAAAAAAGACGATTTAAATTTTTTATATTGATCTATTTTCTATTATTTCTTTTAATTTTATAAGAAATTTTTAAAAAAGACGAATCGAACTAGTTGACATGACATGAATAGATTTCGGGCTCAGATTCTTATGTCAAGGCTTCATGCAGGTCGAACTAGATGAAGCCTATACAAAAAAGATAGGCTTTTGTCGGTCCTTTGGACCTGTCCTAAAATTATAGTTCTAGTTAAGACTAATTTAAATTTAAATTTTTAATTACAAAATATCCATAATTAATTGTGTCATTGAGAGCGAAGAAGATTTATTTTGTTTAATTTTATATGTAAATTAGGCTAAAAAATGGTGCTTGGTTAAAAACATTTGCTATTTATGTGACATGTGTTAAAAATTATTAAATTTTTATACGAATAGGTATTTTTATCACTGTTTTATTATTCGAACGGAATAAATGTTACGTTTTAAAGATCAGAAAAGAAAATGTTATAAGGAGATAATTCAATAAAAACTTTTGTAATTAATCACTCTATTTTTTTTTTTTTTGCCTTGAGAAATCCCTCTAGTTATTATGCTTCGAGTTCTTCTCTTAGATCAACAAAAAAGTTCCTCTTAATAATTTTCCCCAGAGAGATGGTTTTTTTTATAGAAGGTACAAAGATATATATATTTTTTTCCTCTTTAACCAAATTCCTCACTGAATTAAGAATTTTAGAAGCTCATCATTAAAAAGTTCAGGATCATTCCTCAAATTATCCCCGATTTGGAAAAAATATATATATATATATATAATTATGAATCACACTCAAAATATTTTATGATTCGTTTAGTACGATGATTTAAACTAAAGTGATTCTAATTATGATTCTAAAATCATGACTATGATTCATGATTTTAGATTTAAATCATGATTCAGATGTTTAAATCACCTTAAATTAAAATGGGGGTGGTTTTAGAAATGTAAAATATCACATCAGATTATAAATCATAATTTAAAATTATCACTAAATACTGATTTTAAATTATAATTTAAAATTATTATAAACAAACACTGATTCTAAACTAAAATCTAGAATTTATCTACCAAACACACCTTACTCTGTTTTTCGTGTTCAACAGTTTGGTTTGGCAAAAAGAAGGAAATACTATCCATATTCTCTGAGTTGCCGCCATTAATAGCCAATCACTCTGTTCTCTTTTCCCTTTCCTTTTATTAATCTATTCGTTTTATTTAAATTCAAATTAAATTGAAGTTAATAATTTATTCGTTTTATTTAAATTTAAATTAAAGTGAAGGTAAAAAAGAAGTTCCAAATTTCAATCTTCGTTTTCCGAATAATCACGGGTTGCCGTATTCTCTCTCTCTCTCTCTCTCTCTCTCTCACTTTCAGACATCGTCGGCCCTAGTTGACCTTAATTTCGACTTGGTGTTAATCAGCTCTAAACGTGAGATTTAGTAGCTCTTAGTCTTAATCTAAGATTCATTCATTCTTCTTCTTCTATTTTTTTTTTATTTTTTTTTTATTTTTTAGTGCTCGTATTTATGTTTTCAGGGATGGAAAGTGGTTCATCCTTATACTACGGAACTGTGTCTTTGTCATGGTGTCAAGGAATAATTTTGCCTCCCAAAACAGTGCCTTTGCGGATCTCTTTCAATTCAAAATCACAACTTTTGAAGCTTGACCTTTGCCACGGTCTTTGTTCACCCCCTTCTTTTCAGGTATGCTGTGAAAAACTTGAAGGTTCCAATTTATTGTGAATCGTTGCCGCTTTACCCATTGTGCATGCATATGAAAAGGGGAAAGCAATTATTATGCGGATTATTTTGGCCCGGTTCGTTTCGCTAGTTCGAATCATACAGTGTTTTTCCCGTAAAAATTTAAGTTAAACTTTTTTTGTCGATCGAATGAAACAAGAAGTTTTTAGTATGCCAGGCCATGTTGTCTCCTATTCCTCACTGTGTGTATTTGTTTTTCTTTAGGTGTCACAAAAAATATTTCCTGTTATTTATGCACGATCTACATTCTGTCTGATTACTAGGAAAATGTAGGAAAATTTGGTGGGAAGAGTGAAATCTCATGATAGATTGTGATTCTGATTTGAATGTTCAAGTCACGTTAAACCCATTTGGGAAGTAACACATTTGCACACAAACTCACATCCAGATCCTCCATTGTACCCAGTTTGTCTTAGACTCGAGACTCACATTATGTTACTAGCATCCTGGGGTTTAAGTTTTATACTGCTGTTGCTGCTGTAAAATTTTTTATATCAGGGTGTTGACTGTTTCCCACGTAATGCAGTTGTTCGCTTATAAGGGACGCTATATCGGGTGCTTTCAACATAAAAGGGAGAGTCTGGGTTGTTCAAGTTGTTGTAAGTGAAGATATTCTTAACATACTATCTTACAATTCTTTGTTCGTTGCCAAGTGACTAGTAGTAATCTTCCTGATGATTTCATTTTACACTTAATAGTGTTTAAGCTATATATTTTCCATTGAAACTATAAAATACTATTCCTCATTGGCCCGCTTGGTTCACGCATTTAAGTTAGTGATTCTGATTCTGAATTCAAATTATGTGAGAGAACTCATTTGCGGGAACTTTTTTTATTCAAATTTTTTGTTGGAAAAGTACTCTAGCAGAATTAGAATTATGGGTTCAAATGGGCCTTATGTAATTCAATTTCTTGACTATTATCTACTCAGAACTCTAGCATACTACGAAGGTTTGTGCAATTATAGCCGTCCTTTTGTGAAAACAATAGCAGTTTGGGTTTCTCATGCTTGTTTCCTTTGCTACCAACACGTTTGAATTGCTGACCGATTTCACAGTTATGATCATATTCAGGATTGCTTTTCTAGCTACACGTTTATTGATAAAGTCATCTCGAAGTTCAATATCAATTGTAATCCTGGTGCTACGGTTCATGACTGTAACAAGTTTATTACTTATAGACACTATCATTAGTCTTTTTCTGTTACAGCTGCTCGCAATAGCTTTATATGCAGTCCGAGGGCGCATGGCATCATACCGTGGTCCCTTTCTAATAAACAGGAGAAGCTTAATGTGCCACATTACAATGTTAAAATGCAAAACCGAGGGAAGGCATCCAGAGACATAGTTGTGAGATCTGAACTTACTGGAACTGGGATCCCTGACACAACTTTCCCGTTACCAGGTTTCTCTCATTAGCTCTTTTCTGTCATAATTTCCTTGCCATCTGCTACAATTCTTAGTCTCTTCTGTTTCTTCTATTGTTGTTTCTTAAAATGCAGAACAAAACATGGTTTCAAAAGCTAGGGGGATATGCTTTTATGCTGTTACTGCTGTTGTCGCAATTTTTCTATTTGTGCTGATGGTCTTGCAGCATCCTTTTGTGCTCTTGTTGGATCGATACCGAAGAAAAGCTCATTTCTTTATTGCTAAACTTTGGGCAACGTTAACTGTGAGTCCATTTTTAAATATTAAGTTTGAGGGATTGGAGAATCTGCCTCCAGTACAGACTCCAGCCGTATATGTCTCCAACCACCAGAGTTTTCTAGACATATATACTCTTCTGACTCTCGGGAGACCCTTTAAGTTCATCAGCAAAACCAGCGTATTCCTCTTCCCTATTATTGGTTGGGCCATGTTTCTCTTGGGTGTAATTCCTTTAAAGCGCATGGACAGCAGAAGCCAGTTGGTAGTCCTTTTCCTTCTTATCCTTGTTTAGTGTTGGAATATAGCAAGTGTTACTAGTAAATTCTGTCCCTTTCTCTCAACCTGATTTACAAGTTTGATTGATTTGATTTCTATTGGCTTTTGCGTATAGGACTGTCTTAAGCGATGTATGGATCTTATAAAGAAGGGGGCCTCAGTCTTTTTCTTCCCAGAAGGAACACGGAGTAAAGATGGAACACTAGGTGCTTTTAAGGTGAGATCATTTGTGGATCCTTATGAACCAGCAATAGTGTAGGGTCCACTAATCTGGTTGACAACCATGAGAGGAAATTGGAGAGATTTGGTTACTAAATACTTTCTAGAGTCGAGTACAGCCTAGTTTTCATTACAAAATAAGAAAAGATTAAATATTCACAGGAAAAAAAGAAAAGTTTAAATGAATCCTAGTTTTCAATATATAACTGTTATCGAAAGGATTCACGATTTACGTGGTTTGGTAATATTTTGAACTATTTTCCTAAGACAGAAAATAGATACTTGTATGGTTTCCTTTGACCCAACAAAGGGACAGTAGAATCGTACATAGATCTAGGAACAAGTTTTGTAGTGATGCACATTTGGCTATTTGAAATAACTAAAGGGGTAATCTTCTGTACATTTTATAAGTACTTTTGGAGGATATCTGGATAATAGAAGAAGACATACTTTCCGCACCATTTCTCTCTCCCTTGCTTTCTTCTTTAATTTTATCTTTTTTTCTTATGCAATGATATGGAGATGTGTGCCAATTTTGAAATTTTATTGTTTTCTCTTGATGTTGATATGCAGAAAGGTGCCTTTAGCGTTGCGGCAAAGGCTAAAGTGCCAGTAGTGCCTATCACCCTTATAGGAACTGGTAAACTCATGCCTTCAGGAATGGAGGGTATCTTGAATTCTGGAGATGTCAAAGTCATTATTCATAAGCCAATAGAAGGAAGTGATCCGCAAGTGCTGTGCGATGAAAGTAGAAATGTAATTGTAAATGGGCTCACGCGTCATGCCTAAGTATCTGCTCACACTTTTGTTTTTTTGGGCCTGCAAGGCCAAATAATAATTAACCTCTTTGTCTAGAACATAGACTTATACCCTGAAGGTGCGTACTCTTCATAAGGTGCCTTTGCAGTAATTATTTTCTGTGAGTTATGCTTGCTTTCTAAAATGGATCAATTAAATCTTTGTGAACATTGACATGACAAGCAACTAGTCATCTTATTGCCTGTTTTTGGGCATTTAGCTTTTTTGTTTAACTTTTTTTTTTTGGCCAAACATAAGAAACAATTTCTGTAGATATTTAATATCAGAAATCTATCTTCTTTTGTAAAACTTTAAAACAAGATTTAACTATCTGTTGGTAGGAATGGTGTTGATTATGGGAATTAGTTGGATAGTCACATTATGTAAAACTTCTCTCACTTTTGGCAGCGTTCTTTTGTGTGGTTGTCAACCTAAGGGATAGTTTATGCGTGAGGGAGGGCTACTTAAAGAATCGGTGAATTAGTGTAGGGCTCTGCATAGAATCATTGAAATTGTAGGGCTATGCAAAGTGTCTTCGGAAACAAATTCTCACATGTCTCTCTTATGTGAACACATGTTAAGTTTGTTCTAGGATCAAATTGTGCTTTAGTAGCAAGTAACGTTTTCTTGATCTTTTTATTTGGCATGGAATTCGCTTCCTTCATTTATTGTTATCAATGATATTCTTGCTTTTATGAGGTTTGATGACTCTTTTATGATTATTGATTTCTGCAGTTTCAGATTAGGACTTACTCAAGTGTAGCACCTAAAACTTTTGCGGCAGAATGGCGCTCGACTCGTTTCCACCAGCTGAGAAATTCTTAGGTTTAGTGGTAGAGCTGCCATACTCACTAACAAAACTTATCACTGGTGGGCTTTTGCAATATCAGATGGTTACATTACAGATATCAACTTGTCGTGTTTTGTTCTGTAGAGACAGGATCAAACAAGGGGTGGGTCAGTCATTTGCTGGTTGACCAAATTCTGTTCAGTTTTCACAAATGGTCATAAAGTGGCTTCTCAATCTTCTACTTTTGCTTTCAACATTCTGCCCTTTGCTTGCTTAATAAGTGATCTGTTTTACAATTTTGATTTTCTTCATTGTATCATGCTTGGATAACTGGATGTGATGTTTGAGAAATCTTTCTCATCTCGAGTGAAATTACAATTTACAACAGTACCACCACTACTACTAATATCTGAAATTGATTTAACTGGTGATAGCTGTTGGTTCCTAAGGTAAAATAGCATCCTCAATTAAGAATTTAATGTGGAAGGAAAACAAGAAAAGCGGCTATATGCCATTCCCAGTTGTGTGTGTGTATATATTTGTTTATTTATATATGAACTGTTATTCCAATATTTATCCATATCCTTATTAATTTAATAGTTGTAATAAATTAAATAGTTAGAGTAAAAGAAATGAAAATTAATAAAATTAGATTCTTATCGAAGAATGGGAGTCCATTGGAAAAATGGATGGTCACCACATTGAGAAAACAAATGAGGAACTGGCCCAAGCTTTAAAGCTAGAATAAGTCAAGACAAAGGAGGAAATGGAACGCCTATCAAAAGAATTGCTGGAGCTGGACTGGACCAAGTTCGAAACAGCCCCAGTTTTCAATGATTTACCAATAAAAACCGGTTTATAACAACAACTGAGATGCCAGGTGCGGCTCAGAGAAGAGGATCATGACATATGATGCTGTAGCAGCAGCAAAAGATTTTCTTTCTAAAGAGATTCTATTCGTAACTATTATATGTCCAAGGTCCAATATTGAAATAATTTCAGAGGTTTTCCTTGACTTTGTCCGTGTCAACAAACAATTCGAAATGCCTCGACTTTTTTAGAACAGGTCCGAGTCAAATAGCAATGATTCGAAGCACTTCTTTTTACACTATTTCGGAAACCCAAGGGCCCAGATTCCAAATGAATGAAAACGTGACTGAATTGGTCCTAGTTACTCTTCGGAACGGAGTGGAAGAAGGGAAGAGGTTCTCGAACGAGGAAAAAGATCCAATGACTTCAAAAGAATTGAACGAGGAGCCGTATGAGATGAATGTCACGTTATTAAATTTTACTGTAAATATTGCTAGAAACAAAAAACTTATATATATATATATATATATAATGCTTACATTGGTCTACAGATTTTAGGCTGAAGTCTGTCATCTTTGCTAGCAGCCTTTGCATTTCGTATGCTAATATTATTTACAAAGGTAATGCTAATATTTTGTTCATGGAGGTGCTCAAGAGCGCATTAAGTTGTTTGTCTCTCTTTTTTTGACGCTTTATAAAATTGCTTTATGCACAAGGGGTAGCTGCTCCGAGCCTATACGAAATACGTAAACAACATCGATTTGTTTAGAAATGCACAAGCCATTTGAGTCTCTCTTTCATACTGTCAATATATTATTGTTCATAGAAATCTGCTACACCGCGACGTTTGTGGTTATTTTGAACTTCATTCTCCTGATTATGGGTGGAGCCGGCATCCCTCTTCATGAAGTGAAAGCCCATAATGTACCTATACTCTCCGGTCCCGAGGCAGCGAGGGCAGTAACCGAGACCACTTCCGCCGCAAGTCTTACACCTGCAAGAGTGGTTTAAGGAAGTTGATTTAGAGTGCCAAAAACTTGTTGATATAAAACAAGAAAAATGAAAGACTTCTATATTTTACCATTTTGGCCATTCCCCTTTCGGTAGCATTGATAAATGAGTACAGTTTGTCCTTCCTGCAATAAGAACATGTTTGTCAAGAGAAACGAATGAGGTTGACGCGCCAGAAACTACCGTGAAAACTCTCTGAACTTGGACATCTAGTCAACCACTCAACAGAAGAATGAAAATCATGATCGAACCTAAGAACCATCAAATTTCAGACATCAGTTTTGTCACCTTGAGTTTTAACTCGAGTAGAAATAGTAAGCTGCAGAAGTATGAAAAAAAAGCTTATTATTGGGGCATAAAGGCATGATTATTATTGGTTCGAGATAATTATCGGTACTGGTTTGGTTTTTAATGAAAACGATAAATGAGATTAATGGTAACATTTGTGCAGCTTGTATTACGGAGCCTAGCTTTGTTCTATGTCACGGAAATCCAGGGTGAGATTATTATAGACAATTTGAAGAAATTTGATGTTATGCAAGCAAAGCCTCCTAATTAGTTTCAAAATGAATAAAAGGTGAAAGCCAGTGTCCCTCAAAAAATAAATACTTTAAGATACACTTTAGCACGGTTTTAATGTTGAAAATGACGAGCAACACTGAATGAGAGCGAGAGAGACAGAGAGAGACCTCTTCCGCGACAATTGTGGCAATCTATCCTTCCACTTCCCATGCAGACAACACAAGGTGGATCCGGCATTCTGCTTTCTTCTTTATGAACATTCGACTGCCGAGAAAACGAGTCGAAAAGGTTATAATAAAATGGAAAAAAAAAAAAAAAAAAACTTTACTGATAGTAAATTCCACATCCAATGGTATTGACAAACTTCTTGACACCAAAAAGAAAGAAAGAAAGAAAAAAAAAACAGTATATGGTAATTTGAATTGCTTAGCTGGGAGCGAGAGAATGCCTTCGGTTTTCTAAGGTCAAAAGAAGAACGAGAATCTGAGGTTTCAAATTACAAGGACGACAGACAATTGTTCTATTTTGTGCGTATTTACAAGAACAACAATGCTGGGAGAATCATATATGGGATGCAATGCTCATGACAGATTTGAAATATGGTTGAAGCTGCCGCATTCATATACTAACGAGTGCTTATCGGAACGCTGCAAAACATAAAAAAAGAAAAGCTACAGAACAAAGGACACACGGTTATGGTGTCGACTTAAGCCTATTGATGACTCTTCGAATCCATGAAAAAGTGCCCGTGAAAAGAAAAATTGCAGAGCTAAAGAAGTAAAAAGGAGAAGCAAAAGACTACAAAAGATTATTCCCTTGAATCTTCTGAGTCTATGGTTTATTATTTATAGAGAATACAAAGACGGTCTGATTTGTTGCAAGAGAATGAACTGACATAAAAAGTTTGTTATAAAAGGAATAATCAGAAATTCATTTGCTGTGGTTTGTGCAGTGAATTGTTTACAAGTGTTAGGGAAATCAACCCTACGATCCTTTTTTATCTTGATCATCTGATTTGGACAAATCAGTAATCTTCTCAGAAAATAGCCGTTGGGATTTTGGGCTATATTCAACAATGACTAAATCAACCTTGTTGCCGAAGCATGAAGAATACAATGAAGTTATATTGGAAAAGCACTTGAGGGCCCAACATCCAGTTGAGCTATCTATAATGAAACAATGATAGAATCTCTGTGAAGTTATTGCTCGCTTAACGTAAGCTTCTTCATGTCGTTCTAGGACGCGAATCGCATAATCTTTATAAAGTTGCCAAAGACGTATGTGTGAGGAAGTATCCATTCCAGGCTCAATCTTGGGACAGTTCAATTCTTTGGAGGGTTGAGCTCTTCTGCAATGCTTTACTTAGAGCTCCAAGAGAGTAGAAATCTATTGGCTTTTGGATGCTCACACACACACACACACACATATATATATATATATATATGATTCCCTCGTAATTTTAAGTGCATAAAATTCAATGAGACACCTTATGGAAGTTGACAAAATATTGAAGGGAAGAAAAGTGAGCAACTCCCCCCCTTCTTTTTTTTTTTTTTTGGGTGGGGGGGGTAAGGAACTTGCTTTGATTGATAACGACATCAATACAAACGAGAGAGGACAACCAGTCGTCGAGAAAGCTAAAACAAGACAAACAGAAAAGAAACAGAGGAAGAGTAAGACACTAAAACTAAAATGTGAACATCTCGTGTTGGGAGGTTCAAACAAAATAAAGAACAGAAGGATTCACTGTCTTATTGCTTCTACATACTTCAGACTTTTTCTTGGACATCAAAGGACAGCAACTCAGAAAAGAAAAAAGAAGCATTAATCAAATGGTAGAAACAAACCAACTAGAGAAAATAAGAAGGTGAACTTGCCTCGGTGCGGACGACCCAAGAGGGCTTATTGAATGAAAGATGAGGCTTGTTGTTTGTATTTTGAGGACGAGGTAGTTGAGCGCCATTCAAGCTTGTGGATTCACATCGAACTACTGTAGGTAAGCTCAGCATTCTTGCTGCCATTACCACCATATGCTCCAATAGGGGGCACTGAAGGTATAAAACCTCCAAGTTGTCTCCGCTATAGACCGCGAAAGGGGTTAAGGAAAAAGGAGATGTTAAAGTGAAAAGAAATAATTTGGAGAACTTATTTCCACAACTAAATTTAGAACATCTGTTGATGCAATAATGGTAGTGATGTTAATAATGCTTGTGATGCGGATGACAAATCCAGTTTTCAAACTTATTTTAGGCTCAACTATATAATATAAATTAAGATTGTTTGTTTTCTAGTTTCCTTATTTTGATTTAGTTTCCCATGTTAATTATGTTATTAGCCTATAACTTGGCCACATAGTTACAAACTATTCAGACTTGTTTTTATGATTGAATAGCATTTCAATGATAATTATCTCTCTTAATTTCCCCTTCCTCATCTCTCTCTCAATTTCTTCCCAAACTCTCTCAATTTCTTTTCTACTATTCAGTTCTTTCTTTTCTCTACAAATCCTACGTCAATTTGCGTCTGTTATCAGCTTTTCATATGCATTTATTGTCATATATGGCAACACTCTAACTCTATATTTCTTCAGGGGAGGATAATCATTCTTTTTCTCATTAAAATAAGGTTTGTGTTGTTTCAAACGGCTACCATTGGTTATGTGTCAATAGCAGTTATAAGTTAAGAATGTAACCTCAAATTTAATCCTACAATCTCAATTGCTTGAGATAATCCATTGAGTTTTTGTTCGTTGTCTTTCTATGTATTTTTGCTTATTTTAAATTGATTTATTTATATCAAGTGATGAGTTAAAAAACACCTTTTGACCAGCAGTAAATGAAAAATGAAGTGTTTAAACAGAAAGGAACAACACAGACCAAGCTGAAGTTACAATATACAGACCAATGACATGTATAAGATGTAAAATAAGAAGAGTAAATTTTTCTCTGCATTCTTGTTATAAATTATAGTATGGAATAAGTAGATGAACAATGTACAATAGTTTTGGTTGAGTGAAAAAAATATGTATTCATGTAATTTCATCTTTTTCTAGGTACTTTCAACCCGTAACTACAATCTAAAGTAGCTTATATTTTACGTTGTGGATTGGGATCTAACTAATTTTTGAAGTTAAACAAAGTCATTACAGAACGAAATCTTGAACAAAAAACAGTTACATATAGTAAATTTATTTTTTTGAATGTTCGCTACCATGGTTTGAAGTTAGTTAAATTTTGAAAACTAATTGGAATTTTATGTTTCTTTTCTAAGTATCGAACTAAGTAAATAAATCAAAATGCAAACATGAGCCACCAAAGACATGAGGGGCTTCAGAAGGACATAATTGGACTTGAATACCACTTACCAAGCAAAAAGGCTCTCACACCTAAACAAAAAATAAACATACAAAAAACTGAAGAAGAAAACAAATATTTTTTTCTTCTTATTACAAAGAACTGAAGAAGAAAACAAATATTTTTCTCTTCTTATCCTGTTTCAAACTTCTAACTAGTCTTTTTTGCTAAATGAAAAAAAGGGATTCATTGGTGTCATCCCGTCTCCCATTCCTTTCATTTATAGCAAAAATCTAAGGACCCATCTGTGAAATAGAAATAACCTAACCCAATTCTACTCTACGGATGAACTCAGTTTTACTCCCACTAGAACTCGAGCTCAACGCTGCACAATCCATTGACCAGGGACCTCAAAGTAGGAATATTAAGGCCTTGTTTTCTATGCGGGTTTAGACCACCCTAATTTTGGTTCAAACAGTATTTTCTCTAAAAAAAAAAAAGTGAATTTAAAGAGTTTTACTACAGAATTTTCTCTCAGGAAATTTGAATTCTGGTTCAAACCAACCCACCTTCCAAACGGGTCCTAAGTATCGAACCTCCGCCACACTCTTGCACCAACTGTATTACTAATTGATATCCAAATGTTAATCATAAGGTCAGGTCCGAGGCTTTTAATCAAACAGTTTACGTGCACGAAAAAACTAAAGCCCAAGTCATAAGTCACCCAAGTAGCTAAGCAAAAACCAGATATGGGATCTCTAAGTTGACTTGATTAGCACCAAATAGTCAACCCCAATAGTACTTAAGCTCGCCAACTTTTTTTTTTTTTTTTTTTCGCTCATGAAGTGCAGAGATAGAGATACAAAATTTGGACTTGACATTAAAATAACAAAGAAAAGAAGAGGAAAATGAAATCAATATGTATACTTGAAACAAAAGTGCATATTTAGGATAAATGGAACATTACCAACAACAAATCAAATCGCTAGCGGAGGCTGGCTCTTTCAGTTGGCTTTGCGAGTCAAGTTGGGTTTTAGTTTTTTTTTTTTTTTTTCCCCTTTATTCTGAGAGAAAAAAGAAAAAAGAAAAAAAACCCAAAATCACTTTGGTGGCTCTAAAAACCAAAGGTGGAGCCGTGGAGTAGGCCTCGTTTCGCACCTAACTGTGCGAGTCTGAGTTGGAGCTCGCGTTACGAGTCTCGTTCATTTTATCGATTTAAATTTTATTATAGTTAAAATTTTTTATATAAAATTATATCTATTTTTTTATTATAATTAAAAATTATCATATAAAATCACATCTCAATTCGAATTAAAAACTCGAATCGATAAATTGAACGAGATTTAAATACACACATTCTTACCTTTTGGTTACGATTTGAAGAAATGTCCACTTTAAGGAATAATCTTAACAAAATGTATAAAATCAGCCTAAAAGGTATTTTTTTTTGGAATTATTTCGAGCGTGATGACCAATTTACCATCATGGTGTCGATAATGTAATACATCTAGAATGAGTTCTTTGGAAATACCAGTTGCGGGGTCAGAAAATTTTTACATTAGAGGCATAATAGAACCAAAATCTTAAATTGAAAATTACAATACAACTATACTTTCTTATCTGTGTCTCTCTCATTACCTCCATTTTATCTACTTTATTATCTTCTCTATTTTTCTTTTGAATGAACTGAGCTTGTAATAGAATTTAATTCACTTTTTAAAATTAAAGTCCATAAAATATAAGTTTATATACTGCTGTAATTGATTTTTGGTTTATTTGAGGTTTTAAGATTTGAAAATGAGCATAACTGAAATCTTTTTTGAAAATTCTATCTCAATATTGCACTTTTGAAGAGGAAAAAAAAAATTTCTGCTATAAAAGGAAAATAATAATACGAGATCCAATTTGGTATACGAATTTAATTTCGTTGTTAATAGATATCACTCTATATTATGCTCTTAATTGTAGATTTGACTATAAGGATGTTTCGTGAGCTTCAATAATGCAAGTTGGATTTTACCAAAAATCCAGTACTTAATTAAAGTATTCCTAATTAGCTACACCAACACGCCAAATTTTCTGTGGATAGTTAGACCATCCAAAGAAAACACCATACATATAAACTTCACTTAGCTTGTTGGACTTACCAAATGATATTGATCTTAATTCATTCGCACGTAATTTTGTCCTTCCTCCAACACCATAAATAATTGGCCCTCTTTCCAAAATGTGTAGAACACACTAGTTCAGTTCTCTCTCTCTCTCTCTCTCTCTCTCTCTCTCTAATTTTCTGATCTTTAAACACAGAAAATTACATCAAAAATGGCTATAGAGAATAGAGAAAAATCGGAGATTGGGTCGGGTTATTTCGCGGCGAAGCCGCCGAAAGATTGGACCCTTTTCATGCTTAGAATCTCATCGTTTTTGGCCACGGTCTCTGCAACCATTGTAATGGCATCCAACAAAGAAACCAAAACTCTGGTGGTTGCCACCGTTGGGAGCAACCCCATTACAGCCACTCTTACTGCCAAGTTTCAACAAAATCCAGCATTCGTGTAAGCTCAATTTGATTCTAGTTGATGAATCCTCATTTTTCTTTCTTATTTACTTAATATATATATATATATATATATGTCCATAATTATAGAAGTCTACAAGCACATATGATCAATGTAAAAATATTATATATGTATAACCAATTAGTATCATGCACCAATTGATGTACTAATTTTATAGACGTCAGAAAACTCAGACAGCTTAAAAAATTTCAAAAGTTTAGATATTTATACATGCATATATATATATATACACACACACACACACAATAAAGAACGATCAGTCTCATTTTTTTTTTCCCCCCCCCTACAATTCACCAACTTAATTTTTCTTTTTTATTATGTTTTTTGCTCTGCCGGTGGTGCTGCACGTCTGTGTTTTTATTACAGCTTGGTGTTCAAAGTTCAGCACTAGCCAACTTTAACATTAGTTTTCTTAAGTATGTGATTTTAATGGACCATGATAAACAGGTTCTTTGTGATAGCCAATGGACTAGCGAGCCTGCATAACTTGTTAATGATAGCGGCTGAATTTTTCAGACACAAGCTCAACGATAAAGGACTCTTCCTCGTCGTGATTCCCATTTTAGACATGGTATTGTATTGCATTATTTCTTCGTTTTCCTTAAAACGAGTTTGAAACTATGAGGATACAACAAAACCTTATGATCGTTAGGATGAGCTCTTCTTTAGCCAGTAAACGAAAGCGCGTACCGTTAATACACAATGATATCCAACTTGAAAGTAATAAGTAAAAAGGAGAAACAAATAAGAATATAAATAGGTATATATCATCACTTCATGCTATCACATTTGTTTACGATTTGACTTCTATAATAATATTCTTGCAATCGATCGATCTCCTATTATAATTATACAAGAGGATTTGTTCACACAAAAAACAGGAAATTAATATCAATTACTAATTACAATAAAATAAATATTTCAACAGTCCAAACTAATTAAATGGTCTTGGTACTTTTTTTTTTCTTTTTTTTTTTCCATGATTGGTTTTGGTATTGTATTCGCTTCATGATGATTATCTATGCATGGACAGTTGAACGTGGCTTTAGCATCCGCCGGAGATGGCGCGGCGGCATTCATGGCCGAGCTAGGGAAGAATGGCAATTCACATGCAAGGTGGAACAAAATCTGCGACAAATTCGGTACATATTGTGAACATGGTGGAGGTGCCCTCATTGCATCCTTCATTGGCCTTGGTCTCTTGCTCGTCGTTACAGTATTATCCATAATCAAACTGGTCACCAAACCAAAGCCGGCCAATAATACCAATAATCATGATTTTACACGTCCCTAATTTTATGTGCACTGTAAAATATATCGTACCATTAGTTGTGCGATCCTTCTTATTTTGCCATGTAATTAAGTAGCTCTCAGTGTGCATTTGTACCGCGTTTTTATCGACATCTTGTGTGTACTGTTTTTCTAGCGAGTGCTTCAATTGTCATGCTATTTTCAAATAATATATTGCTACTCGTTGAAACTCTTTTGTCATGTGAAATATATTTTATCAGTAGGACGCTGTTTTATCATTAATCCTCAGATTAGATAAGATATAATTTTAACCGTCAAATCATATCATAGTTGGAAAATCATAACTTGATCTAATAATTAAAATCCTGTTTTACCCCGCAAAAGAAAGTTATTTATTTATTTATTTATTGTTGTTGTTACTGTAATTTTTCTAGAGGACTTTTCCCTTTCTATATATCTGTACTTTGCAAACTTGTTCGGATGAGATAAATTTATTGCAAGTGGAACAATCGGCACATAATATTTCAAGCGATTGTTGTCATGTTTCCGAACAACATGATCATTGTTTTTTGAGAATATATAGGACTGCCAAAAACCGAGTTTCTCTCTAGTATTTGAGAATAGTTCTCCCACGGCTGCCCTAGAAACACTCTCAAGTTGGCCTTCTCGGTGTGTGTTGACTCTGGTGAGGGCTTCACATTGCAGTTTCGGAAGGAGAAGCCGTCGACGTCGCTAGTGCTTGCTCGGTTTTGTGCAGTGATGGTGATATAGGTGGACCAGTGAGCAGTGGTGGAGCCAACCTTTCACTTCAGTGGGAACGTACACTAAATTTTTTTTAACAAATTATCTTAGTAGGGACATATAAAAAAATATATTTATTTTAATAAGAGTATATATTATTTTAGTGGGGGTTTAAATGTAAAATTTTAAAATTTTTAAAAATAATATTCTTTTCAAAAAAATTTGAATGGGAGCGCTCATTGAGCTGTATTTAAATTCGCTACTGTCAGTGAGCAAAAATATGACAGTCTTGAAAGACGGCGCTTGCATGGCCAAAGATGAAGTCAGACAGTGCCATAGATTTCGCAGTCTCTGTAGAATTGGCGGAATTTTAAAAGGCTGATTGATCGGATCCATTGTATAGTGCCGCTGCTTTCCCTTCATTTGGTCCCGCTGAGTTCTCGATGGTTAATGACTTTGCCACGAGTCGAGCCCTCTGCCCTTAACACCTTATTCCATTATGAAATTGAAAAAAAAAAAAGAAAAAAAAAACTATGATATCACGTCTGCTTTAATTAATCAACTGCTTCACATTTAACCGTACTCATTAGTAAAAAGATTATAAACAATTGAACACGAAAGGTAGTGCATTATGGAGTACATGATAGAAACAATTGAAGACTTTGTCAAATAAAGCTAAAATAAGGAAATATAATTAAGACAAAGAAGTTGTTATTATTTATTAATATTACAGAGACAGACGACCAAAAAAAAAAAAAAAAAAAAAGAAGAAGAGCAAATGAGAAGAAAGAAAAAGACGAAACCAAGTAAATAATTTCTTACTCACTGAGCCTGTGTCTATTGTTTTGAATCCTGTGGCGTTGCTTCGGTCAAAAGTTATGGTGGTGGTTGCTGCATCGTCTCCAATTAAACTGATCGTGTCGTTTTCAATTTCAACACGCTCTTTGTAAATGCCTGATTTGATTCTTACCTTGTATCGAGTGTTCCTTTTTTTATTATTATTTATTTATTGGTAAATGCCACTATTGCATTGAAATTCGGAGCAAGTGTAGATAAATCCATAATCACTAAAAACTAACTATTATTATTTACTGACACTAACGTAATTTCGAATGTGTGTATGAAAGATTTGAATATGAGAGACTTGAGTTCGCTAATGCACGTATTATAGAACAAGACTTTCGACGTAGACGATTATAGATATTGGATTAATGTCAGTACGTGGATATTAATTGTTAACTTTTAATAATTATAAAAAAAGAATTGGATATCCTAATATAAATAAACTTGTATATATCTAAAGGGCCAACCATTACATTCCTGTGCGTGGATTAATTGATAACTTTTAATAATTATCAAAAAGAGTTTGACTAAACCAATGCTAACTTACAAATGTTCTTTGAGGATGATCATAATATATAGTATGATAGACAAGAAGAAACTTAGGCTGTGTTTGGAGTTGTTTTTGTTTTTATTTTTTATGTTTTTTGAGAAAAAAAATGAAGACGGGAGAGAAATGATGTTTGACACAATTAAAGAGAAAAAACGAAAATGAAAACGATTTTTTAGTTTAGTGTAAAATGTGAGAGAAATAAAAAATGATTTTTAGTTATTTTTAATTTTTTGTTTCTGTTTTCTCCTCTCTCGAGTATATAGAGAGAGACATTAATGAATTTTTTTATATTGAAAACAATCTCTTAATAAACTATCAACCGCATTTTTAAAAATGATTTCTGTATTAGATTGAAAACGTTTTCATTTTCATTTTCATTTAAAAAAACAATTATTTTGAAACGAGTTCTAAACGTACTCTTACCGTCTTCTCTTCACTTGTGATGAAGAAGAGGAAAAGTTACATTGACAAGAATTTTAACTTTTCATAACAACAAACAATAGTTAGAGACTTATGTTGATAATATATTATAAAATAAATGCAAAAACAAAATTATAGTATGAAACTAAAGGGTAAAAAAAGGAAAGAAAAAAAGAAAAAAGAATACGAGAATATGAGAGCCGAGACAACTTTTTAATTCTTTAATTCAGTGGTAAGAGATAAAAATACAAGCTAATACAACTTGCATTTACAGGTCAAGAACCTTGAGAAAACACAAATTACATGAGTTACCTGCAACATTTAGAATAGAATAATTGAGAGATAAATATACACTATTAAGAGGGGAATTATCATTTCAGAAAAAAGAAAAAAGTCAGTGGGAAATTATGAGGAGATAATGGACAACAGACAATGAACAATTCCACCTAGGACGGGGAAATTCCGTAGTTGTCTTGGGAATTAGAAAAAAAGAAACGAACAAAAACTATTTAAAGAAACCAATTAATTACAAGAGCTAGTGGTGCTGTGCATGTGCAAGGAATTCGACGTCTTGTACAAATGCTATTTTTGCATGATATTTTCGTTCATTTTACCGATTTAAATTTAAAATTTAAATTTTGTTACAATAAAAAATTTTCAAAAAAGTCACATTTAACTTTTTTATTATAATAAAAAGCCTTCACATAAAGTCGAATCAACGAACTAAACGAGATGATCATGATTGTCAGCATCCTACTAGGCAATTCGGTTTTAAATTCTTCACCATTGTTTTTATCAATATAAATCTAGTTTACGTACATCTCAAGTGGATCAGTTATATAATAGCAGCCTCTTGCTAACAATTATATTCTTGATCTCTCTCTCACACTCACTCTCTCTCTCTCTTCTCTCTCTTCTTTTTTTTTTTTTTTTTTTTTTTAATGAGGAACTCCTCCAAAAATAGGAGGGAATTATTAGAAGAATATTGAGAGCAAAAAATAGAAGATATAAAACGAAAATGTGTTTTTTTTTTCCAACATCGAGTTTACCTTCAGTGATCCATTTTCACCTCATTTCAAAAGATATAAAATAAAAAATAATATCGATTTCCATAGTTATATTTATTTGGAGGTGACATTTCATGTTCAATTTTAATTCAATCTAACTCCAAAGATTAAATTTTGAAACTCATGAGCAAAATCGATTTTCCATATCAACCACAAATTACAAGATTATCAACCACAAATTACAAGATTATGAACCACAAATGAGCAAAAAAAGATTATTAATCTCATGCAAAGCTCCAAATTGATGAAATCAAAGCACATACCGTTTTGGTCCCCATATTTGTTATGCCATGATGTTTCAAAACATTTCAATAAAATGTTCAACTCTGTTAAGGATAGGACGTGTTCACAGTAGCAACACCAAGAACGAATTATTCCTATCAGGGCTGTAAGAATTGGATTTTCCTAGGGAAAGTCCTTCGGCTTTTGATACTTTAGGCAAGAGACTAACAGACAAGGATCACAGCCAACCCTCTCTCGGTATCCGAATTCAGGTTCCAATATAGGTTTGAGCAGAGAAAGAAACAATGCCCGGAAGGAACATATATGGTAAAATTAGATGCCAACTTATCATCTCATACTAACTTGTCTGGCTTCAATATCCTTGAGCCTAAGCGTTACGGCTCTCTTGTGTGCCTCAAGCCCCTCAACTTCAGCCATTGTTGCCACATGAGGACCAAGCTTTCTCAGACCCTCCTCTGTCAAAGATTGGACTGTCATGTACTTGAGGAAGGAATCCAGAGATACACCACCGTACATCCGGGCATAACCATAGGTGGGAAGGACATGGTTTGTCCCACTTGCATAGTCTCCGACACTCTCTGGTGTCCACTGCCCTAAGAACACAGACCCTGCACGTAAATCAAAGACAAGTTCAAAGATTTGTGATTAGGATAAACAGATAAAACTATTCTGAGTTCCCATTCTCGTATAATCTGTCAGCCAGTCAGAGAAGTGATTTATAATCCAGTCACGTCTTTACACGACTTGGCTAATGACATTCATCAGTAGTAGTGTAGATAATTCCGCAAAAATTTCAAGATTCTTATTCATAAATCTAAAAAACAGGCATCAAGATGTTAATTAATATCCATAACCAATAAGTCAAATACAGTGCTAAAAGATTTTCATCGCTTTCTGTGCCCTATGCACATTCAACAATATGTGAACCCTACGTATACTTTAAAAAAAAAAAAAAAAAAAAAAAAACTAATTATATTCATTAAGCAATGTGACATTTAGCACGACTGCAGTGCTCAGAGGTTAGGTTGCTAACACTACCCTAGAACTTCTTGACATTTGAAATGTGAGTTCACGAGTCCTAAAAGCATTGGCCAAAGATTAGCAGCAACAAACAAACACTTTTCACATCCATTCCATCAGAGAAGTGCATGGATGTTTCATTATGTGAATACTAGAATAGAAAATTCTAGTTAAGCATCAAATTAGCTAATGCAAAGCAGAAATTCATTGTTTCAAATAAGACTTATCAGTGGACAGTTGTCCAATTATGACTAAGCAATAAGGAAATTTTTCTAGGAAAAAGAAAGAAAAGTCAACAATAACGAAAAGTACCAGCGTTCTCAATGAAACCCTCCCATTTATCTGCATCCTTGACATTGACAATTAGATGCTCGGGTGCATATAAGTTTGAAAAAGAGACAGCCTGAGACATTAACATGTCAAGTTTCAGATGCGATGTAAAGAAACTTTCAAACCATAATAGAAATAATTTCATGGCAATCAATAACATAAATATCCACGTATGTGAAGGGTAAATGTATTAGCAACTGAGAAAAAGAACAAGTCTTCAGAGAGAGAGAGCTCAACAAGATCTCTAAAAACGATGAAAAATAAAAATCTTATTTTACGTCGATGATTTTCATTTTTTTTTATGGGCAGATCACAGGTTTTCAAATTAACACGCAAGTGTTTTCACATTGCTGATTTTAAAATAAAATGCAAGATGAAAAAACATGCGATGTAAGGGATTACAGAACTCAATCTCAAATAAAGCAATCAACTCTGAAATTTCAACGCCACTGCTTGAAAACAATGATAGGTACAAAATAACACTTGGAAATATTGGATGTGCATACTATAATTGAAATACTACAAAAACTGGATGGTCGAAGTTCAGAAACTTGGTTATTGTTTCTGTTAGTTTACCAATCCATCTCAAAAGCTTAAGCTATTAGGAGGTGGGCCAACAATAGTTTAATACTTTAACACTCTCCCTCACGTGTGGGCTGAACAATGGGCAATCGTGTGGGTAAATTAATTGGAAAGCCCAACACGTGAATATTTAAGCCCAAGATATATTAGAGACCCAACACATGATGACAATTTAAATGGGGATAAAGAGTGCAATTACGGGGGTTTGAACTCAGGACCTCCCGCTCTGATACCATGTTAGTTTACCAATCCATCCCAAAAGCTTAAACTATTAGGAGGTGGGCCAACAATAGTTTAATACTTTAACAGTTTCTTATAAATCATGTAGCAAAAAGACATCTGAGCATAATCTAATATCCAGTGATGCGACCACAAACAGAAGTATCAAGTACCTTCTCGAACATACAAATATGAGATCACAATAAGCAGACAAACCTCAACCATGTCACGGGCAAAAACAGTGAAACTGTGGCTCAGTGCTTTTGAGGCAAATTCTCCCCTTGGTAGGCTATCACATTGCTTCTTTATTTCATCTTCTATAGCTTTAAAATCCACACCATCTCCAGCGAGTACAAGAACAACCTGACTATCAGGCCCATGCTCAGCCTGAAATGATGCATATCAATTAGGAAGTCGCTCGTGTCCATGTATATATAAAATACAAATGTATGAATGTTTTCAGAAGAAGGGGGGAGGGAGTTGAAGGAAAATCACAAAACAAGAAAAAAACGAGTACTATGAGCCACAGATAGGGGTTTAACAACAACATTGTTCATATTTGTGCGGATAAGCATCATTGTTGTCACAATCTTACAAAATGTTAATACTCATGAAGATGTTATAAGAAAAGTAATTAAAAAAAAGACACACAAGGAAAAGAAAATCAACAGAGAAAAAAAAAGGTTTCAAGTAGTTCTTACATCATGTAAGTTGCTTCACATCGCTATTTAGGTTATATCCCACATACTGCTTTGAAGGCAAAGCTTTACAAACTGAAAATATGTATCATGGCACCTAATTTGCAAATGTAGGACAAACCATGGACGCAGAACTAACGTAGAACATTTACTTTATTGGAAGCCATAAAGTTAGAAATTTGGTGATAATAATATTCAGTTCAACTGAAACATTTCATTACAAGCTTCTACCTCTATTTGCTGAAAGGATACAAGGAACACTTACCAGCCTGTCAAGACCTTTGACCTTTGAAGGAAAAAAGGCCGGTGTATAGTTTCACACATATACAGTTTACAACCACATAATCTATTTATGTTTACTGAATTTAACATACCACCCTCAGCTATGCTCTTCTTCCCTTTCATTTATTGTTAAGATTAAAATCCAGGACTCATTCAAAACCTGTTCAAAATTTACCACCACGACTGTGGCAGGGAGCAAAGTATAATGAATCATTCTCTAGGCCAATGTGTTTCTTGTGATTGTGGTTTTTCTGGCTGAGGACTTTGCATATGCTTAAACCACTGAATGAATGGAATTTTTTCTAATTAGAACTATACATCTGTCTCATAAAACTGCAATTTACAGAATGGACCTGGTATGCTTGCTGTTTTTTCAAAACCAATTATTTTTAATAACCACTAAACGAAAACACATTTAACTGGCCAACCAACAAAACTATCCTTTTCATCATGAATTAATCTGCCAAAAGAAATTATTGAATAATAAGTACCTGAGAGAGTAAGTCTGCAGCAATATGAACAGGACTGGCATATTTGTCGGCAATCACGAGAACTTCTGAAGGGCCCGCAGGCATGTCAATTGCCACCATGGCTTCACTGTTCTATTAAGGATAGAAAAGGTTAAAAAAATGACAGAAGTAAAAATCCTGAGCTAAAGCAGAGTCAACCAAATTATTTCTTTCCTTCTACTTTTGTACAGAAACTAATTCCATATGTCGCTCTGATGAAAACTACTTGTAAGGATAAGTAATTTTTTTAAAAAGAAAAAAAGAACAGGGAACTTTAATGATCAAAAAATGGAACAAGAAGAAAAGAGGAAGAGCTTTCCTCAAGCAACCCAGTTCCAAAAATACAGAGAATGGTCAAAAAATGACAAAACCAAACTAACCAGAAAACAAAAAAGAGAAAGGCTAAAAAAAAAGAAAAAGGAGCCCAACTCCTCACAAAATCCGAGAATAACGACTTGCCAAACTCTTTATCCCTGTAAGCCGACAATAAAACCCAATACTTTATTTTTATCCCATAGGAAAAAAAACATCTTCCTCACGAAATCTGTATTTCTTTCTAACCAGATGCCACACAAAATGGCTAAAGTTGCAACCCTCCACAAAATTAACCCCCTGTGACCAAAACTGGAAGGGGGAGAGAACACAAGAACTTGTAATGATAAGTAATACTAATACCTACTTGGAGAATCATTTTTGCAGCTGTGACATATTGATTTCCAGGGCCAAAAATCTTCTCAACCTGCAATAATTAAGTTAAGAAAGAAGTGAAAATTATTAGAGAAACTAGAGTACTATAAATACACCTGAGGTACTAGTGCAGATTGGCAAAATCAGAGCTGTTAGGTGCATTAAAACCATATGCATTATTCAAAGTAACAACCAAAGTCCAACAACCGACAGGGCTAAAGTCCTAAGGGCCATACTGTTATGAGTTTATGGGGGTGTACACGAGCTTTAGACGAGCATAAGTCAGTTTGAAATGTTTTCTTATTGCAATATACAGCTTTTTGTGATTACTAGCAATTTCGGCTTCATGTAAAATGTTTTCTTATTGCAATATACAGCTTTTTTCTTTAGCAAGGAATTCCAAAACCTTTGACCAACTACTGCAGGAGCAAATAAAGTTTTCCTTAATTCCAAGAAAATTGGTTTTACATTTATAAACATATAATCCAAACTAGTTTAATTCATCAGCAGCAAGTTTAAGATCTAGCAGATTTTCCTTCTTAAAGAGCTAGAAACAACAAGCAAATTGGAACTGGGCAATATCCATTTTAGTCACCATGACTCCAAAACGTATTATAAAATCAATAAAGATACAGGAATGTTGAGTCACACACACCTTACCATGAGTTGCATTTCTGTTGAAATTTAACAAAGAGTTAATTCTTTAATGATTTAAGACTCCAAATTCATAAGATAAAGTGTTGTAATTAAATCTATCATGAGAATTTCACAGCATCCAAAACCATGTGATTTCATTAATGGCCACTATTCAGTCGTACCAACACTACATCAACCCTGTAACTAACCTTTAATTATTTTTTCCTCCTCTTTTTAATATGACATTCATTACTGCATTACTAAATTAATTATAAAATCAACTTGGATATAGAATCATGTTGTTAGGCACCTAGCAATTTCTAGCACAAGAGATGAACAAAAGAACTGAAACTTTATTGAATAGACTTATAAAACTACAAAATAACCCAACAGTGGTGGTATTTGAGAGACCACCAACTATCCCAAGAGTTACCCCAAATCCCAAATAATCTGACCATCCCCAAATGAGCTACTAACCCCCTTATTTATACTCCTAACTTCTCCAAACAAACTCTAACAAACTACTAACTACTAAACAAGGCCCTAACACATGTTTAGTTACTCATGACTAATACAATGATCCGGTTAACTTTTATTAGCATAAGAAATTGAAGACGTAACAATGAGCTAATGTTAAAATTAGCACCTTTGGACAAGATTCGGTGCCCCATGCCATAGCGGAAATGGCCTGCAAGTTTGAAAATATTTAGATTATCCAGAATAGCAGCTGTACACAGAGAGAGACAGGGAAAAAAAATCCGTACAGTACAAATCATTATTCTCTGCACACACCTATAATTTTCTTAAAAAAACTTTTCAAACCTGAGCTCCTCCAGCTTTAAGAATGTGAGTGACACCAGCCTTCTTAGCACAATATAGTACCTCCTAACCAAAAAGAAAAAAAAAAAAAAAAAAGGGGATAAGGTACTTATTGCATGACATTCCCAAAAATAACCTATCCATTAAACAAGTACCTTGCATATACTGCCACCCTGACTTGGGGGAGTCGCGAGAACAACAGTTTTACATCCAGCAATCTTTGCAGGCTACTTTCACAGAGCAAAAGTAAACGTCAAATGACTCTTGGGACTTAGTACAACATAACGATGAAAAAAAAAAATGATACAAGTACACATGACAAACTTACAATTGCAAGCATCAAAGCAGTTGAAGGTAAAACTGCAGTACCCCCAGGAACATAAAGACCAACAGAAGCAATGCTTCTCGCCACACGTTTGCATTTGACACCCTGAAATATAAAAAATACTTTATAGCTTATCCACAGAAAAAGAAACGAGCAGAGAAAATTTATCTTACTTTCATGTTCTCTACACTTCTCTCAGCTGACTTCTGAGCAAAATGAAATGCATAGATATTGTCATAGGCCACATCGAATGCTTCTTGTACTACAGGATCAAGCTGCATTATAATCAAACATTGAAATTTCAAACCATTAGGGGTGGCCATACGAACTGAACTACGAACTAAGGTGACCCCATTAGAAATACCTCTGGATCAGGAAGCTCAAAAACACTTACAACCGTCCGATCCAATTCGACTTTGTCAAACTTTAAAGTATACCTATAACACGGAAACAAAAATCTCAACAAAACCTATCTTCCATCAGTTTCTAAATCAATGTGCAATCACAAATGCCTGGTCTAAATCATTCAAAATTCGTAATTTTGCGCCTACTCTTTAACAGCAGCATCGCCTCTTCTCCGAACATGATCAACAATAGGGTTGACCTGACATTGTACAAAACAGAGCAACAAAACACGAATGAATCCAAATCAGCAATTTTTTTTTTTTTGAAATCCTAAAAGAAAAAAGACTCTTACAGTGGTGAATATCGAAGAGAAATCGATTCTAGGACGAGTCTTGAGACTCTCAACCTCGGAAGTAGAAAGTTCCGATAACTTGTAAGATTTCATTGCGCACTTAATTCCCTTATTATAACTCAAATTACCTAAACACAACAAAAGTTCCAAATTATCCGACAAAATTTCTAAACACTTGCAAAAATTATCTTAATCTTAACTAAAGAAAAAAGAAAGAAAGAAGATTGTACCCCCTGAAGAGCAATTAGAACGAGGAAATGGGATTTTCGGAGCTCCAAAAACTCGAAATCGCAGTGGATAGTTGGAATTCGGATTGAGCAAACTAGTCCGATTGAATCCGACAATTTGGCTGTCCATTATCGCCTTCAAACAAATTATTCATGCGTACAATTACAATTCAGATAAAGGAAAAAATGAAAAACGCGAACTAGCGAAGAAAGATGAGGAAGAACAAGAAAGCTAGGGTTAACTGGAAGTGGGGCAAGAGAAGAAGTTGGGCTTTCACCGGTCAAAGTGACGAGTAACGTAACGACTCTTTGCTGTGCTCAGAGGACAAATAACGGAATTTGTAGGGGCAACTAAAATTAATAGCAGAAATTAAGAAAATATAAAATTAATAGTGCATTTTACATTAAATTTTTAAATTTAATAGTGCATTTTACATTAAATTTCATAAATCACACGGCCAGCAGAGCTTTTATTCCGGTGAGAACTGAGAAGCAGCGGCCTTTAAAAAAAATTGTGGGACCAAAATATTTTAAAAATTAAGGGCCAAAATTTTAATTCTGAAAACAAATGAGGGACTAAATAATAAGTTTTAAAAAATGGAGGGGTCAAACAATAATTTTTGAAAAAAACACAATGTCGCTCCAGTGTCAGACGACCCCGGCCCCTATCCCGGACTCGACCCGAAGCTATGATATTTGCTAAATATTTTAAATTTTGTTAATAAAAGTCTTAAATTAAATTGCACCTTACCGTTTAATATAAAGATTTTTTCTGTATTAGATATCATAATACGTAAAATTTTTAAATTTCGCATTAAATTATACGATGTCTTATGTTGCTAAAAACTATTATTTTTAAATAATACAATAGAGGGTGTCTATATGGTGTATTAAAGCTGTCCTTACTAGAATTAATTATATTAATAGATGGCTTTTTTAATTTTAAAAAATGATTTGTAAAGGTAATAAACGAATTTATTGGCTAGAAAATCACAATTTTATCTGCAATGTTGTAAACTGTAAATAAGTATAAGTTGAACAAAACTAGAGCTATAAGTTTGTACTGAGTTAAACAGGCGGTCGGCCCAACACCTGCCACTATTAGCTTGGCCCGGTCCGCCCTAACCTCCGAACCAGGTCGGGGCAAGGTTGTGAGCCCAAATATTTATTTAGGCTGGCTCGACCCAATCACTCTCTTTTTAAAGAATTTTTTAAAAATACCTTATAAAATTATGGACTAAGTTGGGCCGTTCTTCTTCTATTTAGGGCCGAGTTGCATCAGCCTGAAATTTCCATTTGAGCCCGAATCAAACTGAGTCGGCCTGAAATTTTCATTTGGTCCCGAACTGGTCGGCCACCTTAGACAAAACCAAAAGAAAAAATAATAAATAGAAATAAGCATGAGTTGGACTGTTGGAGATCCTATATAGTTTGTGCTGTTATTGTATAAGTCATCTTTTCCCTTGTATGTCAACCAATCTTTTATTTACTTTCCAAAAGTCTTATTAAACAAATAATATCACTCTACTCCATTAGGTCAACAGAATATATTTGGTTCATGGATTAGAACTATTTTCAATTTACATATATTTTTTGTGAGAGAAAACACTGTAGCGAACCATGAACCATGATTCAAATCATAGTTTGAATCCTCCAACCAAACGTCTCCTTGCCTCTGATTCTCTACCCCGATGCTTTGGTCAGTTTCCAACAACACAAGTCTTTCTTAATTCCATAAATACATATTTTACCAAAGACAAATTAATAATAATAAACAGACACAAGTCTTTCTTAATTATTTTTTTGCAATTATGCTTACCAATATAATTATTATTAAATTTAAATTTAAGAAATGTTCACTACTTTGTCTATATTATATTGTTTGACAGTGTTTCCGTCTGCTGCATTTGTTCTTTCTCCATTGTTTTGTATGACTTTTAGTGCTATGTGGTTTTCTATATTAGTTGATCGGATATTTTATAGACTTATGTGTGCTCGATCTTTGAAGTATCCATTTAAGGGACTTTTATTTGTGGAGTTTGATACATATTATTTTTTAGCATTAAATTCGAGTTTATAAGTAATGACAATTGTTTTTTAACATTGTGTTTCATATAAGGAAAATAGTAGAAAATATGTCAATATGAAAAGCTTAAGAAAGTATATGGGTCAATTTTTAGTTATAGAAATTAATAGGCTATAACTTGTCAAGTTATGGTTCATAACCAGATAAATTATGAATAAACTTATCAAGTTATGATTCATAGCCAGACAAGTTATGGACAATTATGGACAATAACTTGTCAAGTTATGGTTCATAACCAGAAAAGTTATGGACGAAAACAGTAATTTGGCCTATTTATTAACTTATGTAAACTATTGGCCTATTAATTTTAATTCATCTCAAGTCTTGACCTATTTCTCTCTTTCTCCCTTTATATAATAGGAGACCGTAGATTGTGCTTGTGTTACGTTTTGATGCTATATAAATATATTTCTATATGCACCTCAAAAATTAAAATACAATCACAGAATATAGAAAGCCGACCAAAGGAAAGTAGTGAATAGACTTTTAAAATCATTTCACATTTCATTATACACTGGTGCAAAATGCAAACGATCTAATAGAAAAAGAAGGTTTATTTTTCTATAAAAAAAAAAAAAAAAATTGAGTATCTTCCTTTGCAAGACTTTGCAAACCGTAAGGTTGGTAAGCCTTTTCCTTTTTTTTTTTTTTTTTTTTCCATATATATTTGTTTGTGCCGTTGTAAGTTCATTTGTTTGTGCGGTTGTGAGGTTTGCACTGAAAATAGTGACTTGTGTTCCTTTTGCTATGGTTGTTGCAGAGCTGAAAAGACATCACCATAATCCACATTAATTAAGGTACATGTTCTGACTTTCTTGGATGTGCTTATCCTTGGCATGTCTGGTTGTTTTTTTTTTTTTTCCTGTTTGGATGCCAAGAAAATATGATGCGAAGAAAGGTACTAGCATAATTAGTTTTTGCTTTTGAATGATGGTTAGTTTACAAAACTATGGGGTGTTGTTCTTTTACATTTTTGAGTTAGGGTGATTTGAGTGATGATTTTGAGTTATAATTTGAGTTTAAGTTGTAACTTGAATTTGTGTTTAGATGTGCACATTTGAGTTATAATTTGAATTAAAAATCTTTTTAAATTTGTGTTTGGGTGGGTCAAAACTTAAATTTGTATTTAGATAGTATTTTAATAAAAACTTAATAGTGATGAAAAATTTTAATATGGTATATGGGTGAGGTTTTATTCGTCTTTTCATTGTGAATGCATAGAAAAAAAGCATCTCAATCAGAATTAAAACGAAAAAGTTATGACATTTTTAAGAATAGAAAAAATTTATTAACTTGAGTTTGAGTTTATGAACTCGAGTTAATGAGTAAACTTGAACTCGAGTTTAACCCCAAACTCGAGTTTAAATTCGAGTTCAAACTCAAATTTTATAAAAAAATATGAATTTGAATAAAATTGTAACTCGAGTTCAAATTTTTTCTGAGATTCGTTACAAAAGAACAACCCCTATACGTTTTTCCTGCTTTGTTGGGTGGTTTACGGCACTGGAATGTTATTGAATTGAACCCAAGTCTTCTATCTGCTTCTCAGTTTCCCTGCAACCCAATTAAGAAAGCAAGTTTCTTTCTACATTTAGTTTGATAAAAAAAATCAAAGTGGGTGTCTAAAAGTTTGCTGCCAAATTTTGCTAGAAAATGAGTTTTGGGTTTGTAAATGTGCCTTCACTAGTGTTGGTCTGTGCTTAAAGGACTAGAAAAATATGGGTTTTAAGCCACTAAGTTGGTACTCCAAGCCAACAGCTCATGAGATGTTTGTTTTAAGGGCTCATCATTAATTCTGAATTATAATTTTTAGTTTTCTACAGTATTTTTTTCTCATAAAAAATTTAAATTTTAAAAATTAAAATTATGAATCGTGATTCTGAATTCTTAAACTAAACGTCCCATTATTGATTTTGGAGCCAAACAGTAGACAGTGCTTTTGGTTCCTACACGCCTTGTGCAATTGACACTTTGGTGATTTCAGTTTCTCATTTGGTTCTTTTCGGCCTCAGCTTATATTGAATATGGCTAATCGAGAAGGATCACAAAGCACAGAAGTTTCGATTTCAGTCCTAATAAATAGCTGCAATATACATTTGAGCGTGTGCATATCCTTGCATGTATATATACATACTTGCACTTAATTTTACAAATAACAAAATAAAGCCTTCTAAAATTCATTATTATGTATACATACATATCTTTAAAAAAAAAAAAAAAAAAAAAAAAAAAAAAAAAAAAAAAAAAAGAAGACATCCATATACCTTGTTAAGTAAGCTAAATTCTTAAACTGAGAAATTGGTTACATGAGAAATTTAGAACACTCCAATGGTTATGCTGTTTTTTTGCATTTTTAAATCCGTATTCTACATTCAAGGAATCATCATACTAAATTATTAAGAAAATAAGTTAGAATAAATATCTGTCTCTATTGATGCAGTCTTAATATCCAATAGAATTCTCTAAGACAACAAGCACGACGGTTATTGCATTCCTCAGTCAAATCTCCTTAGTTCCTTAATGTGGTGTTTTCTCTTTAGTTGGGGAAGAATGAAAACTGCCGAATGATTTGACATATTGGGGACCATAGCTTAAATTTCTTTATATACTGTCTCATTAGGCTCCCATTAAACCTAGTTAGGTTAATATGGGTATCAACTCATTTAGTCCATACCCTATTAAAAAACTATTTAGGCTTTTTATAATTAAATTACTTAATTAACATAATAATTAAATAATTTAATATAATTATTGAATAAATATGTGTCCTATAAAAAAACTCACGTTTCCTTGTGTAGGAACTGTACGCTTTAATCTCGATAGAGAGCACATCTCAAGGATTTTATTCAAAGCAACCCTCTTGGTCTGGATGGAGAGGTACAACCTTGGCACTTCATACTTAACTTTTGTAAGGATGTTTGGATTTGCTGATTTTTACTAATACATTGATTAACACCTAAAGTGACTGCAACTCCATGTTGGAAATTTTTTCTCACTATTTTTAATCGAGGCAAATACTTGAATTTATCGACAAAGAAGGAGCCCGCAGAAGTTGGAGAGAATTTCAGTGTTGGACATAGGCAACTAATAAGTCTTGACGAGAGCATTGTTGCGGAGTTCAAAGATACTTGTTCTTGATGAAGCAACATCGTCTGTTGATGTTTCAACTGATGCTCTTATTATATATTCGGAAAACTATTCGTGATGAATTCAAATCATGAACAGTGTTAATTATTGCTCACAGATTGAACACCATCATGGACAGTGATCGGATTCTTGTTCTTGACGACGGTCAGGTACGCCTATAATCCGTTTCTAATTTCTCAACATTCATTGTTTTCTTGTGAATCACTATGAACTGAGGATTCTCCGCCTTGCCTTTTCGGGTTCTGGAATACGATACCCCGGAAGAACTCTTGTTGAACAAAGAAAGTGCATTCTCTAGAATGGTGCAAAGTACAGGGCCTGCAAATGCCGAGTACTTGCGCAGCTTAGTGCTCGGGGATAAACAGAACAAGACAGACAACGAACAAAACATACAGCCGGTTTGCCAGAAGAGATGGCTAGCATCGTCCTGTTAAAGTATAAAATTATTATTGACCCATTTTTTAACCGATTAAAATTTTAAAATGAATTAATAAATTAACATGATATTATAATAAGAGGTCTTGAATTTAAATTTACGTAATTGAATTCATGTGAGGGAGAATGTTAAAGTATAAAACTATTGTTAGTCAACTCAATTATCGCATATTGACGACCAGAACGATATCGTGATGAAAACAAAGGATGCAGTGATAACACTACAGGGAGTTCTAGAGAGGAAGCATGCACAAGAAGAAGATGGAATACAAAATCATAGTTGAAGGTACATCTTTAACGATTATGCACGTGTAGTGAATGCCATAGATTAATCAGCAACTTAAGAAGTAAAATAAAATAATTAAAACCCAGCAAAAGTAAAAGGATCGCTTTACTTGCCACTTCCAAGTTTCAGGCCTTCATGTTTTCATCTGAATATCGGATTTTTTAATTTTATTTTTGTTCTACTACGAAAGATCAGACATATATAGGAATTTTCATACTTATAGTTTGCCTATTCTCTTCATGGATGTCTAACCACCTCTTTATTGTTTACAAGTTGATTTTACTAAAACTAGGGGGGGACAAAAAAGAACAACAAATTCCCAAGATTTTTTTTTTTTTTTTTTTTTTTTTATTCACACTAATGTATTCATGCTTTATTTCTAGCTCATTAGAATCTCTCACAAGAAGATTTCTGACACAACATGACAGCAGCCTTGTTCAATTTAGTGTCCGAAATCAATTTGTTCAACCTTGTTAATATCATAAAAAATTTATATGCTACTAATCTAAATTTCTCATCAAATATTGGGTTTTCTGTTTCAGGTCTTGCAATCATGAGCAAACTCTCTCAGAAGAACAGGCTTCAATCCCCGGAAGACTTTGAATGAGACATTGATACATCCGAAGAAGGCCGGGACCAACCTAGGACTACTTTTATTTTTTGTTTATTTTAGGTGTGTTCATTTACACAACTTAAATCATGACTTAAATTGTGTATGTGAGAAAAAAATACTGTAATAAAAAGATTAAATTTAAATTTATATAAGAGAGAATACTGTAACAACACGACTTGAGTCGCGACTTGAGTATGAAATGAACAATAATCATTTTGTGTATTATTTTGTTGTTCAAAAAACTCATGGGATGTTTATTTCAAGGGTTCGTCTATGTTTTTGAATCATAATTCTTAGTTCTCTACAGTATTTTTTTCCTACAAAAAATTTAAATTTTAAAAATTAAAATCATGAATCATAATTCTAAATTTATAAACCAAACGTCTCATGGAACTCTTAATCCCTCAAGGAAGATAATTGGAAGATGGGAATGTCCAATGCTACATGTGATTAGCAATTCATCTGTAGAATATATAAAGTGGAATCCACCCCACGTCTCGGCAAAACAGTTTTTTTTTTTTTTTTTTTTTTTTTTTTTTTTTTTTTTTTTTTTTTTTTTTTTTTTTTTTTTTTTTTTTTTTAACTTTCCTCTATTTTTTATTGTTTTATTTTTTTCTAAGTTTACTCTTATAAATATATTTTCTCTTTTCTTCTCTATTTAAATAATTGTTTCTCCTTGCTTAAATAAATTTTTCTCTCTAGTTCTTATCTTTTTTTGTCCTATTTTTTTTTTCTCTGAATGAGACCGTAATAAATATGTTTCTCTCTTTAATTCTCACATTAAAAATATTTATTCTCATACATATCCATATTTCCGTCTATGAGTTTATTTTTGGGTAATTAATTTTCATACCAAAAGGATAAGGGTCCGTTTAGATTGCTTTTAGATTTAACATTTTTAAAGAAGCTACAGTATGTTAATGTATTTAGTAAATCTTGAATTTATTAAGCTTCTGCTGTCATTATCAAAATTTACTAAAATAATCTTAATAATAAAACTTAGTTCTTAATATACCTATTTTACTTTTTTCATAGCAAATTAAAAATATAAAATTTTAAAATAATTATTTAAAAATTAAAAATCTTTAATAAGTATACTATACTAAATTTCATTAAAATATTTTAAATAATTATCAAAATATTTAAAAATAATAATAATAAATATTAATAGATGAATAATTTTTCTATTGAATAAAAGTAATTTATTTTTAAGAACTATTATAATTCATAAATTTAAAATTTATTTTTTATTATGAATATTGACAATAAAAATAGAAATAAAACTAACTATAAAATGTGTGATAAAATATATCTACTTTTGTCATTATATATTTTAACTGTAATTTTATACACAGTTTACTAAATATTAAGGGGTTGTTTGGTTGGGGGATTCGTACCCCGATTCGAATCATGGTTCATGATTCGCTACAGTATTTTTTCTCATAAAAAATACACGTAAATCGAAAATAATTCTAATCTTATAATTCTAATTCATGAACCAAACGTCTCTTAAATTTTTACTTCTGCTACTTGCAACAATTTTGTAAAAATATTTAACAAACACTCTGATCAGCAATTTATTATTAACAACACAATAATAGCAGAAATTTTCAATAGTACAATAATATCAAATTGATCCTAAATTAAGTTTTAAAATTTCTGTAAAAAATTTAGAAATATGGGAGAAAGTTCACGAACTTTTAGAGAAATTTCAGTAAATATCGAAATATATTAGCAAAAATATCAGTACTGTAGAGGTTCTGGGTAATGTTTGATTTATACCGCATTAATCGGTCATTTATTTCCTTTTAAAAGAAAATGAAAAAGAAAACCATCATTTCCAATGACCGTTAACTTTTCATTTAATTCCCCATTACAATTGCAATTTGGCAAACGTGCTAGTAACAATTTCCATGTTCGAATTAATTTTAAAAAAATTTCCGATTTTCGACGCATCATAATTTGCAAAAAAAAAAAAAAAAAAGGAAAGGAAAGAAAGGAAACGAAAAACTGTCGTTTAAGGTACCAAGAACCAACCAAACGTGTAAAGAGAGAGAGAGAGACAAAGACAGGATTGAGTCGTTTGTCAGAGATAAGTGGCCCCACATACGAAGTACTTTTGGGGGGTTTCAGAAGTTCCATACATTTTCTTCTGTTTTTTATTTTTTTTTTATTTTTTTTTAATGTCTGTCTTTGCCTTTGCGTGATTGGTTGGGTTTGGCTTTTTTTTTTTTCTCTTTATTTTTTTCAATAATAAATAAATAAATTCTTTGAGATTTAATTTATAATTCATTATAAATTTTTTTTTTTGGTGAAATGCTTTGCTTGGATGGGTTTGGACTCACCGCTATCTCGTCCGTTAAATTCTGTGTGCGGCATACGTTTTTAGCGCCTTCTTGTTGACCTTACCCATTCTCACTCCTCTCTCTTTCTCTCTCTAAATATTATTTATTTATTTATTAATATACCAAAAAGATATAAATGAGAATTTAATTTCTTTAATTAATTAATTTTCAACTTTTCTGTTACCCATTCAGAATTTTAGATCCAACTTCCTCGTTTAATGAGGATTTCTTATTATCCAACCACAGGACTCGGCTTCCATTCTTTCCAATTTTGTTTTGCATTGCTTTTTTTTTTTTTTTTTTTTTTTTACAAGAGAAAAAAATTAATTAAAATTTTTATAACGTTTTTTACTTTTATAGGGTTTTTGTTTGCTCTAATCTAAAGTTCGCCAAAACGTAGCTGGAATTGTTGCCCTTCTTAAGGTTATAACCTTTCGCCTTTTCTTTCTAAAATATTTTTGTTTGGAAACTACTTTTCTATTATTCTCATTGCTAGAACAACTCGGTTTCTTTTGGGATTTATTGTTTCAAAATTTTTATAACGTTTATTACTTTTATAGGGTTTTTGTTTGCTCTAATCTAAAGTTCGCCAAAACGTAGCTGGAATTGTTGCCCTTCTTAAGGTTATAACCTTTCGCCTTTTCTTTCTAAAATATTTTTGTTTGGAAACTACTTTTCTATTATTCTCATTGCTAGAACAACTCGGTTTCTTTTGGGATTTATTGTTTCTCTGAATAAGGTTTGTTTACTGAGTCAATTCTTTTTATAATATTTAAAAAAATGGGATTTCTCAGTGAAATTGTTTTTTGACGCGTGGAAAATTGTGTATTAAAAATATAAGCCATTGTTTTTTTTTTTTTTTTCAGAACAAATGCAATAGTATTTTCTTTTTTCTTTAGCGTTCTCAATTGGGTTGGATTTGTTTTGGTTGATTTATAAAGTTGGAAATAAGCAATTTTGGGGAATATTGTTTGGTTTATTTCTTCAATTGGGTATCTATGAATTCTGATTTTTATCTTTATATATATCTTTTTCTTTTTGCTGAGAACTATGTTAATTATGGAAGATTTCAAATCTGTTTTGTAATGCACAAATAATAAAATTTCTTTTGATTACTGGGTTCTTCTAATTTGGATGATTTACCACAAGTATTCTCTTTTGCAGGTTTGGCAATTAGGTTTTCATGATCTTTATCTGTTGATGGAACTGCCCAAAATGGCTGAAGAATCTCACCCTAAAGAGGTTCGATTTACTAATTTATTATTTTGTATTATACCAATTCATGCAATATAACTGTTCTTGTTACACCAGAAAAAAAAAAAGAAAAAAAAGCGTTGTCTTCTTGTTTTCTAAATCGTGGAATTGCAGATCGCATGTCTAATGTCTCAAAAGAGTACTGTTTCTTATTTATGGAGTATTCTATGTCGTTCAAGAATTTTTGATTGTTACCCTTTATTTGATATTGTTATTGGAGGACTTTGTTATATCCTAGATTCTCTGCAATCCAATCAAGCACTTGTTTTTCTATTGCTGGCCTAAGGGTAGTAACAAAGACATTTTATGGAAAGTTTAAATGGGTGGAATTATATAATGTTTTGCAGGAACATTTGTCTAAGCTCAACCAGACAAGTGACCCTGACTATGATTGCATTGGCAGTCCTCGAAGTCGAAAGGTACACATTGTTCCATCCAGTGTTCTATCGGTTTCTCACGCGGGCTAAAATTGCACGCTGTGTAGAGCTTTTTCTACTGGATTGCCCATTTACAGAGTTTACAATGAACACTCATTTGATATCTTAGTGTTGATGATTCATTCTTTGGAATTGCCTTTTAGAACATAATGGAGTGTGACCTTTAAGTTGATTGGATTTTAATTTATGTGTAATGCAGATGTCTGCTAGATGGAATCCAGATGAAGCGTGCAGACCTAGCATCGAAGAAGCGCCTATATTCTATCCAACTACTGAGGTACTCTCCTGTCAAGAAATAGTTTGTGATCTGATTTCATTTTTTTTTCTCTTCTTGTTGTCTCAACACTGTTTGGATAATGTATCCCTTTTTGGGCTTGTTTCATCTCTAACTTGTTGGCCCTACTAATTGTATTAGGAGTTTGACGATACACTTGGTTACATAGCAATGATACGCCCGAAAGCAGAACCTTATGGTATATGCCGGATTGTTCCTCCGCCTTCCTGGAATCCACCATGCCCTCTTAAGGAGAGCAGGATTTGGGAACATGCTAGTTTTTCTACACGTATTCAGCAAGTTGACTTGCTTCAGAATAGAGAACCCATGAGAAAGAAAAGCAAAAGTCAGAAGCGAAAACGACGAAGGGGCTCTAGAATGGGGAGAACTCGGAGGAAGACTGAATGTGGTTCAGAAACAAATATGGCTTCGGAGACTGATGAGAAGTTTGGGTTTCAATCAGGTTCAGACTTTACGCTTTCAGAATTTGAGAAATATGCTGATCATTTCAAGGAGTGTTACTTTGGAGTGAAGGATATGAAGGCAGATACGAACTCTAATGGATTGGAGCAGAATAAAAGATGGGGCCCATCAGTGGAGGAAATTGAAGGTGAATATTGGAGAATAGTTGAGCAACCAACAGATGAGGTGGAGGTACGGAAGGTTTAAAAATGGCTAGTGCGATATAGATGTATGTTTGTATGTATCTATATTTACAAATAGTAATGTCTCTTATATGTCAATGCAGGTGTACTATGGAGCTGATTTAGAAACCGGAGCATTTGGAAGCGGATTTCCTAAGGCATCAACCACGGCAACTGAAAGTCATTCGGATCAGTATGCAAAATCAGGGTGGAATCTAAATAACTTTCCACGCCTGCCAGGTTCCGTACTCTGTTTTGAGGAAAGTGAGATTTCTGGAGTTGTAGTTCCATGGCTTTATATTGGGATGTGCTTTTCTTCGTTCTGTTGGGTACGTATTCATCACTGTGGATTGCTTCTTGCATTGAGATGTCATAAGCATTTAAGTTTAGATATAGCAAACACTATAGTTGAATGTTTTTTCTTGTATTTAGTCAATTCTTAGAATGGCATACTGTTGTCTCTTACTACTTTCTTGCATTATTCCGCTTTCATTTTATTTTTGGAGCTCATGCAAAATGATTCTTTCATGTGGTTGAACAGCATGTTGAGGACCACCACCTCTACTCACTGAATTATATGCACTGGGGTGAGCCAAAAATATGGTATGGAGTACCTGGAAGTCATGCATCTGCGTTGGAAGGTGCGATGAGGAAAGAGTTGCCTGATTTGTTTGAGGAACAGCCGGATTTACTTAATGAACTGGTATGTTTCTCTTTGTTTCAGCTTTTCTACAACTACTCTTTTTGATACTCTCTTGTTTGTGATAATTTATGTAGATAACGGAAGCAAGATTTCAGTTCTTAACTAACTGAATTCTGCTGCTACAAAAGAAAATGATTTGAAAATGAGTAATTTCGAGAGTTGGTTACTCTCTTGTTAATGATAAGGATATTTCAATGATCCAGAATTCTGCAAAAGTTTACTCCCTATTGTAAGAGGGGAAAAAAAAAATGATAAAGCTAGTATATTTTCAATGCATGGAGACTTTGCCCCGACTCCCCGCCCTACCTCCAAAAAAAAAAAAAAAATGTTGCAATCTATTGAGTGGTATGGGCCTGCTTTCTTGAAGCAGCTTGGCACTACTAATCTTTCGTTTCAATGTTATTATATAAGATCTCTTTGTCTAAGGATTTTGATGTTTTCCCCCATCAATTCAGTGTAAGCAACTCCCTTATTAATATCTGTCCAGGTCTTTTGACGGCATGCAGCCCCCATGGTATTTTGTGGCCTATCTTAAATACTTAAATACTCTACGAGTGTACTTCGGATGCTAAAACCATGAATTTCATCCTTGGGCAGGTTACTCAGCTATCTCCTTCAGTTCTGAAAGCTGAGGGTGTACCCGTGTATCGAGCAATCCAACATTCTGGAGAATTTGTTCTCACCTTTCCAAGGGCGTACCACTCTGGATTTAATTGTGGGTTTAACTGTGCTGAGGCAGTGAATGTTGCCCCTGTTGACTGGTTAGCTCATGGACAGAATGCAGTTGAACTTTACAGCAGGCAGCGTCGCAAGACCTCAATTTCCCATGACAAATTGTTGCTAGGGTCTGCACAGGAAGCTGTACAAGCCCTTTATGAGCTATCAATTCTTGGAAATTCAACTCCTACGAATTTAAGCTGGAAAAGTGCATGCGGGAAGGATGGAGTTCTTACCAAGGAAATTAAGGTAAGTTATTGCTCTTTTCCTGCTATCTTTGTTCCTTGCAAAAGTTTCTCTTCCCCCATTAATAGTGGTCTTTTGTCCTCTATTATCTTTTTGACAGACAAGAGTAAGGATGGAAGAGGAAAGGCTAGATCGTCTGCCAATTTGTTTGAAGCTGCAAAAGATGGAAACAGACTTTGATTTGAAAGATGAGAGAGAGTGTTTTTCTTGCTTCTATGATTTGCACTTATCAGCAGCCAGCTGCAAGTGCTCCCCCGACGTATATTCATGTCTTAGACACGTGAACCGTCTTTGTTCATGTGAAGTGGATAATAGACGTGTCCTTTACCGGTACTCTATTAACGAATTGAATATGCTAGTTGAAGCGTTAGAAGGTGATTTAGAAGCTTTAAAATTATGGACATCAACACAGGATTCTTTAGTAGTTTCGGTTGATAAAAAAGTTGTTAGTGTAGGTAAGCAAGAAGTAGAAAATGGTAATTTCAGAGTTGACTCGCATGATCGAAGGGAAAATTCATCTTGTTTCCCTGCTTCAGAAGAGAAGTTGAACGCAAATGCCTCTTGCAGTTCAAATAGTGATGGTTCTTCCAAAGTGATCCAATCAAGAGCCAAGCAGGAAAGCTGTAGTCCGAGCTCATCTCATGTCACTACAGATAGTCATCATGACACTGATGAAACTCCGATCGTGAAAGACAATGATAAAGCAGGACAGCAGTGCTGTATTGATCTGAATCTTGATTATTTGTCTGGTCAACATGAAAGTAGGTTGATGTGCATGTCTGATGACAGTTTTAATAAGAAAGGAAACGTTTGTGATTCTGATGTAAAAAGAGAACGAAATATGATGGACATTGATAGTTATTGTCATAACTCTACCCAAGATGTCAGGGACGTGGAGAAAAATCATGCATTCGATGGTAATAAGTTGTTCGGAGTTGATATTTTATCATCACATTCTCATCGACATGTGCCATCAACCAGCTTGACAAAACCAGGAATTTTGAGCAGTTCGGATACTAAGATATTCATGACTGATCAAAGAGAATCATTATGGGAATTGGGTCCTCACATTGAGCTTATAAATATTGGTTCAGTTGTTTCTGGAAAGCGATGGTGCAGCAAGCAGGCCATATTTCCAAAAGGTAAGCTAGAGTATGACCATTACTTGAAAAAATAGAGTTGTGTTGCCCTAACATAAGTATTATTGTAAATACTATTGTTATTATTATAGTTTCCGTTTTTGCGTCATGGAGATTATTTATATTTCTTGCTACAGGATTTAGGAGCCGTGTTAGGTTCTATGATTTGCGGAATCCAACTAAGATTTGTAGCTATATATCCGAAGTTCTTGATGCTGGCCTTATTGGACCTGTATTTCAGGTGTGTCTCTTATATCAGTTTAGTTCTTTGCATTAACTTTCCTTTTGTATGATAACAACTCAGTTTTTGACACACGTTTCTTCCCTTTCATAACATGAATCCAGGTTTCTTTGGAAGAGCATCCTGGAGAAATTTTTTCCAATATCTCAGCAGAGAAGTGCTGGGCAATGGTTTTGCAGAGAGTGAATGAGGAAATAAAGAGGCAAAATAATCTAGGAAAGCAAGTACTGTTCCCATCACAGCCTTTGCAGAGCATTAACGGGCTTGAAATGTTTGGGTTTCTCTCATCATCCATTGTGCAGGTAAAACAACCTATTGTTCTTCTTTTTTTTTTTTCCCATTCACTTGTGTTCTTACTTTATCGTAAATGGTTACCGCTTGTGCAGACATGTATAGACGTCTTTGATGTTAGTTATTTGTCTGTTGTCTGATTTGTGTTGACTGATTTTTCCTCAGGCTATAGAGGCTCTAGACCCTGATCATCAATGCACGGAGTACTGGAACGACAGGCGCACACCGCCTGCAACTCTCGGAAACTCTACTAACGTACTGAGGAAGCATTCAGCTGAATCATCTTGCTCAATTGGAGAAAGAAACACAAAACTTTTTGGTATTAACTTGGTAAAGCAGGAACAGGATAGTCCATCTATAGGAGGAGGTGATAGTCTAATTGATAAAGAGGCGACAATAGCTGTTAGAGGACTGTTAAAGAAAGCAAGTCCGGAAGAGCTAAAGACATTGCGAAGATTGTTCAGCAGTGAATCACAAACTGCTGAGTTGAGAATAGCATTCACATCATTGATTGAAGAAGAGATTCAGAAAGATGTAAATAAATAAGGAATGGTGATAGTAGGGGAATTCTCTTTTTTTTTTTTTCCTCATTCAAGGAAAGGTATTTTTGTTTAACTAATTCAGTAATTTAGGTTTATTCTTTTAGGGGAAAAATCCATAAAGAGTCACTTGACCTTCATGTAGCATCTGAGTTCTTAGTGGCTAGGTTGATTGTACATGAGAAGAACAGTTTTTTAACCCTCTATATATCAATTCTCAATTTTGCTGATCTGGGTTTTTTTTTTTTTTTTTTTTCCTTTTTATCTTTTTTATCTTGTAGGATTTAGATTTAATTATCTCCATCATTGTCTTAGAGCTGATGTTATTGAACAGAGATTACTAGAATTGAAGCCTTCTTTTGGTATGTCATTGAAATGAATTTCTACTCTTGGAATCTTATCCTGAAATTACCCTTATCAAATCAAATGTTTTTGCAATCCTTGACAAAGTTTCAGCAACATAGTTATTATATTGAAATGGAAATAGATTCCACAAAAATTAGTATCAGAAACAAAATGCAGTTATGTTTTAAATCAATGTAAACCTGGAAATACAAAACTCCATAAAATGCTAAAGAATGTATTGTATGATGCAATTCCATACCATCAAAACTGAAACTGAAATCTGGATTCACAGCTGACGAGAATGAATTTGGGAAATTTACAGCAAAACAAGAAAAATGAAGAAAATAACAATCTCCAGAGAAGATTCCTAATATACCCAATATTCATCAAAAACCAACAAAAACACCCTCAAAAGACGATTAAAAAAAAAAAGAACAAAAAACAAAAAGAAAAGCCTCAATTTCTCTTTGCCTTCATCTGAAATTGTTCCTCTGAGTCTTGAACCCCAAAAGCGCACAAACCACCACCAAAACAGCCGGAAATTCAATGCAGAGACATGGCGGCGCGGCGTCGGAGCTCGACTCAGAAATTCCCCCGTCCGGCCTTTTCGGTGCCGGTGGCGGCCGGACCATAGCGGACTGGTCCGCCGGCGGGTCGAGGCCGTCTTGGCCGTAGACGGAGAAGTCGAACATTCTGGCGACGCCATGGACGATGATGGCGGTGGTGGCGTAGAGGTCCGGCACGGTGATCGGAGAGCCGTTGATGGAGAAGTTGAGCCGCGAGTTGTTGGTGATGACGACGGACTTTCCGGGGAGGAGAGTCGGCAGGTGGGTGTTGGTCTTGAAGAGGAGGAGCTCCGAGAAGGAGAGCCGCTGAGGGATCACGTGGTACGAGAACGTGAAAGGATCGCCGGCGGAGGGAAGGCGGTTGGCGCCGTCGTTTTCGGGGACGAAGAGGGTGGCGCTGAGAGGGAGGACGGCGCTCGCCACGACGCTGACCCAGTCGCCGAAGTCTCCGGCTCCGATCAGCGCGTCAATTATGTTGTTCAGCTGGTCCGGCGATGCCTCCGCGGCCGGAGACGGCGTCAACGGCGGCGGCGGCGGTGATGGTGGGTGTTGGGGCCGACGTGAGGGGCGGCGTGGCGATCGACGAGAGCGTTGTGGAATTGGGGGTGGCGACGGCGATTGCGGCGAGGGTGACTGCGGCGGAGAAGGTAAAGACGGCTGCGGCGATGGCACGATTGGAGAGGAGGAAGGGGAAGAATCTGCAGCGGAGAGAATGGCGGTGAAGGGGAAGAGGAAGAGGAGGAGGAGGATGAGAGACCGGAGGTGGATTGCCATGGCTGAAAGAAGTTCGTAAGAAAAGAGGTTTTTCTTGGGTTTCTTTCGGTTCTGTGTTTTTCTTGAAGATTGGCATGCATACGCAGAGGAGGAGAAAGAAAAATGGGTTTCTGGTTTCTTGATTTTTCTGTTTTGGAGTACTGGGGAAATGGAGAAGTAGAAAGAAGAAAGAATAATGTGCATGGAAGAGTATAACTTTATAAACTATAATAACCAACTTGTAACGAATTCTTCCCGCCAGATCTTCTTGAAGTTAGTGGCATTTTCGTAATTATGAGCTCATGCCAAGGGTGTTCTTGGTTTCGAAAAGTCAACCAGATGCCAAGAATTCCTGCGATCAACAGTCGCTGATTGTGCTATTGCCAATTTCTCATCACAGGACCTTAAAAAAAATAAAAAAAATAAAAAAAAAACCCCAAAAAAACTACAAATATACAAACACACAAGCAAATCCCAAAGGAACCACCAAAAAAAAAAACACAAAAAAAGGTATCCATGGAAGGTTCTATTTATTAGAAAATAACAAAAACACAACGGAATGGTATCTTGAAATATTGATAAAATAATCCATCTAATGATGTTATAACTACTACTAATTAGGCAATTAGTTATGAGTTATCAAAGTTTCCTCAGACCTTTCAATCTTGTCTGTGAGACTGATTCTTTTTATCTTGAATCAATTAGTGTAAGAGCACCATCAAAATCTTTTTGTAATTATTGAACATCTTATTTGATATAATCATATTCAGAAAGCTTGAAATCATTTGTGAGAAAAGAATCCACAATTGAGACTTGAGAGCCAAACTTTATCAATATTCTTGTTTTGTGTTCTTACATCTTCTCAATAGTCAGTGGCAGAATCAGCCGTACGTTAAATTTTTTTTAACAAAGTATCTTAATGAGGACATAGAATAAAATATATTTATTTTAGTTGAGGCATATATTATTTCAGTGGGGGTTTAAATATAAAATTTAAAAATTTTTAAAAATAATATTTTTTTCAAAAAAGGTTGAGTAAGGGCAGTAGCCCCCACTAGGCTGTACTGTCCATAGTCATGCATTGCGTGATATGCAAATTATTTTAGAAGTTCTTTAGTGATAGCAACTTTTTAAGTCATTCTAAGTTAAGATTAATTGGTTGCTAAAGCCTTGTAATTATTTATTGGTGATAGGTTTGCCAATTTTCTCGTGAAGATTGGTGATTGTAGAGATCTTGGTGAATCTCAAGAAGGAGTTATTGATTGCGCCAGACATTAAACAATCGTGATAGTATAGGAGGTTGATAATTCCTCAAGCATCTCTAAGAGAATTCTCTAAATTTTATCTAAATTCTAGTTAAAATGATTAGAAAACTATTTTAACTATTAACTTTGTCACTCCTATCATGCTCTCTATTTTAGCTAAATATAAGTTATTTTAATATTTATTGAATATAAAATATAACTAATTTTATTGAATTTACAAAATAAAATCTTTACATTTATTACAGTTGAAAGAATAAAATAATATAAAAAATGAAATGTCTAATCTTTGCATGCTAGTGTTAGAGTGGAAAAAAAACTAAGGAGACGTTTTGGTTTATAGATTAAAATCATGAGATTAGAACTATTTTTGATTTATGTGTATTTTTTGTGAGAAAAATACTGTAGCGAACCATGAACCATGATTCGAATCGGAGTACGAATCCCCCAACCAAATAACCCCTAAATCTTTAGTTATTTTGGCTAAAAACATAATATGACTAACATGATTAGAGTTGCTCTAATAGTAGACATAGACAAATTATTGATCTATATAGTGTTTGCACTCTTTTCCCTTTAACTCCTTTATTTTTGTCGTCATTACTTTTTCTTTTTTTTTTTTATCAAATTATTGCTTAAATCTGTGTGTTGATAACTAGGTATTTATTCTAGTGCAAACTGATTTTTTAACTTTCCAACAATTATAAAAAAAGTTTGTGAAAATTTTAAGCTTAATTCGTTCTTTCTTGGTAGTCATTCGTGGGCTAACATTAGCAAGGTGAGAATGGAGTGGAGGACCAACCATCTTTTAAATTTTCGAAGTCATTTCAACTTCCAAAAAATATGAGCTAAGAAATCGAATGACATTAACAAGGTTTGCAAATAATTGGCTTGTTAGAGTGTGCAACAACCCAAAGAGTTGCAAGTGGTTCTATAAGCATGGATTTTACATAATCGTCAAAAAAAAAAAAAAAAAAAAAAAAAAAAACCTTTTTTTCATTCAATTAAATGCAACTAATAATAATAATAATAATAACACATAACACATCGATTTTCATTTCATATATCTGTTGTGATTCTTGTGAACGCAATTAAGATAATAAAATACACCCAATATAACACGACTGTATAAAAAGCATTATTCTGGCTAATTAGGTGAGGTCATTTTCATCAAGTGGTTCTTCCACCTCCTTAGTATCAGTCTTAAGTGAACTGACATCGCCTGTAGGCAGTTTTCTGGCAAGCTTGATGATCTGCAGTCATTTATTTGCAGTCAAAGAAATGCTAAAAGTGCAATTTCACATAACAATAAGGTACGATCATAAAAAGAGGTGCAAGGCAGAAATCAATGATAATTTATCCTTCAGTCAAGCATTAGATAAAAATCAAGCATTTTGAAGGTATTTCATATCTTTTTCTTTTTTTAATTATGATCCTAATTTGTGCATGACGCTCTTTCCATCCAGTATGACACTCTATCTCATCAATCAAGGATTTTTATTCCTATGCAGCACAAGCAAATTTGCTCAGATCCAAAGACAAAACAGCCAGTTTCTAACCAATCTATTTTTCATCAATCTGTTTGCTTGATCTTGATCTTCAATGCGAAGAATTAAAAGGGTATCTTCTCCAACTTAGCTAGGAATTGAAAAAAGTCAACACACATATAACACTACTGGTAGATTTAAGCATTAATTACAATTAGGAGGGTCAACAATTTGCTTCAGTGCTCTAGTCTGAAGTTCGTTTGCGGGTGTTTCCATTTACAGGTCCTATTAGTTGTTTTCAATTTGTCCTGGCTAGAAAGAGGATGGTATGATTTTTTTTTTTTGGTAACATATATTCAGAATAAGTATCAGTTAAGTATAAAATTCCATTTGTTTAGATGCATGATTGAATATTGAGCCTAGAATTGATGGATGACAGGTTTAAATGGCGTTACATATTTAACTATTAACTGGATCAATGTAGATGACAGAAAATTTAGGAAGCAAACAAATTAAGTTATTACCGCGTTATCAAGATGGGAAATTGTGCTTGACTGAGCTACACGTTTGATCTCTTCAACATCACCTTCACTATAGGCAGAAAGCAGCTTACTGGCACAACGGTATTGGTCACTGCTCAAAAACGCATCGATCCTAGAAAGAGCCGAAATCAGAAAGTCAGACTTCCAAACCTTTTCTAAGGTTATGATTTTGAGCATAAAAAGTGAATGGAGAAAAATCATTTTCAAAATAAATCTCGTCAAGCTCAAATTTGGTGCTAATGATCTGTTTAGTCTGCAGATCATGTTTACACCTCATGGAACTTGATTGTTTCACTCGGCATAGGAAATCAAACCAAAACACTGGAAAAGATATTACACTGGAAAATCTCAGAATCAAAGAACTTCCAGCCACTCAAAAAAGGGATAAACTATTATCAAGTCAATTGTTTCTCATTCTCAAATATCTTGAGCTAGTAGTTCATTACATTATTTCTACGAGTTTATTTGCAGAGACAGTTGAACGGCATCGCAAATGCTTTTGGAACATGGCTTATCAATTCAAATATAGGTAGACTGCAGACTTGTTTTTAAACAACAAGAATGTGCTAACAAGTATTTCAATGTACATGGGGACTTCTGTTACTGTTCCCAAGTTCATGGAAACAAAAGGTGAAAACAGTGGACCCCAGAGATGAAAGAAGGTTATGAAAGAATGAAGTAACACTGTAACAGTAGAACAAATTACAAGTCAGTTAATCATTTTAGCATTTTGTCCTTGAGTTAATCAGTGTTTTCGCTTGGCTGAAAATCCCCATGCCCCACGGGTTATCCTTCAATATAGTGAGTAGAATATGAACCCAAACAAAAATGTATTGATAGTGACACGAGTTCCAGTGGGAAAATATTTTTTACTTACTGTGAACAGTCATTGTAGCACTTCTCTGCTTCCTTGAAATCATGAGCATAAAGAAATATAACGATTGCACTAAGATATGCCTGTATGGACAAAGGTAATCAGGAATTACTTCCAGATCAAAAACCATTGAAGAAGTTGAACCGCAGAAAATAAGACAGAGAGGCTAGTAAATGAAAGAAAGAGAAGAAAAAGCACTACTTTCTTTGAGAGATGTTGAGGAAAATGAGAAGTACTTGGACACTCTTGCTAATTGAAGAGCAAAAGTTACAACAAAATCACAGGACGCAATATCAGTTGACTAGTTGGCAAAGCACTAATTCAATTTGGAAAATTAACTAGACCTGGTCTTAGACTAATGTATTATTATATACATATTTATTCGAGTCAGCTGAGTCAAGGAAATTTTACAATTTGAAATTATGGGACAAGCCATCAATATGAGCGATCAATTCTATTTTACTACAAATTATATCTCATTTAGGCGTGGGACTTTCCTTTGACTATTGAATCATCCGAAAAATGTCAACGATAATTATGCCTGTAATTAAAATATGAGTAAATTCCCACATAGTCCCAATGAGTTAGGAAATGCGTATTTTGACTAAAGAACACATGCCTCCCTTCCTTCCCTTTATCCTCTTTGTATATTTTATTTCTTCTTTCCTTGGTTAATATACTCAGTTATTTCATTTGTCTAACTTAATATTAAATTAATAAATATAAATTGTAACTATAACCTAACCAGATTAAAGTACTTTATACTCTCTAGTCTTTCTATCCTTCTCAAGAGTATCATGATACTGCAAAGCTCAACCGAAATCAAGCATAGTTGCATACAGAAGCGACGGAAGTAACTAGGAATAACTAATTCAGCAAACAAAAACTGATGGAAGGAAAAACTAATATGCCAAAAAATAAATTTCACACCTTAAACTGGCTATTAGTAGCATTGCTCTTATCTGCAGCTAAACCCAATTTTAACATGAAAGTTGCAGCATCTGCATACCTGTCAAATGAAAGAATTAAATACAAATCTCAAATTTCTATGGTTATACAGACATACAGACATTATTTTAACATGAAAGTAGGATAATGTTAGAATTGAAATGGACGAGTGACATTATACTCAAGGAATTCTTACAGCAAAGAATTTGACATACAATGGTGATATCAATTTAGGGACAGCTACAACAGTTCCCAATAGGGCTGTTCCTCCCTTTTAGAGTCCATGTAACTTAATATAGGGTTTTTTATTATCTTTGTATTGCTTTCTTGCTTGGAAGAACTTGCTGTACTTATTTTGGACCGCCTATATGAACTGTTATAATGGTTATTGAGCAGAAGTTGTTGGCATGAAATCATACTACAAGTTTCAAACTCTAGTTCCTTCTTTTTTTTTTTTTTTTTTTTTTTTTTTTTTGTAATGCTTCTTTTTCTTCTCTTTCTCTCTCCCCTTACTCCTTTCTTCCTTTTCTCTCTTCTTATTTTTCTTCTCTCTCCACCCCCACCTTTTCAATATCTTTTTGGTCGCCCTCCCTGTTTCTTTCTTCTCTTTTATCCTCATATTGCACTAGAAAGCTCATAGTTTCTCTTCCTTCAAGTTTTTCCTCTTGCATGTGTGCCCAGATGTTGTTACCATTCCACGTGCGGTTCATAATCATATACAACCAAGACAAGAAGCTTTTCTAATATTCTAAAACGTTAAAACTCAAATGTTCTATAAAGACTCCATTGGCCCACAACTAAAAATGAAATAAGGAGCCCAATAATCAGTTTGGTAACAAATAACGATCACTTAATTCGACAAGGTTAGCACTTATTATCTATTAATTATGCCTTATTCATGCCCTGTTTGATGTTGGAGGCCCCAACTTCAACTATAGCTGAAGACTTTAAACAAAAAGTTGTATAAAACCTAAAATCCCAAGAATCTATTAGATAAAAGTTGCATAAGCATGCAGAGATGATTTTCTTCTCTTAAATTAGCTTTATTTTGAGCTCAAAATTATGCCCATAACGGGAAATCGCAGAGGATTCTCTTTGTTTTGATGCTATCTTGTAATAGAACTTACTTCTCGACTTTTATATACACATTTGTGGCGGCACGGTACAAATCAAAAGCCATTTGCTCTCTGTTGTCTTCTTCGAGAATAGAACAAGCATCAGCATATAATTGGATTGCTCCATCCGGATCAGCTTCTTCCAAAGCACTATTATAAGAGGGTGAATAAAAGTTTCACCAAAAACAAAAAAAAAAAGAGGGTGAACAAAAGTAAAATCAACAGCTTTCATATAAAAGCAAAATTAAAATGAAACACAAGAAGAAATTATGATTTGGATACTAAGACAGAACAGACCAACACATGCACTGAAAACTATTAAATAAGAAATGTATATAATCTCTCAACGCTGTAACACAATTTCTAATGGTGTGGAAACTCTCAAGTTGGCAAACGTTTCCTCTTTCTACGTGCATACATGAGAAACTGAAAATTGGAAGAAATATGAAAGAAAAAAGCAATCTATTCATTTCTTATTTCGATCATGAATGAAGGCAATGAATCAGTATAGAGTACGAGTTGCTCACAAGAGGTTTTATCATTGTTTTAGTTCTGATGATAATAAGACTCTAAGAATTTCCTTTTAATAAATGATAGGAAATTAGAATCAATAGTTGAGCAGCAAGTTGAATCATGTCTTACCGAGCCCCTTTTGCAAGAGCATCAGATGCAGGTTGAGATCTACCGCACTCAAAATACAACTCGGATGCCCTTCTATAAAAATCAGCAACTTCACTCCACTTTCTTAGCTCCTTTGCAAGAGCAGCAGCAGACTCCATATGCTTTGCAGCATCCCAGGGTCTAATTCGGTCGTAAAAGATGTGTAGCAAGACAACATTGTATACATCGAAAGGCAAAACAAAAAATAGATAAAAAAAAAAATTAAACGCAAAACAATCGATGAAGAGGATACGAAGAAATCATCTCTTGTCCTTTAGAAGCCTTTTCGAATGCTTCTTTTGCATTCTCATACTGCCTTGCAACCCTAAATGCATTAGCTGCAGCAGCAAAAAGTTTTTTCATAAGATCAAAAAACGAAAGAAAAAGATATACAGTTGGATTACTATTCCATAACTTCTATAATAAAATCGCATCACATTTGCATACCAGCTTGTTCATATAGAACAGTGGCACTTTTCCAATCAGCACTCCATCTTGTGAGACTCAGTTTCGTTCTGAGAAAATGAAGGTAAAAAACCATTAACTACCAAAAAATAATAATAATAATAAAACCATATGCTCTCCATATTTCCCACTCACAAATTAGAGTTTAAAAAGATTTACAAATTCACAAATAACTGCCAAACTACAAGCTATGGTTTTTGCCATATCATTTGCCCTTTTCAAGTCTTTGATTTCACAAACTTTTAAGAAAGAAAAATCTTCTTCCTATTTTGTCATTTTTATATGTTTGTTTCCACTTAATTCATATAAGATATTCATCAACAATCAAAACTTTGATTTTAAATCATGTTTTCTCAGCTATCATTTCTATTTTTTTGGGACGAGTAGAAGATCCCTCGGTCAACAAAGAGCAATTCAACATAGTTCAACACTTTATTCACAGCCAAAAACAAAAATTCTACAATTCGCACATCAGATAAGGCATTAGCAAAGCTACATCTTATTAAAATAATGATGAAATGATGAGAATCCCAATAATGTATAACATAAACTCTCTTTGAACTACAAAAACAGAGTTGAACAGACTCAAGATCAAAACTTTATTGGTTTTTGCAACCCACAAATCCAATAATAATTCGGAGAAATCGAAAAACACGTGAAAACAACGTAGTCTAAAAGCAATATTACAGATTGATCAGCGCACAAAAAGAAAAGTGGAAATGAGAGAGAGAGAGAAAGAGAGAGAGACAGTTTATCGGCTTTGGCGACCAATTTATCGGGATCGTTGGAACCCATGGCCGAGCTCGGAGTCCGTACAGCGTACGAGATTTTTCGGTTTTGTCGCTGAGGAGAAAAGGGCTAATAATAATGTTATTGTGTGCTGCAGTTGGAGATCGTTGCAATTTCCAATCTGGATCTCTGTTGGTGATTTTCTTTTACAACCTGCCACTGGATAAGTTATTGTGACTGACTTTTTAGTTCACAACTACACCTCATTCTTTGAAATTGAAAATTAAAAAAAAAAAATTACGGAAAAGAAAAAGGTTAATCTCACTTATTGAGATTTACTTTTAATTTCGGTGGACGTTTGGTTCATGGATTCAGAATTATGATTCATAATCATTTTTATTTTACGTGCATATTTTGTGAGAGAAAAACACTGTAGAATTATGAATCATGATTCAGAATCATGAATGAATACATGAAACAAACGGACTTCTAGTTTAGTCTCTAACGTCACACGGTTAATCAGTTTTGGATGGTTCAAATTAGTGATTTTAATTTCAGAATTATAATTAGACTTAAAATTATATATTATGGTTCTAATTTCAAAACTAAAATCATAATCACTTTTATTTGAACCCTCATGCTAATTAAAGTTTAAGTATTAAATATTACGAAAATGATCTAAATTTGAGACCAAAATTGAAAATAGTTGAGTTTAAGGACTATGCATGGAATTTTTTTTTTTATTAATTGTGTTAGTCTCTAAACTTTAGATTTTTCTAATTTTAATTCATAATTGCTACAGATTAATCAAATATTTAATGTTGAACTAACATAATGATGAAATTAAACAAAGTAAAACTTTAGAGATCAACTGTGTGACGTTTTAAAAGTCAGGGATCAAAGTGGAATTAAAGGTAAACTTTTTGAATTATTTATGGGATTAGCCCAAAGAAAGATAAACTTTCTAATTAAAATTTAAATAAATTTGTGAATTGCAATGTAATTTGACGTTTATAAAACTTAAAATATATATTTTGATAATATATGAGTCCCCGTTTGGTTCGTTCGTTTGAATTTTGTTGATTTGAACTTTTTTGTTTGAATAGAAAAATTGAATTGTGGGGTTTAAATTGTAGTTCGAATTGGTGTTTAGATGTTCAGTTAAAGTTTTAATCTAAACATGGAATAAAATTTGAATTAGTGTTTGGTAGATGTGAAAAGCAGTGCACTTTTTTACTATTTAAAAATGATTTAAATAGTTAAACTTAAAGAGAGAGGTAAATACTAAATTGAACAATTTAATTCAACTTAAATTCAAATTGTGTGATTATCAAATACGAGTTTAAACAATACTCACTATTAAAACTAAATTAAAATGAGTTAAATTAGTTATAAAAATGAGGGCTGAGTATACCAGAATCAGAAACACAGTGCAACCCAACTCGATCGCACCTTGGTGTCAACTGTCACATCACAAATCTGAATAGGGCGGGTGAAACCCGACAATGTATCCATCTTTGATGGGTGGGTTTTGAGTCGAAGGATTCTCTCCTCGAGTTGAGCCTGGCCCGACTCTTTTTTCCATTTATTTTTATTAATAAAAAAGGTGTTTTGGAAAATGTTGTCGTTCCAACAATGGGCACTACTCTTTCAAGTTTCAACCCTGGCCACTCACCGCGTTGCTCATCACTTGCCGACCTCTTGCATCTTGTTTATTTTACCGATTCGAGTTTACAATTCAAGTTTTGTTACAGTAAAAAGCTCTTAGAAACAGTCACATCTAACTTTTTTACTACAGTAAAAAGTTCTCACATAAAATCACGATTGTCTCCTCGCAATTGCTGGTAAGTTTTTAATATATTTTTTATGTTGATTTTTTGTCTAATAACAAAGTATTTTGATCGTTTTGTTCTTATTTATAAGCTTGTTGATTTTGCATTTGTGTTGTTGGTTTAGAATTTTTATGGAACGTTTGATTCATGAGTTCAGAACCATGATTTATGATTCTGATTTTTAAAATTTAAATTTTTTATGAGAGAAAAAACATTATAGAGAATCAAGAACTATGATTCAGAACCAGTGACGAATCCTTGAAACAAACATCCCATTAATATTTGATTATTTGTATTTGTGATTAATTTTACTGGTGTAACCAATAGCAGAGTCAGAGAGTCAACTATTTTAATTATAAATAGACAACAATTCAACTATTTTAATTGAGTTCAATTCACATTTTAAAATTCATTGTCCACAAAATTATCAATATTGTAAAATGAAAATTTGAAGGGCAAAATAAAAAGACTTGCTAATTTTTTTTATTTTTATTTTTTTAATATTTTTGTTGTTGAGGTAGAAATATAAAGGAGCCCCATGGGCGAGGCGCGGAGGCAACATGGGGCCAACGTGGCTCCGCTACTAGGTGTGGCCTTGGGTTTAATTTAAAAATAGTGTTGTTGTGATGCCTTGATGAGTTCTAATTTGCTACTTTTCTTAGAACGTGTATGAAGTATTGTTGATACATGTTCATGTGTATGCGGTTAGTTATTTTATTATATTGTTAAATTCATTCATATTATGTCAAACGACTTAATTTTTATTGATTATCGATATGCATGGTATTATAAGAGGGTTGCACTTATTTCAGCTTAGAGCATTTTCTGATGTGATGATAAATTAATATATTAATGCCAATATAAACCAGGCATTAAGCATTAGTACTTGGTCACCAGTGATTTCCTATACAGTTACTGATAGTAGCCTATTGGTCTACCGTGGCAATCCATGCGACTATGCTAGCAATTTAGGATCTTTGGTTTTTTTTTTTCTCTTTTAATACCAATACTACCGGTTGCTGTTGGGAAAATCAGAAAATGTTACACAGCAAAATTTTAAAATTTTTCGGATCGCTATATATTATAAATATTTAAGATCTAAATCATACCTTTATAAGGAACAATTATATTTCTAGTATAACTGAAGCGATCAAGAATAGCAAATGAAAGAGTCTCAACCAAGTAGACTTCTTTGTTATTCTCTTTTTTATAACCATATAACGAGGGGTACATATCATTCAATTTTTTTAATTGGTATCTTCTCCTCTCCTTCCAACCACAAAAGAGCTAAAAAAATGGTTCTTGATGTTTGATGGCAACTGTAGTCTATTAATGGCAACTGTAGGATTAATTTTTTAGTATTCTGATCTACTACCGAAAGCTAGTAATTTTGTGCCAAACACTATAAATTTTTAATATAAACCGTAATAGATCAAACTGTTTAAAAATCAATCAAATACTTATAACTGCAACTCTTATGAGTAATGAAAAACGGCGGTTCCTATCGTAAAAATAGCTATCACAATTTGCCGACTCATATGTCATAGACACGCAAAACTCTGCATGCACGCATTAATTAATTGTGCGCTTGGCAAATGTTGCAATATCGTAGAGTTTGTTGCAATTTTTGCTTTGCTTTCATATTTCTTCCTTTTACGTAGTATTGTGGGTATATATATATATACACATATGTGGCACATAGAATAATAGATTTATGCCTCGTTCATTTCACCGATTCGAGTTTTCAGTTTTAGGTTTTTATAGTAAAAAACTCTCATAAAATGTCACATCAAAATTTTCTACTACAGTGAAAAGCTCTCAGAAAATGTCACATCTCAGCTCGAATTAAAAACTCGAATCCGCAAAGTGAACGATGTTATAATCTCCCTCAAAATCGTCTAAGTTTTTCATTAATATAGAGAATCGTGTTAATATACAAAAAAAAAAAAAAGAAAAAAAAACACACGCAGAGAATGAATATATAACTAGAAAATGGAAATCTATTTAGTACGTATGTAAAACATCATTTCGCCTTAAAAATTTTGAGATCAATATTTTTGGGTGGATAACATTATATATTGATCGGACAGTTAGTAAAAAAAAACAATTGATGAGATTGAATTTTTATCATATTAAATTATTAAATTATTAAATTGTTAGATTTAATTGGTTAAGAGGTGGCACTCATTTCAACTTTAGGTAGTACTACTTCAGCCACACATTCAGGCGGTGTACTACTGAAACCGGTCTGCCTGAAACTGCTCCTGCAGTTAAACATGCATTTACATGATCTCTTCAATTTTGGGCACATTCATCAAGACCCATTAATTTCAATAGCTAGTTTCAATCATGCATATCTTTTTATTCATTATAATGCCCTACAATCCTGCATGCTCCTCAATTTTCTCAAAGTTAATTTGCCTCTCATGATTTCCCTCTATATATATGTATAGTGATATATTTTAACTCGCTTGAATATATATATATACATATAATATATATAATACATGCTGAATATCATGGTCATATATTCTCCAAAGACGTCCTCAAAGATCATGGCCGTGAATTTCACTTTCATTCTAGGCTTGATTCTGTTCTCCGACCTTGTAACTGATCATCACACAAACGCTCGTTCACTTGTTGATCAGGAATCAGAAACAGCCAAACAAGGGGATAAATATGGAAACTTACAAGCTGCAGGCAATGAGAAGGAAATTAGCGTGGGAAAGTTGGCGGAATCGAAGGAGTTTGGCCGTGAGATGAAAAATTTGCCACCTTTACCAAATATACCCGGAATCCCGATTCCGTCGATTCCAGGATTCCCTAATCCGCCAGCAGTACCTTTGCCAGATATCCCAATCTTTAGGCCACCGTTTGATAATATTCCAGGAGTACCTCCACTCCCTTCGATTCCCAATCTACCACCACTTCCTCCGCTTCCTAACATCCCATTCCCATTCCTCTCGCCTCCTCCCTCGTAAGTAGTGATCATTTCCCACCCGTCAAAAGTACTGGTGACTACACTATATATATATATATATATATTAGTTTGTTTAATAGTGGTTTTTGGGGTTTTGTATGTTAGGAATAACCGATAATATGAGTGTGCATGAAGAAGTATGTGGGGTTGGTCTTGTATGTTAATTGTAGCTTGTGCTGGTTTATTTATGTACTATTGTGTATCATATATATATATATATGTGTGTATGTGTTGCATTTTATTAGTAATTTTACATGATATTATGTAATGGGTTATTAGTACGATAGTTTCCAGGATGGCTGATCATGCATGCATGCGTATATTAATAGACTTGACTGTTTGAAATAGATTTCTTTTGAGTTTGAACAAAGAATTCTTGAATAGACACGTCATTTAAAGGAATGAGAAATCCATCCGAACAATTGTACTACTGTTCCCAAGGCACATAGTGAGTGATAGTCAGACGGTAATGAATGTTAAATATTGTCGCCGGTGAATCTTGCCACCACTTATTTCTTGCAATTCGACTCTCCATCAGTACTCGATCTTAATATTTCAGCTTGGAAATATAACTATGCGCGCGTGTGTGTATAAATAGGGGGTGTTCGGTTCAATGATTCAATTCAAATCAACCAAATTCAAGTAAAAAAAAAAAAAAAAGCGAAGTTGCGTTCTTTTGGCCTCGTTCAGTTTGCCGACTCGAGTTTTCAATTCGAGCTGAAATGTGACTTTATGTGAGAGTTTTTAACTCTAATAAAGTTAGATGTGACTTTTTGTGAAAACTTTTAATTGTAGCAAAACTGGAATTGAAAACTCGAATCGATAAAATAAACGAATGGTAAATATATACACACATACACACGCACACACACTCCACATACAAGATAAAAAAAAAAAAATGATCTTTGGAGCATGATATAACTCTTGTATACCTTGTGGCCCTAAAAGAAATAATTGCAGAAAATGCCATTCCATGTCTTCATACAATATTTCGTAGTATATCAACTGGTATCTACCTCGAAACCGGATGATTATAGCTAATTGCCATGATATCGATTGGTTACCCTCGACAACCACCATATCGATCGGTGATGATTGAGAATGAATGAAATGCATCACCTTTGGAAGTTTGAATAGTTGTAATTTCTTAGATGATAAATAGTTACAAATTATTCATAGATGGGTATGTATCAAGTGGCCATTGAGTTGAGATGTACTAGTGAAATTACATTTTAGGAGCATTTTAGTTTTTTATATAAATTCTTATACCACTTTTTTATTTTTATTTAAATCATTTCCTAAAAAATTAATTCTATATTTTTTAAAAAAAAAAAATTAAAATTTGTAAAATTTAAGTTTAAGATTTGACAAGTAGTTTAATGGTTAAATATGAGTTTAAATAAACTAGTACAATTAAACACGCGAATTGGCACGATGTGACACATTAGAGCATGGACTAATAGATCGTGTTGGACTAATACGCAGGGAATTACCGGTAAGCACATCACAATACGAGCAAATATTATATCGTGAAAAGCACAACACATGAACATGATTGCTCCTAATTAAGAGTAACTCACGCTTAGTTTGTGTATCATTAAAATGCGGTATAGAGAGGTGGCAATGGAGTGCCATTAAATTTAATATTAGAGGTGAATTTAGTACCCAAGATAAATGTTCACATGGAATAAGTAAATAAGTCCTAAAGTCAATGAGATATTCGCATGTGCTTGCTGAAGAACTTGGATCCACTTTGAATAAGTCTCATTCCTTTCTGCGTATAATTGCTTCCCTCATCATCCTTGATGCAACAATAAATTCTTCCATTAATTTTTTTAGGATAGTTCTTCCATTACTTTTTTGTAGGATAATTCTTCCAATATTTTATTCTTGCAGTTTAAAAATAGTAACAAAAGAAGGGAGGCATAATCAATTATACACTATATACTAATTATGCACCTTTGTTCTAAAAGTATATCTCATTCCAATTTCCACTTGACGAAAAACTATTACAAAGTGGGAAAAAAGATTGTGAGATGTGATTCTATAGCATTAAAATTTACTTATTACAACAATAAAAGAGCAAAAAAAAAAAAAAAGAGATGGTTATACCAATTTCCACCACTAAGTTCAAAAGGCTATAAAGAAAAAACTACTAATGAGAACGGAGGCGAATTAGGAGACCTTTCTCTGCTTTGGTAGGTTCTTCTCATGTAGTATACATCGTGTCATCTCCAATATGAACCTGTTCCGTCTCTCACTTACTCCATTTTGTTGCGGAGTGTATGGAGTGGTTAGTTGATGTTGGATGCCTTCCTCCTCACAAAATCGGTTGAAGGATTCAGAGTTGTACTCCTTGCCATTATCTGATCTAAGAGTCTAAATTCTGCAGCCACTCTCATTCTCAACTCTGGCTTTAAAGTTCCAGAAGGCTTGAGCCACCTTACGGGTGAAATCATCAATGAATGCAGCATAATAGAGACTACCTTTCAAGGAAGGCGTTCTTTATGGGCCTGCAATGTCCGTGTGAATTAACTGCAGCTTCTTTGATGCTCTCCATGCTATCTTGGGAAACGGTTTTCTGCTTTGCTTTCCAAACTGACATGCTTTGTAGTTTGGAATGCAATCATCAAGTTCTGGAAGATCATTTGCCATCATCTTGGTTTTCATCTGTAGCAGCCCCTGATGATGATAGTGCCCGAGCCTCTTGTGCCATATTTCTATGATACTTTCTTTGACTGGGAAAGCAGTTTGCTCCTCCTCCAATGGATTTAGAACAAAACTTTTCCCTTTCATTTTCACTTTGAAAATATATTGGCCAATTGCATCTTTAATCAAGCAACTTTTGTCTTCGAACATAACTTTATAACCTTTTTTCAATTAGTTGTCCAACACTTAACAAGTTTTGATCAATTTCAGGGACATACAACACATCAGAAATGAACTTAGTACCTGTGTAGCTCGAGATTACAACTGTTCCCTTTCCTTTCACAGTTATGTACTCGCCATTTTCAATTCGAACCTTTGACGTGTTTGTGCTTGATAATTCCCTGAAAAGATCCTTATCGTGTGTCATGTGGTTAGTACAACCACTGTCAATGAGCCAGCTCTCACTTGATTCGATGCTTGAAAAACATGTAGCCATGAACAGTTGGTCCTCCTCCTCTTTAGAGATGCTTATACCAATTTCCACCATCAAGTTCAAAAGGCTATAAAGAAAAAACTACTAATGAGAACGGAGGCGAATTAGGAGACCTTTCTCAGGAGTGGACATTATATCGCCTAAAATCTTTTCATTCGGAAAAACCAGTTCCCATTGGAATCTTTTTACGACATTGTGGACGAAAGTGAGAATGGCAAGTCTTGCATATTCTTTGCCAGGGCACATGCGAGGTCCTCCTCCAAACGGCACAAATGTGAATGGTGGGAATGCGTTTGTGTTGTCGTATCTTGATGGATCGAACTTTTCTGGCTCTGGAAAGTATTCTGGGTTTTTTTTTTTTTTTTTTTTTTGCCCTGAATTATTCTGGGAATCTGGGTTCTTGTTTGTTATACCGACAAATATTTAGCATGCGTATTTTTTAGTGCAATATTAAGTATGTCAATAAATAAAAAAACATAAAAATGGAAGAAATCCTCAATAGCACTGTTCCAACGAAAATAAAAGCAGGTTATGTTTAAATATAAAACATATTATTGGTAATAGCTTTCTAAATAGATTGACAGACTTAACATAATATCAGAGATTAATGTACTTTTTATCTCTTTTAAGTTGACATTACGTGTTAAGTTTTAATGTATTTTATGCTTATTATTAAATATTAATCTGTTGGATCAGTTTTTCCATTGATATAATCTAATGATTACTCATTGTCATGTCCATATATAAAAAGGAATATGAAAATATAAACTAATTACACACCTTCCAGCCTTTTCGGATGGTGTATCCGGCATAGGTGAAATCAGTGAGAGCCTCTCTGAAAGTGCCCTGAAGTGGAGGAGTTAACCTCATAACTTCACACAGCACGTTCCAACTGTACTTCATCTTCTTTATGTCTTCCCATTCCAACATGTCTCCTCTCTTCTTTGATTCTGCCATCTCCTTTTGCTCTGTTCATTTTTTTTTTTTTTTCAAAACAACCCATTTAAAAAAACCATTAAAACTTCTAAAAAATAATAACAATATTAAGTGAACACGATATTATTATGTGTACGTACCTGCTACGACTTTTTGGTAAACATCAGGCCTCTCACCAACATATTTCATGAAGAAAGCCATGGCAGTGGCCACAATACTGCTATAACCAGCAGTGAGTAAACCCGTAATCTTATCAGCAATCTCAGCCTCCACCATGTGCTTCCCTGACGCATCACTCGCTACAATCATGTGCGCCAGAATGTCCTGCATCGCCTCCCCCGCCGCCATCGCCTTCTTCTTCTTTCCGATCACCGCCTTCAACTCCTTTCTTAGCGTATTCGCAGCCGTCGTCGCTCTGTAAAATGTCGTCCCCGGAAAGTTCAAAATAAGAGAATGCATCCCCACAGTGACATTGTCGAAGTTGTCAACTAGCCTCGCAATCCTTTCAGGGTCTCCGATGCCCAGGAAGAATCTGCAGGCGAGAGTAAGAGTAAGACTCTTCGCCAGAGGAAAAGCCTTCACTTCATTTTTCCCTTCCCAGTAGTTCTTCATTTGTTCCTGAGTGACTGCGTCCATTTTCGACAAGTATCGGATCAAAGCTTCGGGCTTAAGAAACCCCAGCGAGCGGAGGACTTTTTTGGCTTCTTCAGCACTGGCATATTGGAGTTGGGCCGCCTTGTGCTGTTTGTTATAAGATCGGAACAGTCACTGACAGGAGCGTGGACGGAAGGCCGTGAAGTACTTTTGTTCGTTAGAGAAGAGGAACTTGTGGCCGTTGGGACCGCATATTACGGCGGTTTTCTCACCGAGGATGTTGGTCTTGAAGATGTCGGGGGAGTACTTGTTCATCCTCTTGAACACAAAATTTTCCGGCTAACCAAACAAGAACTCTATGGTTCCTCCTATGATGGGCCAGCCCATGCTGCCCGGCGGGAGGTTTTTCGTGTTGTCCGAGGATTTGGTGGACTTGAACATGAAGAGGGAAAAAAATGGGGCCAAACAGAGGATGAGGGTGAGGGTGATCTCCATGGTTGAGAGAATTATTGGAGACTGAAGTTCTGTTGCTAATTAGAAAAGAAAATATCTCGGTAGAGACGTGTTTGACTAACAACAAACTGAATTAACTTTATTAATTGCAGAAACATTACAATTTATAATTTGATGAACAACAACTAACTAAAGTCATGGCCCTTAACATGTGCCATGGTTACAAACGTGCATAACAGAAAAATTAACAACTTCCTAAAAACTAAGTAGACTACTTTGAATCATTCAAATGTAAAACAAACTTTGACAACGTGGCTGAACCACTTCTGTAACGTGACAGTACTCTAAAACACATGTCTAAAGCCTGTTTAAAATCATAATGTTTTATTTTATCGTGATTTTAATCATATTCAACATTAAAACTGTAATCATATTCAACATTTAAAAGCGTGCACCACTTGTATAAGTAATGCTTCAAGGGAATGTCTATAGTAGGAGTCCTTGCTTACAGCTCAACTGTTTCCCTTTTCGTGGGAGGTGATCATTAATTTATAAGGTTGTTTTTTTCCTCATTTTTATATGACTTCATAAAAGTGTTCTCTAACATTAATATTAAGAAAAATGCTAAAAAGGGAATGTCTATAGTAGGAGTCCTTGCTTACAGCTCAACTGTTTCCCTTTTCGTGGGAGGTGATCATTAATTTACAAGGTTGTTTTTTTCCTCATTTTTATATGACTTCATAAAAGTGTTCTCTTACATTAATATTAAGAAAAATGCTAAAATATATGGATGGCTTGCCGTTAGGACTGTTCATGGGTTGGGTTGGTGTAGAGTAAGGCTTTTTCTTTCCTCGTCTCAAAGAGTGCGGGTTGTACATATTTGGCCCTAATGATGTTAGAAAAATTTCACAACCCAATGATGTTTTTGTTGGGTTGGGGCGGTGCGGGGTGGGTTGGGTGATCGGTTTCAACATCCAAAGAATCAAAGACTCAAAGTTCAATCCAGCATTCAAAGTTGATCATCAAATAGATATAATAACTCCAACATTCAAATAAATAGAAATTAAAAGTTCAATCCAACATCAAACATGAAGCAAAGTAGCCAATCCAATATCAAATATAAAGCAAATATAAATTAGTCTATGCTCATAAATTAGTCTTAACATAAAGTAAACATAGAGGCTTAATTCAAACATAAAGAAACTAGAGAGTAGATATGAGTTGCTTGCCTAGGGTTAGATATTAGAGGAGGCAAGTTAGAGCGCAAGTTGGGTTGGGGTGTGCGGGCCATAATAGGTCCAACCCACACCCCGTCTCAAAACTTCAGGCTAGACATTGAATGGGCTGAAAAAAAAATGTAATACTAAAAATTGTATTTTTCGAGTTGAATTAGGGTGAGATGGGTTGGGTCTACGAGTTTTACAGGTTTATGAGCAACCCTACTTGCCGTTGACAAAAATTTATACGATAGTTTGGTATCACATCAGATTCAATAAGTAAACGCAGACCTAGAGACAAGTGAGCCAAGGAAGAAGAGACAAGTGAGCCAAAAGAAGGAAGAAGAGACGAGTTTGATGGGAAGACAAGTGAGCCAAAAAACAAACAAAAAAACAAACAAAAGGAAGAAGAAAAGATATGCTAAAACAGAAATTAAAAAATAAAAAGTTTTATTTGTACCGTTGTTCTCATGAACTGAATCCTTGAAAAAGTAATAATATGTAAACCCTCAATGATTCTAAAGATTGATGGGAAGACTCCAATCGATAATGTTGTTAATTTATTGAGGGTTAATGTTTTTAATTAATTTTTATCAACATAAAAAAATTTGGAAGTATTCTTTTTCAAAATAATAATAATAATAATAATAATAATAATTTGGGTTTTCAATTGCCTGAAGGGGAGGATACGATTTGTTTTTTTTTTTTTTTTTTTTTTTTAATCAATGGGAGGCTACCAATAACTTATACTGCAAATGGTAGTCTTTCAATTGGAATTAGGAATATGTCAAGCACATTTTTTTAAGGAAGAATATATCAAGCGCTTGATTGTTCCCTCGTCAATCTAAAAATGTATATATCATGTATCATAATTGACCATAAACTTCTGTAAATCTAAAAACATATAGATTCATTCATTACTGATAATTTGATTTATAAATCATTTGCTAATTGATCAGAAGAGAGAGCTACAATAACAACTAACATAAGTTGCTCAACACACTTTCCTAGATTACAAACATACCCGTAGGTTTCTCATATTTTAGAAGCAGAGAACCAGAACTGATCTCAAAACCAATAGGAAGATGAACCAAAGGGGTTGAATTAGGCATGGCAGTGATGAAAGAAAATGTGGGCATTGCAGGAAACAACAAAATATCAGTCACATTTACATTTTCACTTAGAGGTGAGGAGGACCTGGGTCCCAGTTGCAAGGTGAAAGGTTTCTTTAGGGGCAACAAGTGGCGAGAAGCCGAACATGTGCCGCGGCGGCCGGAGAGAAGCAGTAGAGGAAGGAAGAAGTGGAGGAAGTTGAACTTGAGAGACAAATCCATGATGTTTCAATGGGGGACGAAAATGAAATGGAAAATTGTGTGTGTTGGAGTGAAAGAATGGTGGGTGTTTAATATGGGCGAGACTTGAGAGGGAAAGAAAGATCAAAGAAGAGAAATTTCATGTCAGTTCTACCTTAAACCTAGAAAAATATTACCAGTAGTAGAGTTGGTTAATGTTGTTGATGCAAAATTTTAGTGACACAACAAACTGTTAAAAGTTGTTGCGCGAAGTGTACTACAAATGTCACACGACTAATGTCGTTTAATAATAATAGTTTTGAATTATTATTATTACTATTATTATTATCGTCGTCATCATGCCGGTATTTTTTTTTTAATAAAACTCATGTCTCAAGAAACTTACATTTAAACAAAACATAGTAACAAACACAATACAATACTCAACAACGAGTAATATTTTCATACGGGTATTCAAGCTCTACAAGTAAAGATGAAATTAAGTACAAAATTACCGATAGACTATACTTACTAATGTGTTCGGACCTATAAATTTGTTGATTCCACATTGTGTAACAAAACTTTTACTCGATTATTAGGTATGATCATATTTTTGGTGTATATGCAACAACGCTCACGAGTCTTCAACAATTCTTCAAACTAGCAAGCAGGTTAGCCTTGGGGGTGTCAAAAGAGGGGGATATATAGGAGGGTACGATACGGTTGGTGTTAATGGGGATTCGTTAAAAGTTTCTAAAATAGACTTTGGTTGAGTCATTCGCAACGCATTGGCTTGCTTTAACTCTCGACAGCACAGAATCTTTGTCGCATGGCATCCGCCAAAAATCAGAAAATGAGTCCCACACGTGCGTTTAGAATTAATTTTAAAATAATTTTATTTTTAATAAAAAATAAAAATGAGATTGTTTTAAAAATTATTCTGTGACCGATTCTAAAATTGTATTTAGTTAATTTTTTAAGATATTATTTTGAGTATAAATCAAAAATAAAATTGTGTTTATTAATTAATATATTATAATATTATTAATAAATACTAAAAAATAAAAACAAAAAAGTGAAAACAACTTTCAACTGTTTTTTAATTCTTTTACAAAAACCATTATCACTATTTTCGTTTTCGTTTTCATTTTTAAAACATTTACTAAACAAACGTCGTTTCGTTTTCATTTTTATTTTTTACTTCTCGAAATACGTGAACAGTTTTTAAAAATGGTTCCAAACACGCATTAAATGTCAAGATACCCAAGTGCAAAGAAAGAAAAATTTTAACACCAAAGGCCCCGTTCTTTTCGCTGATTCGAGTTTTACTACAGTAAAAAGCTCTCAAAAACAGTCACATCTAACTTTTTTACTACAGTAAAAAGCTCTCACACAACATCACATATCAACTCGAATTAGCGAACCGAACGGGCCCAAAGTAGGTCAAGATACCAAAATGCAAAATGTCAAAGTGACTTTAACACCCTACGAGCTCCAGACTATATACATACATATATATATATATATATATATATATATCAAAGAAATAGAAAGAGTGGGGTCAACACATTGTGTTATTAGTTACTGCATCTACATTACAAACAGCTCTAAGAATTTATATGAGAACATTTACAATGCAATGAATCAAAAAATTATTAAAGCCCAACTACGCAAGCAGATAATAAAACCCAACAAAAGGATAGAAACCACAAACTGCAAACTACAGGGGAAAACGGTGGGGAAACAAAAAAATATAAATAATAATATTAATAAAGCATGAGCCTCAAACTTCAGCTGTTAGTTGTATTAAATGTGGTTTTGACAATGACTGCTAAAGGAATGTTAATTACATGACCTTTACTTCCGAAAAGTCCAATCCTTCCGAAGCTAGCAACTGAGTTGTTGAGTATGGCATTCAAGACTATGGTCAAGACCTGTTTCTGTCCACTGGCAATGTAAAAGTGAGTTGGAGAAACCTTCGCTGAAACTCCGTAAGGAGCACTCCAACCCACACTATAAGTGTCGTCCTCTGCGATGTTGGTCACCGTTCTCTGGACTGTTTGCGACTGGTTAAGTTTCGTTAATGTGATTGAGGGTAAGTTCAAATCAGCACCATTAATGGTGGAATTGTAAACCCAACAGTCTTGGCCGGTGTAATTCCGAACAACAGGAACCGAGCCGTTAATGCCACACAGAAATGACATGTAATCGTTATAACCTGCACCAAAACCACTAGTATTTCTCAGGCACAATTCAGTAAAGAGAAGTCATTCATGTAGAACTAGTGAGAGTTACTTCTGCACCATGATGTCCACCTCAGTACAGTGTCTTTTTTCCATCACAATATTTGTAAAACTAGCAAATTCCTATCTCATTTTTAATCCGAATGGAAAATATACAAAGGCACAAGTTTGTTTCCCCTCAAATTGCAGGTTGAGGAGCCCAAATCACTATCAAAACTAAAATTCCCACTACAAGTTATTATCACAATCAGGTTCCTCTCAATTACTGATACTAAAATCTTAAAACTGGTAAAAAACAAACCCAACAAGGTGCATCAACTTTCTTCTTCTACTTTTTGTTTTTTTGTTTGTTTTTTAATATCCAGAAATCCCCTGAACAACTGGAACCTTTTGCCAAACCCTAACAAGATACTTCTAACACTCCCATGCACACAAAAACCTGGTGAACTCGAGTCACATGCTACTAAACATGTACCAAATAAGACTACCACAAAGGATGACAAGATTTATACCCAAGAATAAAATTAATTACCTCCTAGACCATACTATGTTCTAGTCCAATAAGATCTATCTAGTTCTAACATACATTTGTTAATTTCCTGGAGGGTCGTTTTGGTTTCTTAAGTGAGTAGCCTCTGTTCAAATTTCCTCATTGTACTTGTATTTCTACTTTTGCTTTTCTCTTGTTTTTCTCTTTTTCTGGAGGATTTCTCATCCTCAACTCGTGTTGATTAATCTTTTATCAATAAAGGTTTCTGTTTATTTAAAAAAACATACATTAGTCAATAAGCTGAATTGCCACCAAAATGTGCTATAAACAGCGACTTACTGGCATCAAAAATCAGGCCAGGGTTCAGCGCTGCAGTTGCATTCACGAAGCCACTGCCCATATCAAAAGGAGTTGCAGGGGACTGGTTTACATCTGGATCGGCATAAGCACGCTGAGCCAATATTGGCCCACCATTCTTATCATATAGAGAAGCTGTTGTGGAAAGAGCAGATGCAATGGCCGCAGGACTGAAGCTCGGGAACTTCTGCTTAATCAGTGCAGCAAGCCCAGCAACATGAGGAGCAGCCATGCTTGTGCCAGACATCATTGCAAACTTCTCACCTAAAAGGTCAACCCAATCATAAAAATCATTATTTACATGCATAACAAATAGTTTAATAGTAAAAAGAAACATGCATAATTGTTATTAAGCAGATCATATTGTCTGTAATGTCCATGAACTCGTACCGAGGAATTCAACCGAGTCGCCTCCAGCAGAACTCCAAGCAGCCCAAACAAAATTTCCAGGAGCTACCAAATTGGGTTTCATTATGTCCGCATCATCAAGAGAGCTATCTTCTGGATCTGGTCCTCTAGCAGAGTAATACATAATCCTGGGAGCGGAATTACTGTAGTTGGCCTTTAGTCCACCACAAATTCTAGCAGAACCCCCAAATTTGAAAATTTTGTTCTTACCATCTCGCTCCAAGGAGGAATTGTAGTATTGAAGTAAAATCTGCCAGAAGTACCACTGAGTCTTAGTAAAATTCAGAGAGAAAGAGAAATCCTACACACTATACTTCCACCTAAATATGGTCCCTTTACCTTGGAGTTTTCGGGTGATGGAACTATGATACCGGGCATTTTCATTGGAACTGGATTAAGCTGGAAACCAAGTACAAAAGGATCCATGTAGAACACAAGACCTACTGCACTTAGGTTTTTTGCCGTTTGCAAAGCCCGTTGGATTGTGGAGATACCAAGAATAAATCGTATTGAATAGCTGCAGATTAAAAGGTTCCCTTGGACAAGATCGTAGTCAAATTTACTAGAGTCTTGGCATTCACCCACATACATATCGTCAGAAACTGATGTGTCATTGTTTAACACATGAACAGCAGAAACTAGTGTGTACTTTGTATCTTTCTTCGTTCCCGCTGAATGGAAACAAATACAAACTTGATCACTGTCAAAGCATTGCATTTGAAATAATAAACCATATGCAAGTTCAATTGCATGTATAATGATGTTAGCCATACAAATGGTTATTTCAGGTCAGAAGCAGACTTGGTATTACGCTGAATAAGGAGTAGAGCAAAAAAAATTTTCAATAAAAAGAAAAATGAGAACAGATTCAAGGAAGCGAAAAACTTGAATATGTGGAGAGGGTTTTTTTTCTCTTTTTTCAAAAGGTTTTCGGTCAATTAAAAAAATCCAAACTATAGAATGGCCAATAGACAAAAATGGACTATGTTACAGTAGAAATAGTTATGTGGTTGGTAACAACCTCTGGAACAGTTGCATATAAAAACCACCAAATAAAGAAACTCTTGTAATGGAAAAAACTGAAAGTAAATACAACAAGTAACATCTAATTTGCGAACAAACAGCTTTCACTAGAATTTTCATAAAACTAAACGCAAAAGTGATGCATTCGTCATTCGTGCATATAAAGTTATCTCTGTCTTTTTATGACACTCCAGCATGTCTAATTATGTGATCCTCACATATTTTTCAATATCCTGCCTTCCTTATATAGCTTTTTAGGATTGTGTCCGAGAACTCAAACATAAAATTCACTCTCTTTTTGTTTCTTTCCTTCTATTCTACTCGACTTTTTGACTTCAAGCTCTATCACTTGAAGCCAGTAAATAATGATGGATATCGACCACTCAAAATAATGATCCAGTGCAAACCAGGTTGATTTAGATTCTGTCCACGATGTTATGTAAGCATGTGAAGCAAGAAAGTGTTTTCCAGATAATACTTCATGACAAAATTAACAAGAAATGGAGCACCAAAGTAGGAAGACAAACTTACGTGCCAAACCAACTCCAGGAATTGTAATGTTGTTTCCAAGGACTATAGAGTTGCTGTAGCTTCTATCATGAGAAGCCGCACCAACTGAGAAGATCCACGGACTAAAAGAAGACATGCTTTTCGGGGACGGCCCAGTATTTCCTGCTGCTTGCACAACAAATATACCAGCCTTCACAGCTGATAACAGCGCCATGTCTATGGGATTGAAAAATGTCGCGAGACCAGGAGGCCGCCTGTTTGGAGTTATTGATAAGCTTATAATGTCGACCCCATCGTGAGCAGCCTGAGAATGCATTATGAAATATGAATGTTAACTACATATTAACGCATAATAGCACACCTTCAACTATCTGATTGCAAGATCAATGTTAAACTGCAGAGGATATGCAAAATAACAGTCTGCTGTTATCCTTAAATTAATTGCGCGTGTCACAGAAGAAATAGTTGCAGAAAGCAAAATAAGCGAATTGTATATACCTGGTCTATTGCAGCAACAACATCAGCAGCAAATCCTCCGAAGCTCTTGTACAATGCCTTGTAAACAGCAATGCTGGAAACAGAGGCATCTGGTTAGGACATGAAAGTTTTATATGCAAAGAATTTTTTGATCAAAACATAGACACTACTCAAAAGTAAAACGATAACATAACAACAAATCCACTGAAACTACTCATAATTACTGTGAACGGGGAGCCATCCCACTTGCATTCCCAAAGTGATGCCCTGAAACTATCACCGGAACGCCGTGGTTTCCTGCAGCAACTGAAGCCGTGTGCCTGCAGATTAAAACGAGATCAATCAGCTGCCTTTTGAAGAATGAATAGATAAAAACCACATGAAGTCGCTATGTTTTTCTCCCAAAGCACTAAACAGAACACATAAAATACAATCACAAACATTATAAAATATCTATTTAGCTTTCACACAGCATGAAAATTCATTCAAAGACTTTGAAGAATCGACCCATATATGCTGCAAGTTAAATACACTTGCGGAACAGACTTGTCTTTCTATTCATATGAACATGATATGTGAAACATAGACAAATCATTCTCTAACATGATGATGAGTGGGGCATGTCCACCCAAGGAAAAACTAAACAAAAAGCAACAATAAAGAAGCGATTTTTAGAAAATCCTAGTTGTCTGCAGTTACTGAGACCTAAAAATAGTGACTCAGCCAATCCCTTTAGGCTCAGTTCTATTAACCGTTAAAATTCATATGTCCATTATTTTGTCAGGATTTGTTACCTCTAGTGTATATGTTAATATTGAACCTCAAAAGCAAATATTTAACATGGTATGATAAGGATATTACGAATATATATTTTATCTTATCCCTTTATTTATCTATGAAAAAAAAAGGGGCATGGCAAATAATGATTTAACAAATATTTGAGGATAACTTAGATTAGTTCTTGAGAGGAAACAGGAAAAAAACGAGTAATGCTAGAAGAGCAAAGTACAATCAATTTGGAAAATGCAACAAGAACTCACGTTCCGTGGCCATCACCATCAAATGGTGAAGCAAAGTCTTGAGAAGAGTTGAAAATTCCTCTGCTTATAGCTGACGCTGCAAAATGGCGAGCCCCAACAAGCTTCCGATTACATGAACCAGATGGAAAATCTGGAGTAACCTCACAGATGCCTGAAAAACGGCGAGGAACTGGATACTGACGAGCAGATGTATCGTCAGCAAAACTTGGGTGATTTGGATCAATGCCAGTATCGATAAACCCAATTACGATTCCTTCTCCTGCAGATTCATATCCACCTTGTTCTGCCCAAGCTCCTTGTGGTAAACCCAAAAACTGAGGAGTATGAGTGGTTGCAGTTCGAACAGAGAAATCCAATACCACATTAGCCACTTCTCTCCTCCTTGAAAGCCTATCTGCCTTCAAATGAAGAAATATCACCATTTTAAAGACTCAATGGAAGTACATTAGCGGTGGATATTACCATTTTGAGGACTCAATAAAATCACGCAATATAATGCAAGAATGAAGAAATTTTCTCATATGGGTAATAGTCATGTTAGTCGCAAGATGTAACGATATATAATTTCCCCGTACAACACAATACTTTTGTGAGCAACTTACCAAGAGTTCAAAACAAAGCAGCACCATTTAGTACAGCAGAACGACTATGATAAGGAAGTATCAATAAGTATGGTTATCAGGTTATACAATTAAATTCAAATGATAAACTACCTGCTGTGGTGTAACAAGCACCGCGAACCCATTAATTAAGTAGTGGTAGCTATACAGCTTCAGATAATTCTGCCCTCTCAGTGCCCTCCTCAATAATGAATCGTGAGCGCGAGCAATATACGAACTGTACCGCCGATCTGTTCTGGAAATGTTTCTAAACAGAAGAAAAATAATCCAAAACATCATCAACATAAGTAAAGCTCCAAAAGATCAGACAGCAATTAAAAGGTAAGCCAGTGAAAGAAACAAGACAACCAGGAAAAAAAAAAAATTACCATCACCAATCCTAACTCATATATTCTCGAAATGAAAGATGAAATTAAACACAAATAAAAGGAATTAACACAAGTACAATTCTCAATTTGAATTGGGAATCTAATCCATATTTACCTTTCTCGAAACCTGAAACCTAAAACATTCTCATTTTTTTCTCTCCCAAACACCAATCTCGATTAGATTCCCAGTTCATATAGAGAATTGTGGTTCAAACACGTGAAACAAACTGGTGCTTAATAATACGATGAGTACAAGTTTAGAAGTGTGCATGAGGGACAATTTCCTCAGAAACCCCAGACCAAGGAACAAAAAGGACTCATGTGCAAGAAACTCAAGCAAGTTGCAAACATATTTTGTAGTGCAAATATGGAAATGAAATACTAATTTATACGCCAAATTAGATCTCTCTGTATCTCTTCCTTTTTCTTTGCAAATACTATGAATTCTGCTTGCAACGGCAAAATAAAAACTTTTCACATGGTCTCAAATACAACAAAGATTACATTCCAGAAAATAATAGGCTAAACAACCAAATAACAACAACAACAACAACAACAACAACAACAACAACAACAATAATAATAATAATAATAATAATAATAATAATAATAAAACTAACTTGAGATTCCAAACGAACGTAAAACCAAATCTGGATATTTAAAAAGAAAAAGGAAAGAAAATAAGATAAAAGTACCTTGGTTTATGAACTCTCAACCTCTCGGAAGAACCATACTTGGCTCCATGATTTTCCCTCAGCTCACCATAGTAATGAACAGAATCATGAGCTTCTTTAAGAGTGACGATATAAATAGCTGTAATATTCTTTGAATCATCCTGGCACGAAGAGCAAATAAACATCCCAAAGCAAAGCAAGGCTACTAAATAAACTCCATAAATGCTCCTCATTTCGGAATTGCACTAAAATCCCAGGAAACAAACAAACACTCCCGAAACTGCCAAAAATCTGCTTCTGAGCAAAGCTCCTCAAAACCCCATTTCAGAAAATCAATAAACCAGAGTAAAGAAAACCCCAGATATCCTTGTCTAAACGGCGAACATGGTTGTGAATGGAAAGTGAAGAAAACCCATTAAGCATTCACATTTAAGAAGTGATATGGCCAAGAAAGAAGAGTTCTTTGCGGTGGAAAAAGAACGCTTTCGTTCACTTTAGCGTGTTTCTAGAGAGAGAGAGAGAGAGAGAGGAAGTATGAGAGGGAGTATTAATAGCAGGGGAAGTAAGTGAGAAGTGAGGAGAATCTGAAAGCTTTTCTCGGGTGCTGTGCATTAGAACGAAAAAGAAAGAAAAGGTTAGGTTGGACTAAGAAAATGGGAAAATTGAGCCGTTTTATTTTGTTTTTATTCTATTTTTTGGAGGTTTTTCTTTGGTGTCCCTTTGTGCATAGCTGGAATTTTCTGGAATTTTTTTCACTTTAGTGATGTGTAAGGTGTAAAACTACAAAACCCATGTTTTAGTACTTAGCTACAAAGATTGACAACATCTGTATCTATGTATCTATATCTATATATGTATATATATTTTTGGCTATACTAATGTACATGGGTTTTTGATGAGTCAGAATCCTCCATTTTGGCCATTTCTCTACATTTCTTGTCTATTTGCTTCCAACGTTCCAATTTTTATAAGATCGCCCGTGACACTCATAGAAAGAGAGAGAGAGAGAAATAGTTAAGTAAAACACTAATATGAAGTGGGGATATTGTGGGACGGTGGTGTTTGGAGCACACTATGGCATGGCTGAGAAAGTGCACATGTGAAAGTTGCATAAATGAGTGGAATTTTTTTTTTATTTTTTATATAGGATTCTAAATTCCATGTTTGGAATCTTTTCGTTTCTCATAATTTCTCCATACTATCTTTTTCGGTTAAATAGGGTTGAGTTATTTGAAATAATGTTGGTATCACCACTAATATACGTACATGTGGCCCCACCAAGGTGACATGGGTGTCACACGACAATATTAACTAATTTTCATTGTGCAGGGATGTATCTACTAATGATGACAAGTAGTATTGTTTCCATAAGAAAACGATTAGTAATATTGTTGGAGAATTTTATAATCATGTAACATGTAACAGAAGTATATGGCGTAACATTTTATTTATGTTATTTTGTTAACCCCCCCAAAAAAAAACACTTTATTTATTTTATTCAATAATGATATTTGTAAAAATATAGCAACAACAAATTTATCTATCACAAATTAACATGATTTAAAAAAAATCATTGTTTGATACAATAATGTAAAATTACATCCTTTACTTTTACGTGTTAAAAATAGATTGGTTCTCACAAAAGATCAAGGATAAATCCAATAATCTTACATTTAAGAAACTATATATGTTAGCATGTTAGTGCAACTGCAATCCGCATACCTTTATAAACTTTCCATTTTTTTAACCATCAAGTCGTTATAATATAATACAGTACGTGTCATAACGTATTGTATAAGCGTCAAATGTAAAATTTTATAAATTTTAGAAGTCAAAATATAGTTCTTTAAAAAAATTTAAAGTTAAAATATAAATTTTCAAATATTGTAGGTTTAATATTTTTTTCAAAAATTTTAGGGTCAAAATATAATTTTAGAAAAATATAAATTTGCATGTTAACTCCTCAATTTTGACACAATTATAGGTTTTGACATGACCCTATGTTAGCCTAACCCTGACCCATAATCGTGCCAAACACTGATATGAGTTATCGATCCGCTATAAAATAATACAATATAATAGATAAAAAAATGAGCCGTATTATATAATATGGCAAAAATATTAATATACAATGCGTATTAATTTTTATACTTAGGCCAAACATCATACTAATATATTATTATATAATACGATGTTCTAATACGGTTAAATAAACACGTCCTCAACTGTGTGATAGTATGTTGGTATATCGTGTCATACAGATCCGTATATATAGGCCCCGTTCATTTTACCGATTCGAGTTTTGTTATAGTAACAAATTCTAAAAAACAGTCACGTCTAACTTTTTTACTACAATAAAAAACTCTCACATAAACTCATATCTTAACTTGAATTTAAAATTTCAATCAGCAAACTAAACAGACCTATAATTTGTCGTGTTTTTTTTATAGAGAAATGCTCTTTATAAGCTAATGCATAAAATGTTCCATAACTGATAAATTAAAATGACACAATTCATGTGTTTCCCCACCAATCTCTTTGTGAAAGTGGTAAAGCACATAGTCGCACAACACAGGCCATCATCCACTGTTGGGGACCATGTGTCTGTGTCATTATGTCATAGTCGTTAAAGGCTTCTTATTTATGCCCACTGTCTCAAAAGAACCTGATTCTATAATCATTAGTATCATTTTCTTTTTAGACGTTAATTGATGACCTTCTTTCTCACCTTCCATGTGAGCAAAGCAAAAGATCAAAGAGTTGTTTTTTGAAGTGTAATTTGAGTGTAATTTTTGAGTTAAATTTGAGTTATAATTTGAATTGAAGTTGTAATTTGAATAAAATTGAATAAAGTTGAAACTTAAAAGAACATGAACTTGAAAAAAGTTAGAACTCGAGTTGTCTTTTTTCAAATTTTTTTACAAAAGAACATGCCCCAAATAACTTGCTTACCGTTAATTACCAAAAAAAAAAAAAAAAAAAAAAAAAACCTGCTTACCGTTGGTCCACAATTTGTTCATAAAATTAAAAACATATCTAAAAGTATAGTAGTAGTACTAATTATGTCTGACAAACAAATGTTGATCTCATCGCTTAGTAATATGTTATTTAGTGAACTTTAGGTCAGAATATGATGAAAGTTGACAAAATATGTTCCAAAAGGGGTTTTGGGTTTTATTTTTTAATGATTTTGGAGGACCTCCCTCATAAAGTTATCTAATTGATTGTCACGCACATGCAATTAATTTTCACAAAATAAGTTTAATAAATGAGAAACTATTGCGTTGCAGTAGTACAACCAGAATTAAGAGCACCGAAAAGCAAAAGTAGTGAATTACAAAAGAAGATGAGTGTGGAAAATCACAAGTTGGTTTTGAGCACAAGTACTTATTAGTTTCAATTTCTTTTTCTTTTCTTTTCTTTTTTTTTTTCATTTTTGGTGATTTTCATCACAAAGTACTGGATCATGGTATGTAGGTCCACCATAAATCGCAGGATACCATACTACGAAATATGTTTGGGATAAAAAATAAAATTACTTTTTGTGCCAATTATTATTTATATTATTTTTAATAATTAAGTTTTATTATGATTTTTTTTATTAAGTAAATGAATTTTTAATTTTTAATGAAGTAATATAAATAATATTTTTTATTATCTTGAGTGATATTTTTTATTTTTTTTCTTTTCGACTGTAAAAATCATAAAATCAAAGAGCTTTTACCTTCTTCGCCACTCTTCGTCTTGAGTCTAGGAGGATATTACTAGTGTACCTGCAAAAGACACTTTGATTGGGCCGACTAAATGGAGAAGATAACCAACTAAATGGCCATCTTTACCGATTGGGCCACTTTACCTCATTCTATTCGAGTCTTTAGGTATGTTTATACATGTCATTTATTTTATCGATTTGAGTTTTATTATAATAAAAAAATTTTAAAAATAATTACATTTAATTTTTTTATTATAATAAAAATTATCACATAAAATCACATTTTAACTCGAATCAATAAATTAAAAAGACCCTTAAGTTATGATACGAGAGAAAAATATTATAATAAAAAAATTAAATTTTAATTTTTACAAAAAAAAATACTGTAATAATAAAATTTAAATTGTGATTTGAGTTACAAAATTAGCAAAACCTTAATTATTTTAATATCCGTTGAGAATAGTTAGAATATCTCTTAAATATCTAGTATTTCAGAAAAAGGGGTCTATAAATGTAGGCCCCACAGACAAATCAAGTGAAAAAACGACACCCTACGAGGATCACTTTCAACCTCCCCCTAAGGTTTCGAGACTCCCTTGTCGGGGGTCGAAGTTGGAGTGACATGACCTTCGAAGAAGGGTGTCATTGGTGAGGATAATTTTGGGTCTTTGACCTCCACTTTAAAAGGGTCGAGATACTTTTTTTTTTTTTTTTAACCATTTCTCAGTTTTAGACTATTGAGATTTTATTCTTTTAAGCTTCATTTATTTCACCGATTTAAATTTTAAATTTTTACAGTTAAAAGTTATCAGAAAATATCACATTTAATTTTTCTGTTATAATTAAAAAAATTTCACATCTCAACTCAAATTCACGAAATAAACGAAACCTTAATAAGCAAGTCTTTTACCCTAATAACATGACCGTCTTTTTTTCACATCAGGGGACACGTCTTATGAATGAAAACCCTTTGGATAAAATAGAGCCAAAAGGGTAAGATCTTCCACCATGATAAAGATCTCTATCCTCCCTCCCTTGCCGTCAGCACTACTTTGAAAAATCACAAGTGGGTTTGAGCACACGTAATTATTAATTTTCTTAAAGAAAGTTGGATGCTGAATATTTGCGGATACTATTATCATGGAGGATATCGGTTGGTAACTGTTAGTCAGTATCATAGTGAATACAGGTAGTTATTAATATGTACATTGGCAATTACCTTAATGACATATTTGGCATCTTTAAATATAAGGTGCGTTTAGAACAAGGATCCATATCATTGTTCAGATCATAGTTCGTAGCTTACTATAATATTTTTTCTCACAAAAAATAAACGTAAATTGAGAATAGTTCTGAATTTATAAACCAAACGTCCCCATAATAATGTGTGACAGTCTATGAATATAGTTTTGAGAAAAAATTTTCTCAGTGATATGCAATATAAAGAGAAAATTACTGAACTTATTTTAAAAGTGCATAAAGTACTATTAATTAATACTGTTTTATTAATATAATTACTTAATTAAAAAATATTAATTAAAAATAAGAGATAAAAATGAAGTCCCGGTAAAATCAAGTCATGAATTTGTGGTAATCTTGTCCACTGCATCCAGAGTGGGCCTCCCTAAGCCCATATTGATCATCACATTACCTTTGGACTTGGGCCTCATTATTGAGTTCAGAGTGAGTATTGTGTGCCTGGGAGAGGTCCAAAAAGGGTCCCACATATCGCCGAAGATGTAGCGAGCGGCAATTTGAAGAAAATCCAAATATTCCAGTTTCGTTGGAAAAGGAATGAAGAAAACATGGCAGCCTTAGCCATAAAATCGTCATCAATGGCTTGCCCAACTCCAAGTCCCATGCATTATTGTTGGTCTCCCGCAAACTCCTCAACTAATCATTCGAGAAGGAGATTAAGCTCCTCCACTTCTCTCAGGATTTCGGCCTCAAGCCTCGCCGACGCCTCTGCTCTCCTTAAAGCAGCCCACCACACTGTGCGTTTCTTTCTTTTTTTTCTTTTTTTGTTTTTGTTTTTGGCTCAAATATCACTTCTTTTTTTATCCTTTTGAAACTAAATTTATCAGTGTTTTGAAAATAATAAATAAACCCATGAAATGATTTTTGTTTTTGTAGGTGGATACGTATATAAAAAGCGGCATGGTTGTTGGGTTGGGTTGCGGCCAAGCTTCTGCAATGGCCATTGAGTATTTGGGTCGCCAACTTCGCACAGGTGCTTTTAGAGACATTCTCGGAATACCCATGTGAGTGATTTTTTTTTCGGCAACAGTATTTTTTTCCCTCTTTTTTATTTTTTATTTTTTGGAATTTTCCTAAATTTTAAAACCCTTAATTCCTTCAATCTGCAGCATTCTGTTTGAGCTTCATTTATGTTGTATCTATGCTTGTGAATTGTTCATTTGAAGTGTTTGTTCTAGTTCCATGGAAGTTTATTCAATAAAAACAATAAAAAAAAAAGACTTGCATTTGGAATAAGAGAATGCTGCAGCGCGATTAGCCTATTGCAGTCTGCTGTGTTGAATGCTCTTGTTTTGTGAAAAGGAGAAAAATTCAATGTGGCTTTTTTTTTTCGCAGGTCTGTGGCGAGTGCTAGTGAGGCGGCCAAGGCAGGAATACCATTGGACTACTACCAAGATAATTCTCAAGTGTGCACAAATTTGAAATGCTTTAGCAGATTTCCTTTGTTACTAGGGTTATGCCAATTATATGCTTTAGGAGGCTTGCTTGTTTAATTTAAAAAACTAAGCCATTTGATGCCTTATGAGTGCATTCCTTTGGGATAAGAGCTGCTCTAAGGAGTCATTAGGAAACGAAATGTTACTCCACCAAAATGCACTGCACCATTCTGAACATGTGATCCGTTTCTTTAAGCTTTAAATTTTAGTAGAGTATCACTTGAACTTGCTCCTTTGTAGATTGATTTTGCATTTGATGATGCTGATGTTATAGAAGAAGGAACACTTGCTGCCATAATTGGGCGTCAAAGTTCACAGAGTGATGAGTCCCTTATCCAAGAGAAGGTTAGTAACAATTCCTTCTCTTAAGGCTTTTAAAACTCAAGCAACAATATAGAAGCAGAGTTGAGGAGCTATGTATTCTATAATAAAGACTTGCATGCTTAATTATGTAGACATTTATGTGACATGAATTAACTTATGTAGCTATAGCTATAAATTTATTTGTGGACAAGGAAAAAGATTTGTCACGTTTGTTTGAGGAAGCTAAATTTTCAGCATCGTTGTGGGCTTCAATGGACAAATCCTTAAAGGATTTTCCTTTTTCGTTGATTGTATAAACTGGAAGGATGTCATCGATAATTAATGGTTTTTTGCTAGTTTTGATTTTGTTTTTCTTTCTGCTTTCCTCCTGTTTTGTTTTTTCTTCATCAGAGGAATCCTTATCCTCTTTTCTTTGTAATTGATGATTATTTAAACGAAAGGAAGTATTTCTTATATAAAAAAAAAAAGGTATTCTGCTGATGTATAACGAGTTATTCGGTGTATCTGAATTACTCTTGCTAATGTGAATTGTTGAAGACTATTTTCCCGTCTCCACTTGCAGTCTATTCTAAATTCAGCTGATAAACTGGTGTTCATGGTCTCAAAGAAGCAGTATAGAGGTGGTCTTGATGGTTCCATTCCAGTTTTAGTTCAATCTGTAAGCAGCTGAACTTTCATTCTCTTTGAAAGTGTCTGAACCATAAACCTCCTAAATGAGAGAAACATGACCTAAATTGAAACTTGTATTTCAGCTCAACTGGTTGGAAACTGCTGAGGAGATTGATGACTTATTTTTAGGCGACGCAGAGGTTTGCTATTCTAGTTTTTTTTTTTTTTTAAATTTCTTTCAATTTCTTTAGATTATTTTTCTTTGTTGCGTGTGTTAAATTCTTGATAAACAGAGCCATTGTCATATATTTTCCCTTCTTGCGTAGCTGGGAAACCATCTATATTCACATGCAATTATTATTTTTATATTTCAGAAAATGTACCAGCTACATAATTGTATTTTGCTCTGATTCTACAGTTTGCAACACGGCTTATGATTTATGAACAATTGAACTTGTATTTTTCCCCTCTCCAAGTTTGCAATAAGGATGACTTCGAGAAAAATTTTATCTATTGTAAAAAACATGTTTCTTCGTACAGAAAAAATAAAATGATGCCAGGAAAGCACTAGTCAAAGGAATCTTTTGCTTTTTCATCTTTAAGTATGAGGCTGAGAGCATGAGGTATAGGCGATTGTTGTACGCTTAAATGCAATATTGCTTCATAATTCATAATGTTGTTCATGTTACAACAACATGAATGAATTAACAGCTATGTCTCTTTTTGCCCCTTCTAAGTTCAGGTATGGAGGAGACCAGCTATAGGACATGCAGGACCAATGGGGGGTGATTTCCCACTAATCACTAGAGAAGGCCATAATGTTCTTGATGTCATCTTCACGTCTCCAATAGTAAGCCTTGGTAAGTTTTCTGCGGAGTTTATTCTGGTTTTAATAGATGTTAACGTTTGAGGATAACTTTGGCCTTTCATTTATACATTAATTTTCAGTTGAAGTAGCAAAGAACCTCGATAAAATGGATGGGGTTGTCGGCCATGGTGTCATTTCCAAGTTCCCGTAAGTTTATCAGTCCCTTGTACATTCTTTTCTGTTTGGTCTGCATGTATGTGTGTGCGCTTGATAGAAAGACAAGGTCATAGGGAGCTATGTTCTCTTTTTGTCCATGCAGAAGAGTAATCCTCAAGTTAGGTTGGGCCTTGCTGATGTATGCAATAATAGATCATTTGGGGCTATCTCATAATCTCATTGTGGCATTGTTTCTAAAGATCGAAAGAATGCTAGGGGATGGTTTTAAATCATATGGAAAAGACTTGTAAAATAAAGACGAACTTCTGCGCTGACAAGAGAATGATGTATTGCTTTAAATTTTGCTGCTTATGAAGATTGAAAGATCTCTAAGGGAATGTCATAAATCATATGGCTAAAATTGTCAGATCAATATAGTCTTTTGCACTGGCGTTAAATGTGTATTGCATCAAATTATGCCAATGCCACTAATGTACCAGCTCCATAATTAGAACTTGCAATGTTCAATTGATTCCCAAGGCCAAAACAAAGATGTTATGCCAGCTGAAAATCTTAAAATATGGAAACTTTTTGGTTTACTTTCATTATGAAATGAAGAGGAACTATGAGGACAAGACAATGAAGAGAAATTCGTATTACATTTTATGTTTGGCCATGTGGATAGAGTGAATGGGAAGAAAGTGAGAAGCAAATACAATTTTCTTAACTTTTGTTTCTTTCTCCCAAAACTAACCTCTTTAAGGAGAAAATATTGCAGGTTGGAGGATATTCTATTTATATAATATAATCAAACAGTAGAAACTATAAGAATTTGGTTTTTTATTCCTTTTTAAGGGTAACTGTTAAACTTCATAGGCATACCATAGAATATTACAAAATAGTGTCTGGAATCAAATTTGAAATATGTGATATAGGTGACGAATCAACTATGTGATCAGCCTCCTGTCGTTTTTCGGTACACAAGGAAGAAGTTCAGGAGAGGCAGACCCTAGCGTTAGGATGTGGTTTTGTGACTGGTATTCGGGTACGAGTCCGCGCGACTGATGTTCTAGTGTTGTATGTTCATAGAGTGGCTTTAAGTGAATCTGTTATGTAGATATTGGAATGGCAGGTGATGTTAGATGCCGGTTATGTTGTTAATTGTAGTATAAATAGTCTATGAATAGTTTGTTTTAGAGTCGAGCTGAGTTTCTGGTGTACTATTCTTGGCAATCCAAGAAAAGTGAAACAAGGTGAAACTCTTGAACTTTCCATCGTTGTTAGGTCAAGTGAAGTTTTCAATCAATTGTACAAATTAATTTTTCTCAATGAAGACTCAGATTTTGTTCACTTCATTTGTTACAAGTTTGAGTCTTATCACTATGCTATAAGTAAGTTTACTTAGTGGCTGTAGTTTGATATCTGGGACTGGGAGATGGATGATATATTGACTACCTGGTTAATGAAGTAGATATATGGCATGTAAATCCATTGTCCTGTCAGGCTCTTTACGGCAGCAAAACGGATTGATTTCCTCTCTCTATGTCTCTCCCTTCTTAAGTTGAAGGCTGCACATTTATTTTCACAAACTTGGATTTCTGTTTGGCATTTCTAGCTCCTTCACATAGACCCATATATCTTTTAGCGGTAAATTGTGCAATTTCATCTTATCAAGTTTTCAAGGGAGCACTTCTAGTTTCTCATGACTGCACTGTGCCAGTGCTTCTAATTTTATTACGTCTTTCTCATTTTACCATTCATCCATTTTAAAGTTCCTTTGTAAGTTGTCACTTTGACTGCTAATATAGACATTTTACCATTCATCCATTTTAAAGCTCCTTTGTAAGTTGTCACTTGACTGCAATCCTATATTAGCTACTCTTTCGATTTTACTATTAATTCTTAATTTTCTTTGTGAATTCCAAAATTCTTATAGGCACGATATGCATGTAATTCCTATCCTCTTTATCATTTTGTGAACTGCAGATGCACAGCAGTAATTGCTTCAGAAAGTGGCCTGTCAATTGTTGATAATCTGTCAAAGAATTCGGTGGAGGGACTCTGATTGCTACTACCAGCATAACAAACTCATGTGGTTCTTGGTATTATTTCCCAACATGATCCCAGTTGTAAAGATTTTTCAGATTCTTTCAAAAACAAAGAAAAAAAAAAACTAGGCTTGGTCGAGTCTCGCCAAAATTTTCTCTGTACTTTAGCTTGTGCTCAAGTTGATAAAGTTTTTTCGTTGTAATTTAATTTAATTTCATGTCATATGTATATGCACATGCCGAAACTTACCTGTTGAAATTCCATCAAACACTGTTTTACTCCAAAAGAAATAGTTATTTTCAGTTATTCATAATAGACATAACTTGTTAGAATTTTGTCTGCTAATGGAAAGAAAAGTTCACTATAAAAACTCATTGTGCTACAAAAGAAAGCTGAAGTCATTTTAGTGTAGTTAGTTGTAGTTATCCTTGAAACTTGAAATGATCGAAATCTTTGAATTTCCAATAAAAATACTAATTTCTTATGTAGACAGAGTATAAGTTTTACCCGTAGCGAAAATTTCAGTTGTTATTCGAACTAACGAAATGAACAAGTCATAATTACTATATTGTAGTGCTGCTGATTGTATTCTAGTGTTATAATGTTTCTGCATGCCTAAATCTATCCGACAGAGCACAAAGACCATTTTACCAGGCAGGTACTAATCTCTAGCCACTGACCATATCATGGAAAAACTAATATATAGCCCATGCATCTTTCCATCCTAATTAATCATTCTACAGGTGATTATATAACGCTTTTTTCGTATATAAAATAAAATGATGCTTTTGGAAGAAAAGTATCTTTTTTAAGAACATTTAGACGGTTTTCTTTTTTAAATTAGAAACCTAAATCAATACTTAAGGACCGTTTAGTTCTGATTTGAGTTAAGATGTGATTTTATATGATAATTTTTTACTGTAGTTAAAAGTTAGATGTTATTGTTTCTAAGAGCTTTTTACTGTAGTAAAACTCAAATTTTAAACTCGAATCGGTGAAATAAATGAATACTTAAACTATCTGGATTACAGGTTCGAAATGTGATGCTTTGAATTTTTTTGTTTATGGTGATAAATTATATGTCAACCGATTCTTTCCTTGCTATTTACATTTTCTAGAACTTTATAAATTCTGGAAAGTGTGGCTTGAGAATTAACAGACAATGGTCCGGACAAGATGAATTCATTGGGGGGCTAAGTTTTAAATTGGGTGGTTTTGGCTGATTTAAAACATCACGTTCAAAACCTTTTGCAAAAAATATACATCCAAACATCATTTTGAACTGGCACATGCATTAACTTGATGATATTCATGATAATAGTTTCTTTTTCATGATGTGCATTATTTCTCTTTGTTAATTGGCGGCATTCAGAAAATAAATGTTATATCTAGATGGAAAGTAATTCTAACGAGAGCCATTTCAAAATGATAAAACTATATAATATTTATACATTATTACTTAACTACTTGATGCGTTTGTCACATCATACGAATATGATACATTAACATTCTAAAAAAAAAAAAATATTACTCAGTGATCGTGATTTGTACCCATATATTCTGTTTTTCTCGTCAATAATGGAGTTGATCCAACGATACTTTGAATATTTCGGTTTAGAATTGGGTTATGGGTTTCAATTGGGTCAACATATAACAGATTTTATACCTTCCGACTCAATTCAAAATAAAGCTCGTACTACAGTCTACATACATGTTGCTAGGTTAGTTTAACTTTGACCAGATTTAGTTACTTTTCTGGTACAAGAGTTTTGATGTATTATTATAAGAAAAAAAAATGGTTGATAATATAATATGTCAACTTTATGGATTAGATCTTCTTTGCGTAATTGCTTATTATATTGCTCGGTTAAATAGCATTCATTTTACGTTATTCTACATTATCAAATCGATAGATGTTCTGATTACCACCTCAACCACTCAATTAACTCTTTTTTTATTTTTCTTTTTTATTTTTTTTATGGAACCGCTCGATTAACTTTCTGTTATGCACTAAAATTAATCCTATGGGCCTGTTTGGTTTCGTTTTTGTTTTTGTTTTTTTCGTTTTTCGAGGTTAAAAAATGGAAATGGGTAGACAAAATGCGTTTGGTGTAAAATTTTTTGAAAATTGAAAACAAAAACGCTTGTCTTTTTCTGAAAATTTGAAAACGAATTAAGATCGTTTTCTCCGTTTTCGTTTTTGTTTCCTTTTCTCCCATTTGCATCTTTTGAAGCATTTCTCTCCTCACTCTCTCTCTCTCTCATGAGCCTCCGCCAGCGACCATCCCCACCGTCGCATCTGGGCCCGGCGGCGGTGGCGGGAGACCCGGAGTTGGAGCCGTACAACATAATGAAAACGTGTGCGCAATGGCTCGAGTAGCGGCGGCGGCGCTGCGAGCCGTCGGGAACCTCCGTTGGCTGCCGTTCACACAATGGCTCCCTCACATGGACCTCCTCGATTGGCTCACCCTATTCTTCGACTTCCAAAACGATAGCGTTCGGAACCAGAGGGAGCACCTCGTCCTCCACCTCGCCAACGCCCAGATGCGCCTCACGCCGCCGCCGGACAACATCGATACACTCGATGCCGGCGTCCTGCGTCGGTTCCACAAGAAGTCCAACATTTGGATCTCCGACCGGGTTGAAATGGCCTGTTGATGTTGGGAGCAATTTCTTTGTGACTTCTAGTAGGAGTAGGCATGTGGGTAAGACCGGGTTTGTGGAGCAGAGGTCGTTTTGGAACTTATTTAGAAGCTTTGATGGGCTTTGGATCATGCTCATTTTGTTCCTTCAGGCGGTCATTATTGTAAAGATCACTTGGAAGTTGACAGATGGTAACGGTTCTGCGTTTCTAAAGTACAATAAACGACATTAAAATTTAATGTCATCCTCAGGTTTTTTGTCGTTCATCATGTTTTATATATCCTTTTTACTTTTTAGACGTATTTTTAAAGATTACTAGGAAGTATGTTTTATATATTATTATTTAAAATACTATTATATGTTTTTAAAAATTAAACCAATAAACGCAGTTTCAGTTTTTTTTAAACTGAAAACAATCTCAAAATAAAACTACCAAACGCATTTTCAGAAATGATTTCAAAATGGAAATAAAAATATTTTTATTTTCATTTTCATATAAAAAATAAAATTATTTTAGAACGAGTTCCAAACACACCCTATATTCCTATGCGAAGAGGAAAAAAAAAAAAAGATAACTTTAATCCTTGGAAATCAAAGTGAGTAGTACTGTAGACTTTATAAATTGTTCTAGAAGATGTTTAATGTGTCGGTTAGTTACTTTGTTGTTGTTGTTGTTTTGTCGTGGCAAGGACTTTCTTGCTGCTGAGTGATGGAACGTGTCAAGTTAACCACATTTTGGTGACAATTGGTCCCACTAATGTTGAGAATATGTGCTTTTGCAGCTAGATATCAGACTTTATAAATAAATAAATATGAATATATAGCATTTTCTTCGGCCGGGTCGGGTCCTCGAGGTGTGAAAATATAAAGCCGTTGGCCGAACCGAGAACGTTAAGTATGTGTGTTTTCAAGCTGAAAAAAACGTAAATACGAAAATTTAAATCATAGTGATTTTAATCATGATTCTAAAATCAGTATCATGATTTATAATTTTGAGTTCAAATTATGATTCTGGAACCATAATTCAGAATTAGAGGTTTGAATCACCTTGAATCAAGAGAGTGGTGGTTTTAGAATTATGAGTGATTCTGGTTTAAAACATCATATCAGATTCCGAATCATGATTCAGAATCGTCCAAACCAAACACTGATTTTGAATCATGATTTAGAATCACTGTAAATAAACACTAATTCTGAACCAAGATTCAGAATCATAATTCTAAATCCATCCACCAAATACCCATTTAATAAGGTACTCCATTTTATTTATTTATTTATTCATGGATACGTACTCAAAAATTCTTTTACATTATTTTTTTAGGTAAAAAAGGTATTAATTATTCTAGTCTAGTCTAGTACTAATAACACCAACAAACAAACAAACAATCTATAAAAGGAAGGCCCTATGCTTTATCTCCCAAAATTCGTTCTCATATCTCCCTGTCAAAGAGGATTCATGATAAGTTCCTCGCACAAAAAAAAAAAAAAAAAAAAAAGTTAATGATATAATAAACCAATAAATTATGATTTACTTATTCCATTGATAAAATTTATTCAGTCAAACTAACCAAAATAACTAAGAATCTAGAATTGAAATAATAATATTAGTGAATTATAAATTTTGTTCACTTCGCGGATTTGAGTTTTCAATTTAAGCTGAGATGTGACATTTTCTGAGAGCTTTTAATTGTATGATAAAAAGTTAGATATGACATTTTTTGAGAACTTTTAACTGTAGAAACTTAAAACTGAAAACTTGAATCGGTGAAATGAACGAGGCCTAGAACTACTTCGATTCTTTTTTTTTTTTAGTTCCTATCTGAGTGCAAAGGAAAAAGCACTCACATTGAGACATTGGTTGCAAGTAGCTACGGAAATGGTGAGTAAGGTAGCCGGGGGCAGCGAGTCATGCGCTGCGGTGGGAGGAGTTGGAACAAGGGCGATCTTCCGGCCATGCCATTCAAAAGGATACTTATTCTCTTTGCACTTGTAGGTGGCATTTACATCGAATTGCCACGGCTGCCCGAGAAGCAAGTGACAAGCGTCCATATCGACAACGTCGCAAGTGACTTCATCTTTAATACACTTTGCCGATGGAGAATGGAACTCGGCAAACTTCCTGAACAACTTTGGTAGCGACTCCTTTCTTGATCCAACCAATTTTGTAAGGACAAGGGTGCTTTTTTGGTTTCGAGGTTTAGAGCCTTGACTAGAGATTTAGAGACCACATTCTCTGAACTGCCGCTGTCAATAATGACATTGCACATCTTGGAATCGATAGTGCAACGAGTGCGGAAAATGGCATTGTGTTGAGGCAACTGTGCTTGTTTCGGCCCATAAAGGAGTTTTTGGAGGATGCACACTACGGCTTCGCCATCATCCCCTTGGACTTCCTCGGTGTTTTCAAAAGTATCACCACGCTCTCTAAACTCCTCTGTCATATCATCATGATCACCCATGAAACCAAGTTACCTCCGTTGAGGACAGTTATTGAAGCGGTGTCCCGGTTGTTGGCAGGGATAACATTTGGCCGGGAAGGGCTTCGCATAATGGTTAGCTTGAGGAAGAGGGGTTGTCTTGCCCTTGTCCTGATTTGGTGTAACAGGACCGGCCGGGGTCGGTGAGGGTATTGAGTGCCGGAGTAGACTTGTCGTGGTTGAGGAGTTCGCCGAAACGGAGCCGGGCAGTTGGAAGAAGGGGAGAGGAGTTCCTCTGCTCGTTGAGCCAAATTAATAGCCTCAGAGAAGAACAAAGTTAGCGTAATTATTTGTTTTGTTTTTCCCTTCTTTGTTTTGGTCGATCTAAAGTTGTCTTTGTTCCACCGACGTCGTCAAGCGAGACTTAGAGGGCGTTTGGTATGAGGTAATCTCAGGGATGAGAATGAGAATCTCTCATATCCTTATATTTGGTACAATTATTAGATTTTTTTTAAAACCCAAGAAAGTGAATCCCATGGGTTTCACATTACCACATTTTGGGGTAATTCTAAACCCACCCAATAGGGTATTATTTACTTTTCCAGGAAAAAATTATACATCTGCCCTAACCTTTCTCTCACCCATCTCTTACCAGACCCATCTCGCCCATCTGTCTCTCTCTCGTCCAGACCCAACACCGCTATTTATTTTTGTAATTCATTTAAAAAATATGTTTTTTTAATAGACAACATTTCAATGCACAACCAAACATGGTAATGTAATATTCCTCGGAATTTGAGAAAAATTTATGTATAGAACCAAACACAGTAATGTATTATTCCTGAAAATTATATTACCCTCCATCCCTTTTCCATAATTATGATTCCTATTGATTACTGCATACTAAACGCCCCAGCGATAAACATGGTAAAGAATATTGTGTTCAAATACGTAATTTTCAATGTATGGTTATTTTAATATATAGCGTTGAAATGAATATGCGCACATTATTTGTCATAGTAGTTGAGAAATTGAGTAGGCCAAATTTACTTGTGAGTGTTGATTCAGAAGTTATTATAAGTGATTGTACTTTATAATATTAGTGATAATGGAAGTACTTGTTAGGACGTGATCACATTGAGAATGAGGACGAAATATTATATATTGATATACTGATGTAAAGTAGTGAGACACCCAAATGATCATGTTCTTTACTGCAAGAAATTATTAGAAATATGTACAAACGTACATAGCAAGAGATTTTAGAGATCAGAAATATGCTCCCAGCTATTTTCCAGGACTAGTTAAGACTATAGTTCTTAGTTTGTTCCAATTTTTTATGACGTAATAATTTGTTATAATTTGATAGGACGGTATTTTATGTAGTAATTAATAGATCATACGTTAATTTTCAGAGTAGCACCTAGTATCAAAATAAAAATAAAAAAAGAAAAAAGTATATGGTTTGCTAAGATTTTGTCCATAACTATTATTTATGTCATTCTAAATAATTCGGTATTATTTTGGCTTATTTTTTGTTTATTAATTAAATGACAATTGTTTAATTCTTGTGGATTGAGATAATATTTGTATTACCCTCTTAAGTGGTATTTGTGGTTTTTTTTCTAATTAATTACTTGTATATAAACTTTAATTAAATGTGATAGAATAGTTATTGATTAATAATTACAATATTATTATTTTTTTTACCTTTGAACAGTTTTTTTTTTTTTTTTTTTTTCATTTCAGAGTCTTCAAAGCTCAAAAGTTTATGGGAAAACATATGTAAGATTATTACTGGAGTAGAATTAGATCAACATGTTAAATATGCTAAATACAATGTAAAATAACATTGATTTTTACATTGAAATTAAAAAGGTGTTTATTTCGTAACTCAAGTTGAGAATTTAAGTTGTTTATGTGAGAAAAAATATTAAAATAAAAAAAATAAATTTAAATTTTTACTAGAATAATTTAGGACTCTCACGTACGTCAAGTCAAGGAGTCAAATATGCATGGCAGATGAATGACACTCGCACTCCTCATTGCTCAGTCATAAGCAGAGTACTTGCATAGTAATGACATGGTTTGAATAGTCAAATATGCATCTTTTTTTCTCGAAGAATAATGACATGGTTTCATCAACGCTGTTGGACGTATAGGTTCGTTCGGTTCGTTAATTTGAGTTTTTAATTTAAGTTAAGATGTGATATTATGTGAGAGTTTTTTATTATAATAAAAATATTAAATGTGATTGTTTTTAAGAGTTTTTTACTGTAACAAAACTCGAATCAACGAAAAAAACAAAAAAAGAGAGAAAGTTAGGGAGACGGCTAGCTTTTTGACAGCAACAAGTTCATTTTTCCTGAGAAGGAATATGTATCTTTTTTTTTCTCGAAGAATAATGACATGGTTTCATTCATCCACGCTGTTGGACATATTCAAAGAGAGAGAGAGAGAGAGAAAGATAGGGAGGCGGCTAGCTTTTTGACAGCAACAAGTTCATTTTTCCTGAGAAGGAATAACAAAGCATCTTAGAATATATTCTAAAACTTGGCAGTTTTTAATGTTAGATAACAACAAGGCTTAATTAGTGCACCTATAACTGATCACTCATATTAATATCCATTCTTTTAGAACTTTGCGTTTTAACTTTTTCCTCTCCAAAACCATAACATGCGTGTACACCTCCTCAGTCGCCCATGTAAGCCTAAATTAAGCCATTTGTTGGAATCTTTAAACACATAGTCGTGACATACAAAACAAAAATTACGGATTATTTTATTCTTAATCCGTTCTAAACTCCAGTAAGATTCCAATATTAACGTATCTCTCAACTATTCAAACCAGACGACTTAAAGGGTTGACGATCAAAAATAAAATATTAAACTTTTTTCCCTCCTATATATATATATATAGTGATAGCACTCTAACTCATTTAAGGCCACAAAAAAACAAGAACAATACTAACTCTCAATCATGGATACTCTGAACCTCATTCTTTGTTCTGCCCCTGTTGTCTTAGCCTTTTACATTTTAATTTTCAAGTCAACAAAATCCTCGGAGAACTCGAAAACCCTCCCGCCGGGCAGCATGGGTTGGCCCATCATAGGAGAAACGATAGAGTTCCTGTTTGGCAAGCCGGAAAATTTTGTGTTCAAAAGGATGAACAAGTACTCCCCCGACATCTTCAAGACCAACATCCTCGGTGAGAAAACCGCCGTAATATGCGGTCCCAACGGCCACAAGTTCCTCTTCTCCAACGAACAAAAGTACTTGACGGCCTTCCGTCCACGCTCCATGCAGAGACTGTTCCGATCTTATAACAAACAGCACAAGGCGGCCCAACTCCAACATGCCAGTGATGAAGAAGCCAAAAAAGTCCTCCGTTCGCCGGGGTTTCTTAAGCCCGAAGGTTTGATCCGATACTTGTCGAAAATGGACGCAGTCACTCAGGAACAAATGAAGAACTACTGGGAAGGAAAAAATGAAGTGAAGGCTTATCCTCTGGCGAAGATTCTTACTCTTACTCTCGCCTGCAGATTCTTCCTGGGCATCGGCGACCCTGAAAGGATTGCGAGGCTAGTTGACAACTTCGACAATGTCACTGTGGGGATGCATTCTCTTATTGTGAACTTTCCGGGGACGACATTTTACAGAGCGATGAAGGCTGCGAATACGCTAAGGAAGGAGTTGAAGGCGGTGATCGGAGAGAAGAAGAAGGCGATGGCGGCGGGGGAGGCGATGCAGGACATTCTGGCGCATATGATTGTGGCGAGTGATGCGTCGGGGAAGCACATGGCGGAGGCTGAGATCGCTGATAAGATTATGGGTTTACTCACTGCTGGTTATAGCACTGTGGCCACTGCCATGGCTTTCTTCATGAAATATGTTGGTGAGAGGCCTGATGTTTACCAAAAAGTCCTAGCAGGTACGTACACATAATAATATCATGTTCACTTAATATTGTTATTATTTTTTAGAAGTTTTAATGGTTTTTTTAAATGGGTTGTTTTGAAAAAAAAAAAAAAAATGAACAGAGCAAAAGGAGATAGCAGAATCAAAGAAGAGAGGAGACATGTTGGAATGGGAAGACATAAACAAGATGAAGTACAGTTGGAACGTGCTGTGTGAAGTTATGAGGTTAACTCCTCCACTTCAGGGCACTTTCAGAGAGGCTCTCACTGATTTCACCTATGCCGGATACACCATCCCAAAAGGCTGGAAGGTGTGTAATTAGTTTATCAATTCATCACGTGTTTGACGCTGAAGAAGTGGATTAATGATAGTTTTTACATTTTTATTTTCTCTTTTATATATGGATAGGGCAATGAGTACTCATTAGATAAAGATCAATTGAAAAGTTAAACATAACCAGCCAAATGAATATTAAACAAAATGAATATTTAAACATAATCTCGAAACAAAATGAATTTGAAAAGATAACAAGCTTGAAACATATTAAACAATAACCTGCTTTTATTTTCGTTCGAAGTGTTATTGAAGATTTCTTCCATTTTTATGGTTTTTTTTTTTTTAATATTGCACTAAATATATATATATGCTAAATGTTTGTAGGTATATTGGACAGTAAGTACAACAAACCAGAACCCAGAATACTTTCCAGAGCCAGAAAAGTTCAATCCGTCAAGACATGACAACGCAAACGCCTTCCCGCCATTCACATTTGTGCCTTTTGGAGGAGGACCCCGCATGTGCCCTGGAAAAGAATATGCAAGACTTTCCATTCTCACTTTCGTCCACAACATCGTAAAGAGATTCCAATGGGAACTGGTTTTTCCAAATGAAAAGATTGAAGGCGATATGATGCCCACTCCAGAGAAAGGCCTTCCAATTCGCCTCCGTTCTCATTCGTAGTTATTTTACGCTTTTGAAAATAGAGTGAAACAAGCATCTTTCTGTTTTTATTATGCAAGAAGTAGATTTTAATGCTACAGCATCACGTGATTCACATCTGAATAATCCTTTTTTTTTTTTTTCCCACTTTGTAGTGGAATGAGATATTTTTAGAACAAAGCTGCGTTCGGACTGTATGATTGGTTCATGAAGTATGCCTCCTTTTTAACGCTGATTTTTGAAATGCAAAGAGTCATGTGTCAATGATAAGGAATGACTCGATTATCCGCAGAAAAGAATGGGGACTTGCACAATGTTGATTGAAGTTCTTTAACATGTCACTATAAAGAGATTTTTACTGGTTTTAAGGACATTTTAAAAAAAAAAAAACTTTTAGATTATTCACTAACTATCAAAACTTTTAGATCTCTCGTGAAATAGCTATCCTTCCACATGTCGATCCTCTCAACCGTGAGGCGACGCTCGTGATTATACCCTTTATAGTTCGTGTGTCAACGATGCATGTTCGTGATATTCAGCTTAAAACGTTTTCGTGAAATACAGAATTTCTCTTTGGATGTGTTTGAAGATTAGTAGTTTGATTGCTTTTTAACATTCGGTATTTAATTATAGCAGCAGCCGTAATACGAGTAACGACTGAGTCCCAAAATTTTAAGTTGACTAACCTCGAAATTCAAAATAATACAGTTCTTAGGAGCAACAACTCTTACATATGACTAAACAACAATTTTAAATTGAATTAGGGTCCAAAAGAACAGAATAATCTGGCTGTTTGTTTCACGCGTTTGAATTTATAATTCTAATTCTACTACATAACTTTTCTCTCACAAAAATTTGAATCAAAAAATTTCTACCAACAATTCTCACAAAATTTGAATTCATAATCAAAGGCCATGTTTATTTCACCGATTTAAGTTTTACTACAATAAAAAGTTCTAAAAAACAATCGCATCTAACTTTTTTGCTACAATAAAAAGCTCTAACATAAAATCACATCTCAACTCGAATCAGCGAACTAAACGGGCTCAAAGTCACTAACTTAGACGCATGAACCAAACGGGCCATAGTCTTCAGACCAATAACTCAATCTCTACTCCTGTACACATGTAGGAAATACTAAAAACTCATCCACAGCAATAACTTCAACTTTAACAAGCACTTGATCATTAATGGGGACTCTACCTAGTCCCATCCTTGGTCCGTGTGTTTTTTTTAGCCTTGGTTTTCCAGTTTTGCATTCAAAGACGGATCTGATGAAGTCAAAAACCTACCACTACTGGGTAGCATGGGATGGTCTATATCATTGGCAAAAGCGAGTTCCTGTTTGGAAAGCCGAAAAATTGCTTGTTTAATAGGATTGATGAAGTATGCCTCAGGTTGTAGATAAAATTGCAGTCATGTGTAGTTCTAATGGCCACAAATTCAGTATCCAGTGTAGAGGCTGTTCCATGTACGAAAAAACTCACAGAAGCCACAGTGCCGCTTGGACGTATAGAAGAGAGTACAGCTAAACACCTACTTTTTTAAAACCTGAAGCTCCGGTGTGCTAGTTGGGGACAACGGATGCCATCACTCGAGCGGATGGACAAGTGCCGGAAGAGGTTCAAATTCCACACTCTTAATCACAGCTATCCTAAAATGTCAAGCGTTGATTTTGAACACCCAACACTTTCCCCTTCTCCCTCTAGCAATTTATTCTTACAAGTCAACTTTTGATCTCTGAAACACAAGAATCATCAGTCAAAACCTTTCGTCAAAATAAGTTTAAACTGCAGTTGACCTGTTGCAAGGCCAGGCCTGTATTGCACCATCTCAACTCTGTTCTCCTACTGGCGTGGCTAAGTCAGCCAGCAAACAAAAAAAGCACCAAAGAGAAGAGAACCATGACCATGATTATCATTATGGAATGTACACAGCAGGTTATTACTAGGTTGAAATTCTAGTTAAAGAAGATAGTCTGGAATGTCATTTTAAACGAGAAAACAAAGGATCATAAAAATGAAAATATTGAATAGGAAAGTTGGTTCATTTCAAGGTTTCTTTATGGACCGAGGTTGAAAGCCTATGTTAATCTCGTGGAACAATACTACGGAAACAAGGTAACAGTTTGCAGAAAACCCCTTTTAATGTTTGTTGCAATAGGCCCTTTTATGTCCTCACTCGTAAGATGATTTCAATGAAGGTCAGAGAGCACATGTCCCCTTATAGGCGTATGTTAATCAGTATACTTGTCTTGCAAATTTTAGCAAGATCCTAAGCAAACTTTATTTTCTGTCTGCATATAGTCCCACAGTAAGTATCAGCGAATTTAGTTTCATTGGTTTTCCACAGAAGTGCAAGCACACAAGGGAGTAGAGGGTTACGAATGTAGACTAGTGAAAGGGTAGATTCTATTGGCCATAATCATGAGAATCAGACAATCTGATTCTGTAGTTCCTTCCTTGTCACTCTGAATCTGATATTTACAACCAAATATGAAATCAACTGTATCATCAGTCCAAATATACCACGTATGTTTGGAAATGCATTTTTTTATAAAATTCCGTAGGCTATAGAACAGGATTATACTGAATTTCATTACTATGAATTTTGATTACACAGCTTATTTTTTACTATTGTTCGAAGACCGACTTAGAGATTAATCTATGATTCAACACCGATCTTAGCAGTCGATATCCTAAAACTTAAAAGTTATCTTTGGATAGGTTTAGATTTCAACCCTAACAAGACGCTCAGAGTTGATGTAAAGTACTGCCATTCAACAGGCACAGATGGGCAGTATGCACAAAACTTTTCTAGACCATGTGGTTACATGGTCTTCTCAGCAAAATATATACCCTTCAAACAACAATTAACACCATAGGCAAAAAATCTTCATCTATTCATACAGAAACAATTGAACAACCTAAAGTGCTACCAAATCTGCATTTTTTTCCTGCCCACGACTGCCTGATTGATTAATATTTCCAACAATAATAGTATGGCCAAAAAGCTAGGTTTCAATCAGTCAAGATATAATAAAAAAGTTCATCACAAATTAGAAGCAACCAATCATTGAACCTGAAAAGACCCGATCTTAATCAACAAAAGATAAATCTTTCGAAGAAAGATTACCAAATTTATCACGCAGATTTGAAGCATATATCCATAGGACAATAACCAGAAATTCTGATAATGAGCCATTTCCAATTAATGGCATTGTTTTACTATTCCATTGAAATGAATTGTGGAAAAATCAATGTTCAAATATTATTACAACACCAAAATTGGAGCTTCACGTTTCTCCTTTTATGAAACCAATTCACTACCTATGAGTATTTCCTAACCTAATCATAAATGAAATCAAATCATCAGTCTTTCCAATTAAGCATTTCTCGTTTCATGTATACATGTCCAATAATTGTATCAGTAATCCCCTAAAAAAATCACATAAAGATCCAAACTTTGAATCTTACCAATCAATCTACGACGGCTTAAACTCTGCCGCACCGGCCTCGCCCGCCTTGATCTTCTTCTTGTTCTTCTCAATCGCCGACGCGACCTCCGTTGGCATGTACTTCTCGTCGTGCTTCGCCAAAACCTCAGTCGCCACGAAGAAACAATCTTTGCTCCTCGCCTTCTCGGAAACATTCTTCGGCGGCACTTCGCTCCGAATCTCATCCGTGATCGGCTTCACGAACCCTTCCACCACCGCCGAGTGGCCTTCCCTGAACAAGTCCGGCAACGCGCCATCATACCTGACCAGAATATCCGTGATGAGGTCGGTGACGACGAACTCGATCTCCGGCGAGGACGCCGGGTGGACGACGCTCCCCTCGAGGACCAAGCCGCCGAGCCTGAACTTGTTCTTGCTAGGGTTTGAGAAGTACTTCTCTAGGGCTTCGGTCGGAGTTACGTAGAAGACCATTTGGTCTTGGAAGGCGTTGAGGATAACAACAATGAATCCGGCGACGCAGCTGAAGGCGAGGGCGTAGGTCCAGAGGCGGCGCGTCTGCATCTGCCGGGCTCGCGCCCCGATGTCGACGGTCTTTGCTCGTTTGGGGATTCTCCGGGCGGTGGAGAGGAATCGGAGAGGGGACGTGAAATCTTTGGGGATCGGATGGTGGGCGGATAGCCGGTAGAGGATCGACGGTGGAGATTGGATGATGGAGTGGCGGCGGAAGATAGTGGTGGTTGTGGTGATGGGAGTGGTGCGGAGGAGATGAGATCTGAGACGGAGGGCCAGGCGAGCAGCCATGGATGGACTTTTTCCTTTGGTCCTTGTTTCCGAGAGAGAGAGAGGTTAGGGGTTTGCAGGGGTTCTTGCTGGAGTCAGAATATTAATTGAAAAATTTGCAGTTAATGACGCTTAAAAGGAAAAATTGCTTAAATGGTCCCCCAACTTTTAATGAAGTTTCAATCTCGTAGCCATTCTCTGTCTTCTTTAAGAAATACTCCTTGAACTTGGAGCTACAGGTTTGGACTTTGGACTGGGCTGACCTGCTCGAAGAAAAAGAGCGGCCAGCTCAAGTTAAGGGAGGGACGGCAGTTCGGCCTAAAAGCCCATCAGGCCGATGCCGACTTGAATATTTATAAGATATTTACGTTTGTTTTCTATATTCGTTCTTGATTCTGAATTATAATTCATAATTTTTTACAGTATTTTTTTCTTAAAAAAATACACGTAAAATAAAAATAATTCTGAATATATAAATTAAACGTCCTCTTAAATTATATATAAATAATAGTGTTTAGGTACGGATGGGCCAGGCCAGTTGAGATGGAGTCGATGGTGATAGGCTTTAGACTTTGCCTCTGACGAAACTCACAGCTCTACTTGAACTCATTAACTTCAGGGTTTTACATCACGTGAGCTGCTCATGTGGATAATTAGAAGAAATGAATCGATAATAAAGGAAAAGATTTGGCATATTAAGGGCAATTAAGGGTTTGGTTTCTTCACTGATTTTAGGGGAAAAATCAGCTCAACAATCGACAATGACAAACCCATCATCTGTTTACTGAAACTGAGCAAGATGATGGCTGCTTGAACAAATTCAAACACAATGTGTAAGTTTTACGTGTTCAAAAGATTCAAGGTAAGTGTGGGTTATGACACCAAGATTGACTACACCAAAATTTGTAGAACTTTCTTATTTCTCTTCCAATCATTTTGGTTGGAAAATTATTAACTACGGGTCGACGAGTTCCCTTTAATAGATATATATGCTCTTCAAACTTGATCTCGAACATTAGGATCATATTACAAAAGGAATGACTTCTTTGTACAAACATCCTTTCTAACTTTTTAAATTTAGTAATCTAGTCTTTATTCTTTTTTTCTTGGCACTTGAACCATTCAACTTAAAAATCATTGCAATTAAAGTCCAATTAAAAATGACATCTGCTTTTATATATATATTTTTTATCACGTGACACGCATGTGAGCATATGCCGAGGACAACAAAAGTCACTTTTCAATCTTGGAGCGTCTGTTGAGGGTAATGACTCTTAAAAACTAAGAGTTATTTATCACAACTGATAGCGTTTGGATACATTAAATGACTCTAAAATCAATATAACGGAACATATTTGGTGAGAAATGACTTTCATAGTCTTTAATAACTACTCTCTTGTGTGTCACGTGATTAGAATCATCAACAAAAGAGATGAATTCTATTGAACTTTAATTGTAAAGATTTAAAACTTAAAAGGCTAAATTGCCCTCAACAAATGCTAACTTCTGAATGTAGATCAAAGGGAAACAAACATTTACGTAAAATTTCTAAACTCAAAAATCTCTATTCCATGGTAATTCAAGAATTTTCACATGAACAAATCCAATTCAAGTCTTACGAGCGTCTCGTGCATATTCTAACCACGCATGACCTTAGCAAAGAATCACAACACCATTCAATTAGAAACCAATGCTTAATTTTAAAGTATAAATCAATTATTGAAACTATGCATGAATAAAATTATGAACCTAAGATCTAAGTACGTACGTAATCTAAATCATCTAAGACGTTGATCTGTTAAATCAAGCTTATCTAAGCCGTAGAATAATCAGAAAAGAAAGGCCATAGAATAAATCAAAAAATAACAACCGTATAAAATGACAGAGGTATATTTGTGCCACATTTTTGGTAGAAAAGATTATGACCCAAATCAAACTAATTATATACAACTAAGGTGAGAGGACTCAGACATATATGACCTCAATACTGAAAAATATAGATACGAAATCATCACGAAAATAATTTTACAACCACTTGGCTTGTTCTTCCTCGTCTTCAAAAGGCCAAAATATTTATAACTTTTCAATAAAGGCATAAGACAACTTGAACAGATCACAAAATTGTCAACCTCATTCTTTTTCTTATGAGACATAGGATGTCCTTTTGGTTTAAACGAAATGCATCTTAATTTAAAAATAATTTGAAGTACTCCTTCAAAAAAAATAAATAAATAAAGTACTCATTAGGTTACCTTTGTTTTGCTCAGAATATAAATGCTGCAAGATTTATGCATAAATTCTGATAGCTGTTAGATAATTCAAGCAATTCTTTTAGTAGTTCTTGCTTATGATTTGTTAAAAAAAGCAATAACATTATTTAAACAAGTTCACGTGCTACATAAAAATAGACGTATGAAAACAACATAAAAGAAAAACGACTCAGATAATACAACAAACAACCGGGTTAAGCAAATCATACGACATTAACTGCGGCAGGGTTTTTTTTTTTTTTTTTTTTTTCCCTTTTTTTTTTTTTTTTTTTTTTGGTAAATCGACCACAAGACTTTCAAGAGGTAGTATTGTGACCCCTTAAAGTGGACCTCATTGAGCGACCCTATCCGGACAATTGAGATGTGAAAAAACTCGCCGATGATGTCGTACTCGCTCGCCTCAGTAGTTATCTATTTTTTAAGTAACATGTTTTTCTTTCTACATGTCAAGTGTTTCATTTCTCAATGGAAACAGGATAGAGGCGAACCGGAAGTCCTTTGATTGGGGTTGGCATAACCATACCACCTAAAATTCTCTCGTTGGGAAGTAAAACGTCCCACTTGAACTTAGTCACAAGGTTGTGCATGAAAACTAACACTGCAAGCCTCGCATAATCCTTTCCTGCACACATTCTGGGTCCTCCCCCAAAGGGAAGGAAAGTGTGCGGTAAATAATGTTCATTTCCCAAGAACCTTGAGGGCTCAAACTTTTCTGGCTCAGCAAAGTACTCTGGATTCTTGTTTGTCATGCTTACCGCCCAGAAGATCTACGTAGAATATAATCAAAATAGTTAGAACTTTGTTGTATATTATGTCCAATTTAAATCATTGAATAACGAAAAAAAAAAATCACAATTATTTTGACTTCATAAGTCCAATCACACGAAGTGAAATATAATAGAAAACTCTAAATATAGGAGAATTCTATCATAAGGTATTTTCACCCTACCAATAGGACTCTATTTAAACCATCAATATGTATTTGGTACTAGTAGTTTCCTATGCTTTTATATTTTAATGTGATTTTAATCGTATTTAATTTTCGAAACCATACACTATCTGACAGTATCCCTACCCTACCGTACAAAGTCATCCCGTATAAGAGAATTATTAATTTGACCAGCGTAGCAAAACTCTTTGTTTGATATTGTGGTGTCATTTGTACTTAACAATAATAATAATGGATGAGATTCATGTTGTAGCCATTACAATAATAATAATGGTCGGTAGATTCGTACCATAATTTGAATCATGATTCGTGGTTTGTTATAGTATTTTTTTTTATAAAAAATACATATAAATCGAAAATGGTTCTGAATTATAATTTTAAATCTATAAAAATTAAACTTGTGAAAATGAAAGATTAAAAAGGAGCAGTTCCCCCAAGAATATTTAAATAGATTTTAATTTGCACTACCTTCCATCCTTTTGGTATGGTGAAACCGGCATAGTTGAAGTCGGTTAGAGCCTCTCTAAAAGTGCCCAAAAAAGGCGATACCATTCTCATGGTCTCACATGCAACGGCCCACGTATACTTCATTCTGTTTATGTGATCCCAATCAAGTGTGCCACTTCCCTTCAGAGCTAAGATTTCCGATTGCTCTATTTTGTTATTATTAAAAAAAACAAAAAAAAAACAAAACAAAAAAAACAAAACCAAAAACAAAAGTCATTAACTGAGAAAGGAAAACCACTAATAAGTACCAAAAACAAACATCAGTTCTCGTATATTTCAACTTATAATTAGTTGGAATGTTTGCCATACGGGTGTGTTCACAAACTTAAGTTAAAAGACTTAAGTTCTCGTTCACTTCACAGATTTAAGTTTTCAATTCGAGCTGAGATGTAATATTTTTTGAGAGCTTTTCACTGTAGTAAAAAAAAAATAGATGTGACATTTTCTGAGAGCTTTTTACTGTAGAAACCTAAAACTAAAAACTCGAATCGGTGAAATGAACGATGCCTTAGAGTTGTGTATGTATGAGAAAAATATTATAGTAAAAAAGTTAAATTTAAATTTTTGTAAAGAAAAAACGCTAAGGAACTTTCGTTGGGAAAAGAACAAGACATTAATATCATTAATGCCTAATCATTACGTGGACATCAAATTTATCCAATTAAATATGATTTTAGCAGGGTTCGTATAGTTCGCTGATTTAAGTTTATACGTGACTTTATGTGAAAATTTTTTATTATAATAAAAAAATTAGATATGACTTTTTTCAGAGTTTTTTACTGTAACAAAGCTCAAATTTTAAATTCGAATCAGTAAAATAAACGGAGTAAATGTTTTATTATCGAACACTAAAAAAACTTTGCCTTGAAAACAAAATAAAATAAAGAACTTGCTCTATGCAAAACAGCTAGAACTTTTCTGTAAATAATTGGTAGTACATATTACCGGAGTATATCTTCTCGTAGACATCAGGCCTTTGTCCAACGAACTTAACCATAAAAGCAATAGCAGTGACAACCGAGCCATAGCTCGCAGCCATAATCCCCATAACTATATTCGCCACGGTCGACGGCAACATAACCTTCCCGCTCCGGTCGGCGGCGATAAATATGGACAAGAGATCCTCCGCCGCCGCAGTCGCCGCCACCTGATCATCACTCTTCTCCTTTATAATCCCCTCAATCTCCCTCCTCACCTCCGCCGCCGCCTTTTTTGCGCAGCGGAAAACAGTCCCCGGAAAGTCCAAGTGGACGGAGTGAATCCCGTTAACGACGTCGTCGAACTTCCCCGCCAGTTTCGCCGCCCTCTCCGGCTCTATTCCGAGCAAGTAGTTGCAGGACAGAGTCAGAACATAGCTCTTCACGAGCTGATAAGCTCCGACATTCACTTCTTTTCCGCAGTACTCGCTCAGCTGTTGCTTCATTAAGAAATCGAACTTTTCGACGAACTTCGGCTCCGGCTTGAGAAATCCATACAAGCGGGCAATCCCAGGAGATGTTTTCTGCTGCTGATTAATGTTGTTTGCACTACTTTTGATGACTCCGAAGAGGCGTTGTTGGGAATGGGGGAACCAAACTCTGACGAGCTTCTGCTCGTTGGTGGTGATGAACTTGTTGGCCTCCGGACCGGAGAAGACGACGGTGTTTTCGCCGAGGATGTTGGTTTTGAAGACTTCAGTTGAGTGGTTTTTGAGTCTTTTTAGGATGAAATTCTTCGGGCCTTCGGAGAAGAACCCGAGGGTTTCTCCGATGACCGGCCATCCGAGGCTGCCCGGCGGGAGATTCCGGAGGTGTTTGGCACTCTTGCGCTTCAGGAGGAAGTAGGAGGATGTGAGGAAGACAAGGAGAAGAAGACAGTAGGGATATTGGTAGAGGAAATTGTAATAGCCCATTTGTTTTGGTTTTGTTTGAAGCAAATTTGAGTAGAATGAAGAAAGTTATTAATAGTCCTTCAAATGTAAAAAATAAGAAATAAAGAAAGGCACAATTTTTTTTTTTAATATTTTGCATATGTAATTTTCTTGGTGTAGTCAATTAATTGTTGGCGTTGCTAATTATTCAAAAAAAAAAAACAAAAAAACAAAAAAAGCGATGACCACATGCCGAAGAAATGATGCAGGTGCTTAGATATGTATAGATGCATAAGTATATATAATCGTTCGCATTAAGACAAAACAAAATATAGAAAGTGAACGTCCAACAAGATTTAATCTTGCAATGGATTATATGAATATAATAACAATACATATCGCTGCCATTCGTACAAATAATTGGCATAATAATTTTATCAAGTTATTTCTTTATTCCTCTTATCATGAAACTCGTTTTCTATGTGATTTCAAATTTATACGTCTTTTTTACTTTTGTCTTTGACTATGTCGTATTTCTCTTGTAAGCCTTATATTAGAAAGAATTAACATATCTTCTGCTAGTCTAAGGTAGAGCTTAGCTAAACCATGGGCAACAAAGTTCGCAGTCAACGTGGTTAACTATAAACAGCAGAAAAAAGATAGAGAAAAAATTTCATAATGTCTATGGCTTGTATAATATCTTTAATATAATTTTCTCATTTCTTAATATAATGAAAATAGACAAATTGCATACTCATGTTTTCGTGCATTTTGATTGTTTCATATTGCTTATAAACTTTGTATTCATTCTTTCAGAATGATACCGTCATTAAGATGATGAAAATCCGAGAGATTTTTTATTTGTTGTTTTATTTGCTTATCTATGACTTGTTTTATATATCTTTACCATAATTTTCACATTTCTTAACATAATAAAAATATATAAATTGCATACTCATATTTTTGTACATTTTGATTGGTTCAGATTGCTTACAAACTTTTGTATACATTTTTTTTTTATAATAATATCATCATTAAGATAATGAAAATGCGCGAGATTTTTTATTATTGTTTTGTTTTTTTGTCTATAACTTGTTCTATATGTTTACCATAATTTTTTCATTGCTTAACATGAACGTTGCCGTTTTAGAGTTTTGTCTGCTTTTTTGTGCTGATTTGTTTGGTTTTTATATAAAAAAAATTGGGTATCTGTTTTTTTTTATTTGTTTAAAGAAAGTTTCTTTTTCTCAAAATAATAAAATTTCCTTAAATTTTAATTGTTTGACTTTTTGTATTTAAATCTGAATATCATTATCTTATCTTTTTTATTTTGTTGACTCATAAGTTTTCTTTCTTCCTTTTTTTATTAGGTAAAGATATGAACGTCTTTATAAGTATGAGAGTAGGTATTTTTGTAAATAAAAAGGTTATTGGCACAAATGGTCCCCAACTTATTTAGTAAGTGACAGTTTAGTCCCCAATCTTTTTTTTTTTGGCAAATCAATCCCCCACCTTTTTAAACAGGTGCAATCTGGTCCTTTCCGTCAAGATCCGTCCAAAAGTTAACGGCCCAATGCACGTGACCACCCACGTAACCCAGATTGTTGGGGTATATGTGTAAAATCACTTGTAGCTTGAATTGCTTGTAGCTCGAAATGTCTTGGCTCTTCAAATCGCTTCAATCTGACGATCCACAACAGTCCATGTCAGCGTCGCCGACGAGCAGCCCTGCTAGCGTGAAGGAGGACTTGTCGACAATCGGGTAGACCATCGGCCGCCAACTCTGTGGCGTGGCGGCGTTTCTCGCGCCTCTTCCTTTTCTGACAGCCGCCGCCAAATCGCCGATGATTCACCTGGATTGGAGGCGGAATTGGAGGCTCTGATCGGAATTCGGAACGATCTGGTGGAGATCGGCAAGAGCTTCAAGAGCGGCCTCACACTTATCTCCAGTAATAACAACAGAGCAATCAGTGAGATCTCTAGGTTCGCTTCCAACTTCTTGTAGTTTCTAACAAATTCCCAATAGAAGAAGAGGAAGAAGAATGAGAAGAATAAGGAGAAGAAATAGAAGAAGAAGAGGATAAAGATGAAGATGGTGTTCCAGGGATTACCCATGAGGTTTCTCAATTCGTGACTTTAATCTGGGTTTTTGCAAGTGTTTTTACACATATACCCTAACAATATGGGTCACGTGGGTGGTCACTTGCATTGGGTCGTTAATTTTTGGACGGATCTTGATGGAAAGGACCATATTGCACTTATTTTAAAAGGTTAGGGGTCGATTTGCCAAAAAAAAAGAGGTTAGGGACCAAACTATCACTTACCAAATAGGTTGGGGACCATTTATGCTAATAACCCTAAATAAAATAATAAGTATGCATTTTCAAATTCTAAATGTTTATAATTTTTGTGAGTTGATTTTGTGTTAAGGGCCCGTTTGACAAATATATTTAAATTTATAATTCTGATTTTTCTCTCACAAAGAATTTGAATTTAAAAATTTTCTATTAATAGTTCTCTAATAAAATTCTCGCCAAGAATTAGAATAACGCGTGAACCAAATGGCCATATTAGGCCTGTAAGTCATCCAGGTAGGATCAGCCTTGGGCCAGAAATTGGGCTGAGCCGCAATTTGTGGGCTGAAAAAGATTTGGGCCGCAACACTTCTTTAAGCCAACAAACTCGTAACCCTTCGGATTACCTCGGGTAGGTTCAGGGTGACCAGGTTGGTCGGATTGGGCCTTGACATTGGGCTTCTTGCAATTAAGCCCATTATTATTGGCCAGAAAAAATGCTGGGATTGGGCATGTGTTGTGTGTGTCTGAAAATAGCCGTGGTAAAAAAAAGTTGTTGGAATTGGGCCAAAAAAAACATTAGATTTAGGGTTGATTTCTTTCCCTGTGCTGATAAATTCGGCTGGGTAGGGGCAATATCGAGTTCCTTGAATCTGCCCCGTGACCCTACCCGTACTTTGAGGGTTGGGCATTATTACTACCACAAAAAAAAAATCCCACTATTTTCGGGTAGGTAGGGTCAGCTCGGGCATGTTCATCGAGTTCGACTTGAATTCTTACATTCCTAGCCATAATTGGGCCTCTTCTTCAAGCATGCCTCCCGCCCCCGCATAGAAAAAAAAGAGAATTTACTTTTAAGAGTATATGAGTCTAAATATTTACTCTTTACTTTTGATAAATACTCTTTTATTAGTACAATTATTTAATTAAAAAAATATTAATTAAAAATAAAAAATAAAAATCTTGGTAATGTATTTATCAAGATTACTCGTACGTTTACGCTGGCCCGGCCCACAGCCAAATCAAGTCCGGAACAAAGACTTACAAAACACCTCCAACTGAAAAACAAAAAACTCATTGTTGTTCCCTTTCTTCCTCCTCTACCATCCCTCCCTCTGAGTCTGAGTTGGTGCATATTCTCCGAGATCTGCAAATTGCAAAAGTAAATTCGAAGGCAAAAAGCATCGAAAGCGGCCATGGCAGCGCCAGATCTTTTGTTCAATCTGAGGAACAACTTCTACTTGGGAGCCTTCCAAGCCGCCATTAACAACAGCGACCTCCCCAATCTCTCCCCCGACGACGCCGTCGAACGCGATTGCCTCGTTTACCGATCTTACATTTCTCTCGGAAGCTACCAGGTTTTTCTCTCTCTTCTTTCTCTCTCCGTTGGAAGTTTTCCATTCTGTATCTGGCTTTCCTTTTTGTCTGAATTTTGGATTTTGCTTTATCAGCTCGTGATCAATGAGATCGATTCCTCTGCCGCCACGCCTCTCCAAGCCGTCAAGTTACTCGCTCTCTACCTCTCTAGTCCCGATAGCAAGGTTCTTCTTTTCGCCTCGATCTGGAAGTTTCTTTGTTTGATTGGATGTTATTTTCATTGGAAATTGTTGATCTCGGATTTCGGATCTGAGATTTCTCTGATTTTGTAGTTTAGGTCAGTTTTTGATTGTTTTGCATCAATAGTTAGTTTTGTTGCATGAAATTTTAGCCATAATTTTACTCATGTAATTGAGCTAAAATTAGATCTGTCAAATCAAGCTGATCAATTTGTTAACTTCCTACTGCAGTATTAGCTGCATTTTCTTTCTCTTATGTGCATGTGGAGGGGTCTGCCAGTACCAGTTATTTAGAAATATTATTGCTGAATTATGTATGTATTTTAAAGGCAAGATGACAAAGCTCCACAAATCTTTCTTTCAGGCTCCAAAAAAAAAAATCTAAATTACCCCACTTTTTACTCATTCTCTTTGCCACTATGATTTAATTCCGAGCAAGTTTACACGAAGTAGTGTATTTTAGCTCAGAGGCGTTACAGATTAGGTGTCTAGAACCGGGGAATATAATTGGTGTGTTATTTTTGCATTCAATTAAAATGAATGAAATAAGTTATTTATGGTTTTATTCTGATGGTTATATGTTCTAAATTGTACAGGAGTCCACAATTTCTAGTCTGATATGATTTAATTCCGAGCAAGTTTACACGAAGTAGTGTATTTTAGCTCAGAGGCGTTACAGATTAGGTGTCTAGAACCGGGGAATATAATTGGTGTGTTATTTTTGCATTCAATTAAAATGAATGAAATAAGTTATTTATGGTTTTATTCTGATGGTTATATGTTCTAAATTGTACAGGAGTCCACAATTTCTAGTCTGAAGGAGTGGTTGGCAGATCCGGCCATTGGAAACAACCCTACCCTCAGACTGATTGCTGGAATCATATTCATGCACGAGCAGGACTATAATGAGGCCCTCAAACACACTAATGCTGGAGGAACTATGGAACTGTGAGTCTGATTTTAGTGCATATTTTATGCTATTTTCTAACAAGCTTTCTTATCTTATATTGAAGCCTGACCTAGATTACGGTGGGTTTAGCTCATCTGGCACCTCTAAGGAATGCCAGATATGTGAATTTTGACACACGGATCTGGGATTTCTAGTAGGCTTGGTGTGAGATCTAGTAGTTTTTAAATTTTTTGAGAGATGTAGTAACGAGAGAATAAAAGTTGAGGCACAAACAGGAGTTGTCATTATTACAACGCTTGATTTGATACTTATTTTTGGGATAGGGTGGTGCATAATATTTCTCCAGTGCCAGGAGATCAACAGTTTTTGTTTTGAAGTGACTAGTTTTATCAAATCAACCAAGCTATTATTGCTTGAAAGTTCGTGTGACAAATCGGAGCATCAAATTTTTAGAAGGGTTTTGCAAGTCTTCTGTTGATAAGTGTTGGCCATCAAATATGAGCCAACACTATAGTCTGAGGTGTTAAAGAGGGATGCCAAATGACCTCTACTGTGGTGCACTTTATGTAATATTCTCTGTTGATATAACTTTCTTGTGTGAGAAGATCGCGGGGTAAAGTGAGTTTTCAACAGACGAAGCATGCCTTCTCTGTCTGATATTTGAGCCTTTTAGAATGCGTCCCTTTATGTTTGTACTCGAGATCGGGAGAATACTTCTTTGTACTTTTGAAGTCCTGAGCTAGAAATACAATTCTGGGAATTATTGATTTATGTGATTTTGGTCTTAGTGATTAAAGCCACCAGCGACCATCCTACCCAGTGCCATCTTGGATGATATGTTCATAGCTGTCCGATTCAAATCAGACATACATAAGACGCTCTTGAAATTCAGAGGGTATTTTTTTTCTGTAGCCACCTACTAGCTCCATCAAACTTGTGTCTTCGCTACTATTATTCCCAGCTTATAGATTTACGCCAGTGTCTTCATTCACGAATGAATAGCCCTGTCTCTTTGAATCAAATTTCACCGAGTCATTTCCTTCTGATTTTTCAATCATTGTCACAACCTTCTAAAAGGCGTTCAAATATTTAATATTTATCAATCAGCCCCTGCCATGGCAATCACAACCCCCTGCAAACACTCAAGTGAAAAGTCCTATCTGCAAGATGGTTGAATATCAGAAGTGCTACTTAGTAGCATAAACTCAGAGATCCCAAACTAATCCAAAGCAGCAAACACTTGAACTATGCATGTTTATCTGCGTACACATGCATGCATATATGTAATTTGCATCGAGACAAACAACTGGGCAGTAACCACTCATAATTACTAAAGGTAGATAGAGACTCAGAGCAGTATATATTAATGAGATTCTTGGCAGGACTTTTAGTGCTAAGTAGTTCTTCTTTTTTTTTTAATTTTTTTTTTCATCAACTATAGCAAATAGAATTTAGTGTTCCTAAATCCTAATATTTTCATGCCACACCTGCTTGTTTAGGAGCTGAGGTGGATTTGTGGACCATTAGCTTTATATGCGCTTCAACTATGCAAACAATTTTTTTTCTTTTTTTCTTTTGCCAGACTTTTAGGATGTTGTTGGGAATATGAGGTCGCGTTCATTTGAATGGATCTATTAAATATAGTGTGAAGGAGTCAGGAGGAACGTTAGATAATTAGAGACTTGACTCTTGCTGCATGCGTGCTTTCTTCTTTCTTTGCAGAAGTTATAAAGACTAGTTAGACGGCAGGCACGTCAAGAGTTGTCAGTGAGTCAATTCTCAAACCTGATTTTTTGCTCCTCATGCTTTTGCAGCAATGCGCTAAACGTCCAGATATTCCTCAAGATGCATAGGTCCGATTATGCAGAGAGACAGTTGAGAGTAATGCAGCAGGTGGATGAGGATCACACACTAACTCAACTCACAAGTGCATGGTTCAATCTGGCAGTGGTACCTATATACCTTATCTTTTCTCTTTTTTTTCCTTCTTTTCCTTTTTTTTTTTTATCTTAATCTATGGAAAATTGCTGTGGTTTGTATTTACATCTGTCCTTGAACCAGGGTGGATCCAAGATACAGGAAGCATATCTTATCTTCCAAGATTTCTCTGAGAAATATCAGATGACCAGTTTGGTACTGAACGGGAAGGCTGTTTGCTGCATGCATATGGGAAACTTTGATGAAGCTGAAACACTGCTGCTTGAAGCACTCAACAAGGCAAGTATCTAGCTAACTGTTGACTTCGCTGTAGATCCAGATTTGTGTAGAGTTGTTTCACACGATATTCGACAGTAACAGATGATTATTTCCGTTTGTGTATGGAATTACATTCTGATTATATGCCTTGGACAAAGCAGGTGTTGTTGGATAGGTAAAGAATAGACGAGGCTGTTTTTATGCTGCAGTTTTATGCGTTTTAATCCCCGTGTGGCTTCCAGAGTTTCTCTTCCTGAAATTTTAATCTCTGTTCGGCGCTAACATGAGCTTTATAGTTAATTTCAGAGGTAATGTTGTGTATTATTTGTCTGTTTTACAGGACGCAAAGGATCCAGAAACTCTAGCCAATCTAGTTGTAAGCTGTCTTCACCTTGGCAAACCGCCCTCCCGTTTCCTCAGGTAAAAGTTAAACCTATCAAGCTGGCACCCACAACTTTATATTTTGGAACATAACAAACAAGTGATACTAACAGAATAACAGAAGACTCGTAAGCATCACATACTAGCCGGCTAACATTATGGCCGTGTTTGGAATTGACCCCGTTTTTGTTTTTCATGTTTTTTGAGGAAAAAAAATGAAAACGTTTTCAAAACGGCGTTTGGCGTAATAAAGACAAAAAACGGAAATAAAAACGATTTTTTAATTTAGTATAAAATGAGAGAGAAATGAAAAACGATTTTTAGTCGTTTTTCATTTTTTATTTTCGTTTTCTCCTCTTTCGAGCATAGAGAAAAAGAGACATGAATGGGTTTTTTTATACTGAAAATAATCTCTTGATAAAACTACTAAACATATTTTTAAAAATAATTTTTGTCAGATTAAAAATGTTTTCATTTTCATTTTTATACAAAAAACAAAATCATTTTGGAACGAGTTCTAAATGCATCTTATAATTCTCTTCTTCTACTTCTGTGTTTATTGTGTTTTTTTAGCCCGTTATCTCATCACCTAGACTATTTATTTGGAGTCAAGCCCCTAGGAAAAATGGCGTAGACTTCACTAATGCTAAATCAATTTTCTAAATTCAATATGTGGCAAAGAAGTGTATTTTACACGTAAATGGTGACATACTAGCAGGCTAACATTATGGCCGCGTTTGGAATTGATTCCGTTTTTATTTTTCATGTTTTTTGAGGAAAAAAAATAAAAACGTTTTCAAAACGGCGTTTGGCGTAATAAAGACAAAAAACGGAAATAAAAACGATTTTTTAGTTTAGTATAAAATGAGAGAGAAATGAAAAATGATTTTTAGTCGTTTTTCATTTTTTATTTTCGTTTTCTCCTCTTTCGAGCATAGAGAAAAAGAGACATGAATGGGTTTTTTTATACTGAAAATAATCTCTTGATAAAACTACCAGACATATTTTTAAAAATAATTTGTCTGAGATTGAAAATATTTTCATTTTTATTTTTATACAAAAAAATAAAATCATTTTGGAATGAGTTTCAAACGCATCTTATAATTCTCTTCTTCTACTTCCGTGTTTTTTTAGCCCGTTATCTCATCACCGAGACTATTTATTTGGAGTCAAGCCCCTCGGAAAAATGGCGTAGACTTCACTAATGCTAAATCAATTTTCTAAATTCAATATGTGGCAAAGAAGTGTATTTTACACGTAAATGGTGAATAACTGTGTTGAATCAATGCTTTTCAGCCAATTGAAACTTTCACATCCGGACCACACACTTGTGAAACGGGCCGCCGCTGCAGAAGAGGGTTTTGACAGAGCAGTTCAGTCTGTTGCTTGAAGACCCGGAGATTTGTATCATCGAAGATGGGGGATCTGTGTCAACACATTGTCCTTTTAAACATTCGTGAAGATTTTCCTTTGATTGAGCTTAGATATACAAAATTTGATGGTAGTTGAACAAATGCTCGCCACAGATTCGAAATCTTCTAGTATTTTTTTTTTTTTTTTTTTTTTTTTTTTTCTGTTGGCAATATATCATGAGTAAATTCATATGCTTTTATTGTGCTTACAATTTCGACTCCTCCAAAGTAAGTTAACAACACGAATAGCACTTTCTTACGCTCATCTTTATTAAAAAAATAAATAGAAGAAAAATTCCAACTTAATATATAAATAAATAAATTTGATTCATTAGCGTTAAAAACAAATATTAACAATTAAAAAATTGAAAAAGAAAATTCATTGGTCCTTCCTCGCAACCTTCAACCCTATTCCTTATTTCAATGTTCTCGAAAGCCATTACTTGTTTCAATTCATCGTCATTTGTCAATATTATCACTACTATTATCATCCCAGCAGCTAACATTATCTTATTCTTATCCCAGTGTTCTCAAAACACACTATAGGGTTTATGTGAGTTTTTTTACTGTAGTAAAAAAGTTAAATGCGATTATTTCTGAGAACTTTTTACTATAACAAAATTCGAATCTTATGTGAGTTTTTTTTACTGTAGTAAAAAAGTTAAATGCGATTATTTCTGAGAACTTTTTACTATAACAAAACTCGAATCGGTGAATGAACGGGGTCTATAACTGTCATCACAATTTTTATGTCTCTATTAGTACCTTTGCAAAACCACTTTGGGGTTGTTACTTGTTATTACACCCCAACTTTGGCCATCACTGTCGGCACTACTTATATTGGGGGTGTGAGGATTTGTTCTTATGGTTTAGGTCTAAGTCATAAACCAAACTAAAAGCCATAAACCAAACCAAACTGAAAAGTATCCAGTTTCTGCATACTAGTTTTTGCGGTTTGAGCTTCTTATTTGGACATAATTGAAGCTCCTTAAAGGCCTATTTCTCAATAAGTCTAATAATTAAACAAGATATTATGAGAGAAATTAAAATGGTACATTCCATATTTAAATAAAAAGGTATAATAAAAGGTAAAGCAGGGTGGGTTTCACGAGAATGTGACTAATATTTGATAATATAAAGTTCTCTATTAGTACACTGAGCTAGTTGGGGTAGTGCATTGAAATTTGAATCCGTTTCAATAATTGTGACGTTTTCTGAAAGCTTTTTACTGTAGTAGAAAAAATTAGATGTGATATTTTTTAAAAAAATTTTACTGTAGAAACCTAAAACTGAAAACTCGAATCAGTGAAATGAACGATGCCCCGTTTTGAAAATCATTTGGCTTTTTGATCATATGATATTATCTGCAATCATGTACATCTAATGGACCACGATAATATAGTTACCCTTTTTTTTTCTTGAACTTGGTGGGAAAATTTGAAATCTGAGTCATTTGTAAAAATGGCTTAATAAGAAAGTTTCATTAATAAAAGAACTTTCCAAAAAGTTATGTAAAACCTTAGGTCCACAAAGTCCCAAGAAGCTCTAGAAGACATAATTACAACTGTCCCACATTCTGAGGCAATTTGAAGAAAATCTAGAACCTGTTTGGCAGATGGAAGTGTGTTCCTCTCACTAAGAATTTGAATTTAAAAGTTAAAAGTTCTATACCAATTACTCACAAAATTCCCATCAATGAATTAACCAAAGGAGCCCTTAAAGACCACGAAGTGGTGATTCCTTTCTTTTTTTCTTTTTTTCTTTTTTTTTTCTATCTTGTTTTTTTATTTAAAAAAAAAAAAAAATACATAGCCTCTTAAGCTCTTTTTGGACTCTTGATCTCATAAGTTGGACTGCAAGATTAGAGTATCATTTGGATTTTGATTGTTTCCGGAAAATATTTGCTACCAAGAGCCAAAGGAAAGCCAATATACAATGAAAGCTATACCTGCAGCTGATAATCATATTATTGAACTACGTCGTCTCTTCAAATACATGTAATGTAACAAATGGCCCGGAAGCTCTCTACAACTACTTAATAATAACTTTTATATAAATGAGGAAAATTTAATCCCAAAACCCCCCTTTCTAATCGAGCTAAAGAATTTGTGCTAGTCAGCAGCAGATGAAGTCTTGTGTCGATGTTTTCTTTCTAATATGAAGGTGCTGTTATATCATTTTCAAGAAGACGTCACCAACGGAGTCCCGTAACCGTTGAGATGAGACTTTTGCCATCTCCACGCCGTCTTCAGACTCTCTTGAAGATTGGTGTGCTTTGCCGTCCAGTTGAGTTCTTTCCTGATCTTAGTTGGGTCACTGTACACTTCAGCATAGTCACCAGACCGACGGTCAAGGTATCCGACTTTGATGTTCACCCCTGTCGCCTTCTTACACGCTTCCACAAACTCCTTTACTGATCTACCTGAAAACATAGACGATCAAAGAGAGCTTAGAGCAACTTTTCTATCAAAACAAATCTCTTGCAATTTAGAATCACTCATTCCATTTCCATCAAATAAGTCCTACCTTTTCCAGTACCAACATTATAGATTCCAACTTTACGAGGCTCTGCCTTCTCAAGAGCTTTCACATGAGCGTCAACTAGGTCAGTGACATCGATATAATCGCGTATGCAGGTCCCATCAGGTGTCCTATAGTCTGTTCCTTTAACCTGCAAAGTGTTGGATACCATCATTACACCATAATTACAACTAGTCCATGAAATGGAAAAATTATCTTATATCATCATAAGAACCCTCCCAAAAGTTGTTTTCTATCTTTCATAATCTTTACCTTAGGAGCGAATATTACAGTGAGAAATCCAAAGTCAGCCAATGTCTTAATAGATTAAACTTTTGGGATGGCTCAAATCCGTCTACCCATACCCTCTAGTCCTAGTCATTATAATAAGACTTCAGAACAAAATAATGATGTGTGGACAGTTTAATCCAACATTTCTCTCCGGGCCCTCACATGACAAGGGTGTGACAAGAAATCCAATAAGTCATGTGTTCATCACGTTTTAACAGCTTAGGAAACAGGGGTAGATGGCTTCTAAATTTCCAAGTTAATGAAACTCGAATCTATCTATATTTTCATTTTCTAATTCCATTATGGATATATTATGTACTATAAGAGCATACCTTTAGCCCGGGAATGATACCACGAGCAGCATCAAAACAAGCTCCTGATATACGTCCGTGCTCACGAAGTTCAGGTCTAGGAGCTTCACCTAATCTGCCCTCTGGATCCGAACCAATCACATTGAAGTATCTAGACAGGAAGGAAAAAGAAAAGAAAATGTAGCAATCAGAATAGTGTAATTATTAGCTAACAAAAGAAACAAATGAAAGCAAAGAAATAAGGATATTCATTTATGGGTATCAAAAATATCTCGAGGACTTTAAAGAATACAAACCTCAGGATCATAACTGCCATGTCTGAATTTTTAGAGAAATCCAGGATAATATCTTCCGCCATCTTCTTAGCTTTACCATATGGATTGATTGGGAGCTGAATTCATGTAATGCTGTAGATTAGATCTTATACGAGACAGCATCGAACACATTAACAAGAAAGAGAAGCGAAAGAAATTCTAAATACATGAAGAGATATGAAAAGAAAATGCCGTCAATAAAGCACCAACTTGGGAAAGAAGGGAGAACAAAGACACGCTTGTTAAAATTACTACCTGTGGAGTGTCTTCAGTGATGGGCATCTTATCAGGCTCCCCATAAGTTGCACATGTGCTGGAATATATCAATGTCTTTACACCATGAGCAACCATTCTCTCCAACACAACCAAGGTATTCGATGTAATATTGTGATAATACCTATACAAGAAAGTTAAAAAAGTATTAGTTTACAACTAACGAATTTTTCAGTACTCCTAACAAAAAATCATTTAAATGGTTATAAAAAGATAACAACAATAAAATTTATTTTATCGCCCGACATTAAAAAAAAAAAAAAAAAGATTTACGTATTTGACAAGCAAAATAATCATTATAATTGTTAATATTAGCAACCAAAGACAAACCGAACGTCCTTCCAGTCAGTACTTACTTGAGTGGATAAAGGGTGCTTTCCCCAACATATGCAACAGCAGCAAAATGCATAACAGCATCAAATGCATTCTCAGAAAAAATTTTATCAACCTGGAACAACCGGTTAAGGCAACGTGACAACATCCACACTAACCTATTTCACTAACATAACTGTTGACTTTTGAACAAAAATAATAATAATAATAATAATAATAAAAGCCATGATAAGGATACAGATTTCGCATCCCCCAAGTCAGCATAGATAAACTGGAGCCTCCCAGGTTCAGGAAATAGCTCGTGGAGAACCTTGACAGCACCCAAGTTTCCCCGTGAAAGATTATCCTGTCAGAAAAGAAATTCTTATAGATTTGCGGGGGAAGAAAACGATGACATGATGCAAAAGGTTCATTAGGTTCATAATGAAAACTCCTAAGATAATCTGAGAATAACGTACCACAATAGTTACACGATATGAGTCCTTTAGAAGTCGTAATGCAGCATGTGAACCAATATAGCCAGCCCCTCCTGTCACTAATACGTGAAATACCCCCGGTTCATGAAGCGCAAACTGGAAGAAAGTATATTCAAAATAGTAAGTTAGCAACAAATGGTGGTTCCAATTTTCATTTACAACACGATAAATAAATTAAAAGAAAGAAATGACAAGGAAAGAAAAGAAGAATTCTGAATATGGCATACTGAATTAAAAAAATAATAATAAGTCAAATGCCATATAAGTTGAAGCACATAAAAGCTTGTGGCAAAAAAAAAAAAAAAAAAACTGTAAGCGGGTATTAAACTCATCAGATAACAAACGTCTTTCTCGGGTTAAACTCAACAAGCAGAAAGATCAAAACAAGGTGTCAGAACAATTTCATTGAGAATGACTTATTTTATTTCATCTTTTGGGAGGCAGAAGATACGAATAGGATAGCAACATTAATGTATTTGAATGAGAAAGTCCAACAGATAACTATGAGCATTGCCAATCAGTAAACTAGAACAAACTTGACTTTGGTCAGCCTGATGATCAAATTAAGTCATCACAACATAGACACAAGCTCAACATACTCAAGCAGACAGATATTTTTAAAAGTACAGCCTTTCTTCAGGCAAGATTACTGGAAAATCATAGCAACAAAGCTGATATGTACTTGTATGACCAGTTCATTTAAACAGAAACGACAAGCCCTAGAGTATGAAAGATACTTGATAAAGAATAACAATCTTACCGGGCTAGGAGCAATAAAAGTTGGGGATTGCTTCAGCATGACAACACATAATGCTGTTAGGGCGGCAACCAAAAGAATTTTTACTACAAAATTGTTCTTCTTCTTCGGGTCTGAATAATCCAGGCCTATAAACAGAACTTGGTCAAAGGATTTTAGGGAAAAAAATAGTAAGAAATTTATCATATAATTCCTAGAATAACACATAGCAAGGTGGCTAAAATAACACTTTTCCCCCACTACACGTTTTTCACCTACATCCTGCCTTGTTTCAACCACTTCCACCACTTTTGTCATTTTCACTTGAACTAGATTTTCTTTATTTGAAACACAAAGCAAGAAGATATTTATAACTACTTATACAAACATGTTTTGCAAGCAGCGCATGAGCTTAATTGTCTTGTGTATACAACAAACAAAGCAGACTCTTAGCCTGAATGGCATTGCATTATTTTTCACACTTCTTTGCCAAACTCTCTACCAAAATTTGATCTTTTAGCCTATTTGGCAAAAACTTCAAATGAAAAAATTAAATGCAAATTTAATACAAGTAACATGGTCTTACCTCCAAGAGACATGGGCCTACTAGACCTTGTCTGAGGTCTGCCCCTGCCTAAATTTAGCATTTTGGCAAAATCTTTACAGATATGAACTAAATATAACGCCTCAGTCTCTAATCATGAAATGACTCTTTCAGAGTATGTTTTTGAAGAAATACACTGCAATGAAAATTAGAAACAATCAGTAGAGAAAAATCAAAGGTGAATTGAACAATCGAAGCAAACAAAAAAGTGGTTAAACTGGGTCCCTAATAAGAAAAGGAAAGGTATCAAAAAAGGTTAGAAACTAAAGACAGAAAGATTTTTGAGCACCTGAAACAGCAAGAAACATAAAAAACCATGGAAACTGCAGAACAAAGAGATCAAGGAATCTTAAGATCCAGAGAGACCCAGAAGAAGAAATGCATAAAGAGAATGTATTAGAGAAATGAATAAGCCAAAAATTCCAATATATATATATATATAAGATAAAGAAAAGGGACGTGCATAGTTTGCTGTCAGAGCATGTCTGCCCAACAAAAATAATTGGACAGAACAGACCACCTTAGAGGTCCACTACTCAAAATTTAAAAGTGAAAACAATGTTTTAAAAACTAAAAATTACCCAAAAAAAAAGGAAAGAAATTGGCTAATAAAAATTGAATAAGCACAAAACATTAAAAATTTTGAAGATCCAAAAAGACCCAGGAACAATACCAATTCAAATAATCATTAGAAAATTTGAATTTTGATCATGTCCAGGCGAAAAACAGAAGAACCAAAAACTCAGCATGCAAGAGATTGTAGTATCAAATCATCGGGGAAAAAAAAGAAAGAAAAAAAATTGAAAAAGGATGAAACCAAAAGCAAAACCCAATTTGAATTGTGAAACAATACCTGAAGAGGATCAATGCCCAGAAGAAAGCGATATAAGAACTTTTCAAAGCAAAGGCTTTTCTTTTCTCTTCTTTTCTGTTTTTGATGATCAGAAACCAGTAGATTGTTTGAAACGCAGAATAAAATAATGAGAAGAAGAAAAAGCGTGAATGGAATTTAAATACGCGGTTTGGACGAACCCAAAAGAATCTCTTCAAAAGAAAACAAAAAAAGTTGACCGAAATTTAAGAAGAAAACAAGGGAGATTGGTGAAAGAAAAAACGTAAGAGAGAGAAAGAGATTGATTGACAAAGAAAAAGTGGAGAGAGAAAGGAAATAAACGTACAATAGTAGAGAGGGAGGTGCGTTGATCTAGCTAGCTAGGAAGGTCCCTCTTCTGCTCTCTCTCTCTCTCTCTCTCTTTCTGTGCGTTTGTTGTGAGAAAATGGTAACTGGGTTTTGCTTGCTCTGGAATGTAGAGAGAGAAAGTGGGAGAATTTTTGGAAGAGAGAGAGAGAGAGAGAGAGATTGATGAGATTGGAAGGCAAAACTGAGAGAGAGAGCTCTAATAGGCGGAGATTTCTCTGCGTTCATGTTTCTGTTTTTTTGTCTTTGGAAAAGAAAGGGAAGGAGAAATCAGGAAGGAAAAATAAATAAATAAAAGAAATAAACACCCTTTACCAAAAAAATAACAAATTTTAATTTCTAAATTTTTTGTATTAATTACGTTATTATTGTTGCTGTTTTAAGAAAAATTATGATTATTAGTTTTAGCAAAAATCATCTGAGTAATGCTCCTTCTCTGCGCGACGAATGCGGGGCTGCGTTTTGTTCTGTCACCAATTACATCCCACCACGTCACAACTCTTTTTTGCTCTTTTTTTTTTAAGTGGGACCCCACGTACATGGACAGCTTCAAATTTAGAGGACTTCAAAATTTGTTGCTTCTTTCCCTCAACTCTGGCAGAATTCGAAGCTGCCACGTAAAATTTAAAATTATGGCAAATTCCCCTTTTACTTTAATAAAAATGCAGCAAAATTCTCCCAAATCCATGAATGATGTTAAAACTTTCAAGGAAATTTCAACATGCACGTGACATGGTGTGCTTGTAATATGAAATGCCGGTCTTTTTCTCAAAGCGAGCTCAAGTATTATGTATGAGGACATTTTCGTCTAAATTTTAACGTTCATTGACTATTAGAATACTCAATAATATTCTACTATAATCAAAAATCTAAACGGTAAAAATTTTAAGAAAAAATGTATCTAGGGCTTGTTTGTAAGTATATTTGAACTTATAATTTGGGTTATGCTACAGATTTTTTATTTCACAAAGAATTTAAATTTAAAAAAATTTTCTCTCACAGAGTTCTTACTAACTAATCAGAATCAGTGACTTGAATATATACTCCAAACGGGCTCTTAATATCTTTTTTTTTGTTGTAATTAAGAACTTAAATTTTAAAAACTAAAAGAAAAACAAACTTGTAGTAAACATTTGGCCTTGAAAAAGGATAAATGATATATCATTGAGTAATTTGTACAATTCGCTCGTCGTCTCCAATTCTTCCATTTACAAAACCCTCATCACGTCCATCACGCGTCCCTCATCGCGAGCTCCCCCATCGACCCAACTGAATCCCCCTTGCAACTTTGTCCCTTCTTCTCTTTAGATTAAATTGCAAATCTAGAGATTCGAGAATTTGTGCTTGATCTAAGTTAGGTTTTGGTTTGGATTTGAAGCTTGATTGACTTTTTTTATTGTTGTTCTACAAAAATACCTTCCCATATTAAATTGCATATTTTGAATGTGATGTCTTTGACAGAATAAGACAAAAAGGTTTTAATTGTCAATAATTTAAGAGTTCGGGAATCATTTTGTTAAAATTAAGAAAATAAACAAAATGTTACCTACTAAAAAGTTAAAAGAGTAATTGGCACATATGGTCCTTAACCTTTTTAGTTGGTAGTAATTTAGTCCCTATTTTTTTAATTTTGACAAAACACCTCATAACCTCTTTAATCAATAAAATTAATGTATAAGGAAAATTATAGTAAATAGTTAATTTATAAAACTAAATTAAATAAATAGTAGATTTTAAAATTATTTAAAATAAATAACAGTTTATCATGTAAATAATTCACTTACGACTAGTAAGATGCTTTTTACGTAAATTTTCTTTTTACAACTAGCAAAAAGATTTTTTTCTCGTAGGTAAAGATTTTTTACCATGTAAATTATTTTTTACTAAACGTAAATGAAACATTTACACGGTAAACTACTATTAGTTCAAATAATTTTAAAATTCATTATTTATTTAATTTATTTTTACGAATCTATTATTTATTATATTCTCTCATACCCCTTAAAAGTGTATAGGTCTGAATTTCTACCTTTTATTCTTGATTAATATCTTTTTTAGTTAAATAACTATCTAAGCAAAAGTATATTAATCAAGAGTAAGAGATAAAAGTCCAGATTCATATATTAAGATAAATTCAACCATTTTCTCCCCATCATTTTATATATAATATCATTCATCGCATATTATATATATATATATATATTTATGTTATAATCTCATTTCTAAACCAAAAGCCCAATACACACCCAATAAATATGCAACATTTTCGGGGCATGAAAACTCACCGGGGACCATTTGTAGTCAGACATTTACTTTGATTAAATTTTTATTTAGTTATTAGCTTCTACTGATAAAAATTTCCAACTCTGTCATTGTAAAATTATATTAGATTGAAAAAGTACACAGAATAAAAAAATTGTAATACAAAACATAACACTAAAAAATAAAAGATTACTGATAGTTTTAACTTTTCAGATCCCGTCAGATAAACTCTTCTTTCTATTATGTGGTATACAACGGGAAGTGACTGTCTTAGGCTTCGTTCATTTCACTAATTTGAGTTTTGAATTGTAATTTTGCTATAGTTAAAAGCTCTTACAAAAAATCACATCTTTTTTTTTATTACAGTTACAAACTCTAACATAAAGTTACATTTCAGTTCGAATTGACAAATTGAAAGTGACATCTGACTCTATGGTCTCCTAACCCTTTTTCTATAAATAAGAAATTAAAATAATCTCCACAACGTTTGACAAACGTGGAATTGCATTACGAATTGCGAAAGTACTATTTTTTTTTAACAAAAATATCATAAAAATGCCATTGCATTAATCCAAACTCCATAGCACTTCAGCACAATAATCATCATGAACTTATTTATGATGATTTTTTTGTGAGTGAAAAAAAAATCTGTATAATATGTAGTTTTCAATTGGTATATTTAATTGTCATTGTCATGTAACTGACATATGAAACTACACGTTATTTATGAAATAATTTTGCCGAACACATATTTTCATGGGTAAAATCCCACTGTTTATACAAAGGTATTGGGGTCACACTTTAATAAAGCCTATTATTACACAAGTGTTGGGATTTATCTCGTGAAGATAAATCTCATTTATATATTTTTCGGTATCATAAAATTCTTCAATTTTTTATATGATGGAGAATAGCGCGATGTAAAACTACTCTTATGATAGATTTATACTATTAAAAAGTTAAGTTAACAAACTAACATTCTTTATTGTGCAACCCTAAGTGTTCCTCCGGTGGAGCACTGTTTTTTTAATATTGAATTACTTTTTTAATAAATTGACATTTTGTACGACGTATTGTAAATTTTTAATACGGATCTACACAAATTTGATTGTCAAAAAATTAATCCAACAGTTAGAAACACAATTTGTATTGAGGGAGATTTTCTAATACGCTAACGTACTGATAGATCAAGTTTTTTTAATCATTAGATATGCATATTTTTTAACTTTTACGGCCTTATTCATTTTATGACTCAAGTCATATTGCTATAGTATTTTCTCTCATAAAAATTTAAATTTAATTTTTTATTATAATATTTTTCTCTCAGATACACAACTGAAGTTATACAAATGAATATAATTATGCAAATGATTAAGTTGTGTAAATGAAAATATTTTATGTGTTTTTATGTAAATCTAACAGATAATTTTATTTATCGATACATTCACGTACTGAAAAAATGTACTCTTATTTTATTAATTTAAAATTTAAATTTAAGTTAAAATATAATTTTATGTGAAAAATTTTTTATTATAATAAAAAAAATTAAATATAACTATTTTTTAAAAAATTTTACTATAATATAATAAAATTTGAATAGGTGAAATGAGGTTAAAATAGTCTTCTTTGCTATTAAGGCACTCGATTTTTGTCGTTCTATAATTTCACCGAGTCCAAAAGAAAGAGAGAGAAAGTAACAGTGAAAAGAGTGCTGACAAAACGTTCATGATTCCTGGATCCTGGTCATAAGGTTATGACCCCAACAAGACATAGCATTTGAGAATCGCCACGTATCACATTTAGCATTTAACGCAATCCGACGCTTATCTGGGTAACAGTAACGCTACAATGCTTTGAAAAACCGACCAATTAAAGTCTAGTCGGCAGGAATTTGGCTTGTCAGAATTCACATACAACGTTTGTTTTATCTTTTAAAAAAATTAAAATTATTAATTATAATTTTAAACTCATAAATTAAATATCACTTAAACGATATATTTTTCAAAGAAAGAAAAAAAAAACAACTAAACGGTGCATTACGATGAGAAAGAGATTATTTTTGCTCCACTATTTTATTTGGCGGATTAATTTTTGAATAATCTGTTTTTTTTTTTTTTTAACAATTTTATGTTGTTTGCGGTAAATTTTAAATGTTGATATGTATAAATTTAATTGTTAAAAGACCGGTCTAACGATGTAAAACAATAGTTGCTACAAATTTTCCTTTTTTGTTTCACGTTCTCCGTGTTTTATATTTCTAACGTACTTCACATTTTTATTCACGGTGGTCCTCCGAATAACTCCACAATTGGTCAGAAAAGTTTGCTCACAAGCAACATCAACGCCTCAACGCTCCTCAACACAATTGTTTGTGGCGCTTCATATATATATATATATATGATGTTGCATATGAAGTCCAATATTGTCAGTTTTTTCAACTTTTTAAATTTTGGTTGTTTGCTTGTCTTCTTCTCTGTTTTGGTCAACAATTAACATCATGATTTGATCAAAAAAGTAATAATTAATGTATGTCATTTCCAAACATATCGGGAGAGATTTCGTGCTCAAATATGGTTCAATTTACCATGTTTTGATAGGTGACACATTAATACATACACAAATGCTTGAATATATATGTCACAAGTTTTACACTTGCATTTTTTTTTTCTGGAAGAGTTTCTTCTGTCTGTGCATATGAAAGTAAAATAATATCAGAATACACCCTATTTAACAAACTTCCACATATAATGGCCTAAAATTAAATTGTTCTTTTTTTTTTTTAAGAAAGTAATTTATTGTGTTTTAGTAATTGTGACATTAATATCAAAACACTTTTTTAAGAAAATAATTTGTTGTGTTTTTATCAATTTTGAACATGAACATTTTTTTTTTCTTTTGAATGTTACTTTAAAAAGAGAAAGTGAACGCTCAAGTATGAGACATGGATTCAATAGGGAACTTTGCATAGAAA